ATTGTCTAAAGATCATTTTTTTTTTTTTTTTTTTTTTTTTAGAATAAAATTCATAAGTTTCCTACATTAATTCCTTTTTGTCAATAATAATCCTAAAATAGTGAAATAAATTCAATCATTCACTATTCAGAAAATAATTTAAATTGAGCTTATGTAGTGCAAATATTTTATAGTTTTTTATGTTTAGAAGTCACTAATTGAACTACATCTTTTCAGAACTTATGGGCATCTATTTTAATTCATTTAATCTTTACTTGAGTAACATCCATATTCTTTTACTTTAGATTTAGCTTACATTTAATAAATTAACAGTCAATATAATTTTCTCAGTTGCGCCATTTATTAATATTGATTTATTTTCTAATGTATAAATACTGAATGCAAGTTATCATATACATTGTTTCTACTTAACAACAGTTTACATTTCTGCAACCATTCAGTAGTCATAATTACTTGTTTAACCTATAATACATCATCTGTCAGTACTATCCCATCAAAAAAAAATAAGTTAAATTGCCTACAGAATTTTAAAATATACTGTCGTCACAAACAGTTTGTTTTTATTACATTATTATTCATTTTGTTTGTAGAGTTCAAGAAGGAAGTGCATCCTTTAATATTAGACAGTATTATAGCAGGTGGTTTCTGGTTATTGCTTTGGAAATATCCCAAATTCATTAGTATTTTTTTATAACTTGATAAAAAAATAGTTTTAAAGTAGAGGTTTGTTAGTTTAAAATCTGACAAGTATGTGAGTACTTCCTTAAGGAAGATTGAAACACAAAACATTTCAGGTGACTTCTGAAATATAATATTATCTTGAATTAAGTCTCTTCATTTTGTTTTTAGGTTATTTTGGTTGATTTTAGATTTGCTTTTTTTTTTTTTTTTTTTTCGTTTTTCAGAAATTAACCAACACTTTTCTGTTGGCGTTCCTTTATAATTTGTATTTACTCACCTTATCTTGATAGCATTCTCTTTGTGTGACATAGCTCATACATACTCAGAATATCAACCAAGCTCATTCACCTTAAACTATACACATTGATTTTTATTCATGACATAAAGCGTTTTAATATTTGTAAGTGCTACCATAGGTGAAAACTGGCATGAATTTTTAATAATGTAAAACTTCATGTTTGTGTCATCTTGTTTATTTTTCGTGAAACTATCCTGATATAGTAAGTATGATGCATAAAAATACTTCCTGAAAATTTAATATACCTTTTGTTAATATTAAATTTTGTTCTTGAAGAAGTCAAAAATAGTTCTAGAATTTAGCAAAGATTTTTTCTTTTTTTTTTTTATTGTTCTATTCAATATTCTTCTTGACTTGCGCAACCCAATGAGAATTTTCGCAACTATTATTACTATATGTAATTGGTATATAATCTTTTTGTATAGACAGAAAATTGATATGGTGACTGCAATGAGTTTTGTAACTACTTACAGATATTTTTCTTTGCTGCTAATGAGCAAATAAATTAACAATTTTCGGTTATATCTGACTGACTTTTTTCCAATTTAGTTGATAAAAATTTACATTTAATTTTTACTATTTCTTAAAATATTGAGTGCTTCTACAACTATTTTATTCTTGCAGCATTTTAAAATAACTAAACCTATTGACATGGTGATCATCAACTATGTATGGTTGATTTGTACATAAAAATTCTTGTAATTTTTTTATGAGTAGTTTGCTAACAACACTACCAGCTAGTGTTGTTGTTTTGTTTGATATTTGTTTTTTTAAACTTAGATCTGGGTTTTTCAATTCCTGTCTTGTTTTTAATTTGAAATTTAATGAAATCTGTTTCTCATTTTTGTATTACTTAAATCTATGGGCTGCTAAATGCCAGAAATCTGCACAGCAAGAAGAAAACCACATGGAAAAGTGCCTATCATATACTTTCCAGTACAATTTTATAAGTTTGTTCTTTTCTGTTTGGAAGTTGTGCCACAAATTAAAATCAGGACAACTTTGGTTAAATTAAGCCAAAACTTCAAAATAAAATCTTATAAAATTTCCCCAAGAACTATATGATTGAAAAATTGTTCTGATATGAAATTTTCTTCTCATGAAAGATTTATGATAGGCACTTTTTTCTGAATGTATGGAAAAAAATATTTGCTAGGAAAATTTCTTTTATGTTTTAATTTCTATTTATTAAATAAATGTTTTATGAATGTCACATTGAATAATGTATATTAAGCAATTGATTTTGAAAACACAATTTTTAAACATCTTTTTAAAAGGTGATAATTTAATATTAAGTTTCCTATACAATCATTTTTTTTTTTCACTGTACATTGTACAATAATAGTATCATACAAACAAAAAAAATAACAAAAAACAGCATAGCTAATTTGTTTTAATAAAACTTTAATCATCTTAAATATGTTTTTAAATATTTATTTGTAAGTAAATTCATTTACAATTTTTTTGATTCTAACAAATTACATTGTAAGTAACAAAAATTATACGTGTTGCGAAGTCAGGGATTGTTTATTAGCACTGGTTCTAAATGTGGGGGGTCATTCTCATAAACTTAAATCACAATCTGAACCTCCCCTCCTTGTAAAAAAATAAAACAACTCATTTTTACAAGTTTTTTATATTCCCAAAATATGGTGCTATGATCCAATAATAATTTGAAATATATATATATATATATATATATATATATATATATATATAATATTTTTTTTTTTTTTTTTTTTTAATTCAATAAAGACAAAAAAGCAGCAAAAATTCAGTAACAAAATGGGGTATATAAAATAAAAAAAAATAAAAACTTTCCAAAGCAAAGTGTTATTAGAAATGTTACATAAAGATCTGTTTAACTAATTGAAAAATAAAGTTTTTCCCAGTTACTTTTTCTTTGAATAACTGGGTAACTATAACCACCTCAGCTTTATTTAATTTTATAAAATCTTTATTAGGTAACTTTTCTTCCAAAATTATAAAGAAATGTTTTTAAAATAAAATTAAAATTTTGTGGTTAAATTTAGTTTTTAAAAAAAAATACCATAAGTAGTAAAACATTTTTACTACAAAGAAAAATGTTGCTTTTGATCTCAATTGCTTTTGATCTCAATTGCTTTGAATGCAAGGTAATCCTATAAGGATCACCTTGTTTGGACCCTATTTCTCCTAACCATCACTTGACATTTCCATGCCAACAAGAGTTAACAGCATTCACAGAACTACACAGAGAAAAGATTTAGCTGGAAACATTTCTAATCCATTTTTTTTTTTTTTTTTTTTTTTTTTAAATGTTCTGTTATCCACACAAACACTTCTGAGACTTACTAAAATGCCATGTCAAACAGTTTGAAGAGTTATATAAACAGCTGGCCAATTCTTTTCTTTTAGCAGTCAACCTTGCAACGAAGCAATCTTCAGAGGAATTATTCAGTTGATTAATAAATATTTTATTCAATGTTTTTAACACTTTTCTTCCTTCATGAAAATAAAAAAAAAAATTATTTCTAAATGCTTTAAAAAAAGATTATTGTAAAATTGATTTAAATCAGTTTTTTTTTTTTTTTTAAATTGAACAGCCCTGACTAGATGAACTTTATTATAGATTTGCTTAAACTAAAATATGAGTTATTTTTGCAAATAGTTGCAAAACAACTGAATTTGTTATTGTATGTAAAAATGAAAAATTTTGTAAAATACGATGTATATTCTGTTACCCTATTTTTACTTTTGTGTGTCATAATAGTCAATTTTTTAAAAATATAATTGAAGGAATAATGTATGTTGATTTAGTTCCTGTTACTTCCTTCAGGTGTTATTACTAAATTTTTTTTTTTTTTTTTTTTTTTTTTTTTTTTTTTTTCTTTTTTCCCATGTCAACAATATAGAAGCTTCTGAAAAGGTTACATGATATTTTTGTTTACAGAAAAAATATCTAACTTACAAGGAATTTATTTTTTATAGCATTTTTCTAAATATATTTAGCAGAAACTAACTCTGGAGAAATTTTTTCTTTGTCATCTCTTTTTCACTTAAATTTGACAAGTGAAAAATAGCTTTTGACAGGAATTGAAGTATAAACTGTTATGGTAAAAAAAATATTTAAAATTTCAAGAAAGAAAAAGAAAAGATGGAACCCTCAGGAGAGAAAAGATAAAATACTATATTTCACATATACACACCCAAGATCTTTACTACATTCAAGAATGAAAGATGTTTCTATTTAGACAAGCAAATTTGGTATGCCAAACTGTTATGGTACAGAATAAAGTTTGTGACTGTATAGTTAATGTAGCTAAAATGTTTTATAAAAATCATCTTCAAACTTTAGAATACATTCTATAAATGAAAGAAACTGACATAAAATCAAATTTGCATCTGACACTGATCTTTCATCTTTCATACTGAGTGTACTATTAAATATTACTGGATACATGAGTGAAAACTGGGTTAATTTTTTTAAACTGTTATCCCCCTCCCCCAATATCAAGGTCACTGATACTTGAATACTATTAAATATCTATTTTTTAATTTCCATTAATTATTTAATCAGTTGATTATTGTTGTAAAAAAAAAAAAAAAAAAGAGAGAGAGAGAATTTATTATGACTTAATCAATTAGCCACTCAAAAATGCTAAGTTGTATATATTTATCTTATTTATAAATTGATACTATTTTTATAACCAAATAAGAGAGATGTTAACTTGTCATTAAATGATTTTGTTACTTTTTGAGATTCAACAAAATTCACAGCTATTTCTAATTCTTCATAGTCAAAATACAACTAAGATTTTACTAACTTCTCAAATTTTTATACAACTCTTTTCTATAGCTTTAAGATTATTTTCATTTTAAGATGTCTATTTTCATCCATTTAATGCTTACAAATTCAATTTTGTTTTTTTTTTTTTCTCTCTTTCTCTCTCCAGGTGTTATCCTTCTCCATGGTCGGACTGGGGATAACTAATAGGCTCTTACATTAACAACTTCAAGTACTTCTAAATAGTGCTTAAAGATGTCTTCTGCTGTAAGTATCCTTTTAGAATTGTTTCTCCCCAGTTTCGTCACTCTTTTGTCTTCTAGTTTTCAATAACGAGTAAGCATCCTGCTATTCTTGTGCCGTTCACCAGGGTTTAGTTGTAGACAAGGCCAATGTTTAAATATCTAGTGGTCAGTATCTTAATTATCTCGAGCTGTTTACTTTTTGTAATTTTTAATCAAATTTGGTAACAAAGTGCTACAGTGCAAATATGAAACCAAAATTTAATATGGTAGTGTATCCAGTTTGCTTTCCATAGGTCTTTAAAAGATTCCTCACTCTTTATTGTTGAATCTTTTTTTCCTTTTATGTATAAATATAATCATCACTACATTTCTGCCTATTTGATGCTACACGCTGTCAGTCTTATCATGTACACTTAGTTTTAATTATTTATTCGATTAAGATTTCAAATAGGACAGTGATGTTTACAATTCCATCCACCACACATGCACCCCACTGATCCTGTGAGAGTGCTTTTTGCTTGTTTTCTGACTTGGAACTCTTTCATTCTTGAAATATGCTATTCAAATTATTTTTTATCTAAAATAGAAAGTAAACTCTAAAGCTATGTGAAATTTTTTTTTCTACATCAGTGAAGAAATGTTATGTTAATATTTTTACTTTGACACAAAAATGCAAGTATATCAGTTAAATTTTTTTTTTTTTTTTTAATTAATATTTAAGATATTGTAATTTTTGCTTTATTGCATAAAACTTTTTAAAACATTTTAACCATTAATCAAACTATTGAAGAGGTGTTTTTTTTTTTATAAAGAAAAATTTTTGAAATTTACTTGACCACTTAATTTTGATAATTACCCCCTCCCCAATATTTTACTTTTTTTTCTTTTCTTTCCTTTTTTTTCTTTAGGGTACAAGTACTGACCGAACAGGGTCATCAAGAAGGTAACTTAATTTTCTTATCTGCTTCATAAATGCAGTTGTAATGATTTGTAACATTCTATTTCATAGTTGTCCTGGATTTCTTGGTTGAAAATTTTGAATAGTATTGACTTGGATCTTAAATAATTTTTGACTACTCTATATATGTTGAAAGTTCATGCTTCATTTATCTTAGGATATTGTAGTGTTTAATGAAATCTCTGAAAAGGATGAAATTGTAAGCAGATGATCCTTTTTTGAAGTACAATTATCACAGTATTTTTTATTGGCTTACTAAAACTGACAACTTCCACATTTTTCCAACATTTACTGCCTTATATCATTTTCTTAGGGTCAGTAAGTTATTTATACCTATATAACTACACAACTTTAGCAGTTAAGAATTTTCATCTTATCCAGTAACCTTATTGCAATAAATTACAAAAGTTTTTATAAACATTAATGAAAAAAAGTTAAATAATTTTTTAAAATAGGATTTGCTATTTTCAAATCTAATACTTGATAATTTTTAACCTTTGATCAACAAATATTCCTGATCTGATCTTTCTGATATTTTCCATTGCAATTTTCATTCTCTTGTGAATTAACTCTCTCTTAAATTCCTTGGTACTATGATCATATTCCATGCTTTCAGTTAAAAAAAAAAAAAAAAAAAATTTTTTTTTATAGCATTTCAAATGTTTTATAAACTCAAAAGTGCACGAATAGAATGAGTTTAATCATCTAAACAAATCATGGAATATTTTAATAATGATCATGCTCCTCAAGTAAATGGTACTGGAGGCTTCTTATAAGACAATAAATAAAAACCTTTTATAGCTATTCTGCTATATGAAGAAAATACTGAGGAAAATGAAAGAAAGCGATTGCTGAAACCATGCACTTTTACATTATTAGCCTCCTTTTAATTTTTCCTAATTTTTATAAAACTAATGAAAGAATTTGCAAATTATCAATGTGCAGGATTTTTTTTTTTTATATATATATATATATAAATTATCAGTGACAACAAGTCAGTACTTCCCTGCTGTAGATGCAACAGGGCAACATTTTTATGAATTTTACTAGATTTTCCAATATTCATTTTACCAGTTAAGTTACTGAATGAGAAATTCCAAGAAACCCATAATTACAGAATATGCACAAAGTTTACAAAAACAAACCTTTTGGACAACAATTTTAGAATAGTGTCATTCTAATAAGAACTATTAACATAAAATATATGGTCTGTATTCTCAAAGTAGTTTTAGAAGTTGCTCATCTATTGTTTTTGTGAGCTGTTGTATTTCTTTATATGAAAAAGGTTACATAGCATTCTAAAGTTTCTTTTAGTAATTTACTGTCTATTATTGTAAACCTTCTCTTCAGAATACTCCAAATTTCTAACTGGGTTAAAATTGAGCAAACAAGTTATCAACAAGTGACTTTAAAACCTATTCTATTCAGATTTTGACATATGTGATGTCTAAAAATCATCTTTCCACAAAAGAAAATAAGTGTATACCTGAACTGTCATTTGGAACTTGCCATGGGTACACCACCTTCACTACTTGTAATCCCACCCTAAAGCATCACACCACTCCATCTTGTTGAAATCTCAATCTGTAGGTGCTGTTCCTGTAAGTAGCCACACTGACCAATCAAGGATAACATCACATTCATCAGTGAAAAAGTAATGTGTTCTGATGCCTATTTCTTTTGGCTTTCCTTGTGGATGTCTTTTAAAAAGGATCAAGTGATCAGTTTTTTGTTTTGCCAGTTGGTTTAGGACACAATAGCTTATACTTTTCAGTTCTTACCTGTTGCTGATGCAATGCTTAAATATTTCATAACTTGATGGATTTTTAAAAATAACTTCTCTTTATATGGTACAAAGATTGGGGGTGGGGAGATGAGTCAGTTTATGTTTATCAGATTGGCATCAGTGTTGTCCATGATCTTCAGCAAACTTCATGATTCAGTGGTAATATCTACCAATCACATTTTTTCTTTTTTTAATTTTTAGTGTAGTTTTACATTTTTCAAGCAGTGCCATTATTTATCATTTCTTTTTATCCACCAAATGAGTTTTGTGGTACATTTTAAAGCATCAAATTTGCAATGTAGCTATTAATTTGAGACTTCATAATCCAAGCCATTTCATACAAATGACTGCTATTTGTTTACATCTTTACAAAGTAAACTTTTATCTTAACTGCACAGAAACCTTTATATTATTATAAATATTTTAATTGATAAAACAAAAAATGGCTAATAATGTGTGAGACATTCTATACTTCATTGAATAGTATAGAATTCCATCTGCAACATATCCCTGCATTGTGTCTTGTTTTTGTTAGTGGTTAGCTTTTTGCTTTGTGAATGTTGCTTAAATGGTTTTTGTAATTTTTTTTTTTTTAATTAACTATTTTTATAAATCATGTTGCTCACTTTGACATGATGGACAAGTGTTCTGGCTTATCTTAGCTACAAAATGCATCTTTTTATTATTGAGTAAAAGGGAAACTAGTTTTAATTGTTAGTATACAATGTTCATTAGCATTATCTGGGTTGATAAACTAGTCTTTTTTTTTTTTTTTTTTTTTTTTTTTTTTACAAAAAAACAAAAAAACATAGCATGAAAATTTCTTAAACAGTTTAGACTATGGTATACTAATTTATTTTGCTATTCAAAAATTATGAAAAATCTTCCTGATGCATCTAATGTATCAAAGCAAAAGCTGAAAATATTCCATTTTGTACAATCATTTTTTACTTTAATCTCCCCCCCCCCACTCTTGGAGAATAATTGTTACTTAAACTGTAATAGGCCATGAAAATAGAAGTTTCAAAATGAAGTGCATAATTTCATGAAATACCAGCAAAAGAACAGACTAGTCTGTCAGAAAACACATTCAAGGATCAGGTGATCAGTAATTGCTTACTATTTCTAACTGTTTATGTAGTCCATAATATTAATGATAGATTTATTAAACAAATATATCAAACCTTTCACTAACTTTAATAATTATGTAGTGACAGCAAATTCTGCTGATAGTTGTGGGGAGGGAATGAAGCAATAATCATAATTGTATTTAGCAACAACTCTATTTTAACCTTGTATTGATAGACATAGTTTTGGCTTTTCTTACTGCTGTCCATTGACTACTGCTACCTACTTTGCTTCAGTTACACTAACAAATTAAATATTCCTGGCCATAGGGAAAAAATTATTAATAAATGCTGAATTTTATAATTTTTGTCCCAAAATCTGTTTTAATGAATCTTGGTCCTTGATTTGTTTGTGTATTAAAAATCGGGAAGAAAGAGATTGTCAATGGTCAGGAATTAATGCAAACATTACTAACACAAAACTTTTTCTGTATAATTGTTTACAATGCTCATCACTTCATAAATATATACCAACTGAATTTCAAAGTTTTATTTCTATTGATGTTTTGTTTTTAGTGACAAAGATAAGTAATGTTCTAATATTGTCAGTATAACTATGAAAATTATGACCAAAATTTTCTCATTTTATCATGATAGTTCTAAGAGGAATGTGAATTTATTTACTATTGCTATATATATAAAAAATATATGCAATGCTTTTGTTTTGTTTTTTTGTTTTTTTTTTGTTTTTTATAAATTTGGACAAATTCAAAATTAATCTTACTGTAAACAGATAACATTTTAAATGTCTGTAATTAACAAACTTTATGCATCAGTTGTTCAAAAAGACTGATTTTTTTCTCTTAATAAATAATAAAAATGAAATTTTTTGTGTGCATGCAATTTTTTTTATTAATAAAATTAAATCCTTATGGTGATTTAAGAATTTTTCATGGTAAAAGTTGAATTATTGATGTATTTGTAGTCATTTGAGAAATTATGTAACTTTATCACATGTTGCATACATTATAATAAAAAATACTTGTGATTTTTTTTTTATTGAAAATCATTGATAGCTTACAACAGCTTAAGTTCATATTGATAATACTGAACTGTGTTTTAGCCAATATTCTTAAATAGAATTTTATGCAAGCAGAATATACACTTTAGGATAGTGCATATTGAGTTGTGCCTTATTGACTTTTTAGTTTGATGTTACTAATGTTAAATAAGCAACCATTACATTTACTATTGTACATCTTGATTGGTAGATTGTAATATAATTAACAAATTTAAGCTTGCTTATGTTAATACTAACAAGATAATCTTAGATACCTCCATGAAATCGCTAAAAAAAGAGCATAGCTTGATGAAAAAGACACCAACCTTGCTGAAAACAAAATTTTATCGTCTAAATGCTTGTTATTATTAAGAGGAAAGACTAAAGTTTTTTTATTTTAAAAAATTTTTTCTTTTTAGAACATTCTAAATTTTGATTTAAAAAAAAAAAAAAAAAAAAAAAAAACCTTGTTTCTCTTTGTATCAGCGGAACTAGTAAATAACATAGACAATTTTTAGCACGTTTTTTTGGTATGACACACATTAATTTGGAAAATCTTGCAAAAATATAATTGTCGGATGTTAATGAAACTTTCAGGAACTATTCACAGATGATTGAAATTATTATAAATGTTTTATATATATATATATATATATATATATATATATATATGAAATTCATGGTAGAAATTTTTTTTAATATTTATTACCAATTTTATAACTAATTTTATGAAAACGCTAGAAATTTGATCGCATCAGGTTTAGTGATTACGATATTTAAAAGCACAAGGCTGTGAGGAATGCAAATCATTTTTTTTTTTTTTAATTGGAAACCCCACCTGAAAATCAGCTCTGAATTGTAACATACAAAACTCAATAAAACAAAGATATTATTTAATTTCAAATGCTTTTATTTGCTTTTACTTGTTTTTATGAATATGGACAACATTTTCTGAAAGCAAAAACATTTTCGATGAAAAAGGAATTTTTAATACAATTATTTATTTCTTAATTATAATAGATTTTTACATTTAATTTTTTAAAATATTATAAAATTAGTTAAAAGCCACATCTGGTTTCCTAAGTCTAGTTATGAGATAGATCTTTTTTTTTTTTGTTTTAGCGCATTGTAAATTGTATCATTTTGACTAATCAGAAGATCCGCAGTAATTAAATGTAATTTTGTGCTTATAATCAGGCTGTAATTATAAAGTACGGAAGACCAACCAGAATATATTTAAGTTGCGTTATTTGAGTTAAGCATTGTTCTCCGCTGTTAAGGCCTTTACCTTTGAGGAACACATGTGGAGAAGTTAATTTGATTTTCAATTTCAACTGTATCCGTATCATATAAAATTTATGATCTTATTTTTATATTAATCTCAGTTATGACATTTTTCCATAAATGAAATATTAAAAATAAAATAAATGGAAATACAAATTACGCAGTAAAATGTAATAAATGTACATAAAATTATATTTTATGTACACTTCTGATAAAATTTCATAAATTAATTAGATACCTTTTATGAAATATGAAATTTAATCTCACTCTTAAGTCTTATTTTAATTTCTTTATAATATATTTTCCATAAAGCATCGTAAATGTAAAGGTGAAAGCTAAGTACAAAAAAAAAAAATTAGACTGCTGAAAGTTTTTGTTAAAAATAACGAGGTAAATAATTTGTTCGCTTAAATGTAAATTATTTCACTTTTCTCCATCCGTAGAACAAATTAGCCTCACGGAATCCGTCAATGTCATTCATCACCTGTCAAGTGACACGAAGGTTTATGACATGCTTTGTTTTATTTTCAAATTACATCTTTTTGGTGCAGAAGCTAAGTTAAGCTTGGTTCAAAATATTTTAAATAAACATAATTTCTGATTTTCTTAAAATAAGTTTTGAAAAAATGATAATTGATATTTAAAAGAATTTCAAAGTGAGATTTCCAGTTTTTTTTATAAAATGGAAAAAAATGTTCAATTTTGCTGACTCAAAAAAAAAAAAGATTTTTAATGAAAATTTCAGACATGCTAGGAATGATTAAAAAATGTAAAAAAAAATACCCCAAAAATATTTTGATCTTTCATTTTAATAACATAAACATTTAGACGATAAAATTGTTTTTGTCAGGTTTGGCGTCTTTTTCATCATGCTATGCTCTTTTTTTAGCGATCTCGTGGAGGTACCTAATCTAACTGCTTTTTTTTTCTCTCCAGTTACTTTTAATACATACATAAATATCTAATTGACTAACTTGTAAAATGTTATGGAATATATGTTAAATTAAAAACAATTGTTTTTAAGTTAACAGCAGATTTTATTTCAGTATTTGAAATCTGGTATCAAGCTGAAGAGTTCATCAGAAATATGAAATGTTTATGTATTATCATCAGCTTATATATAATATAGTTTGCTGAATTTATTGGGGAAAATCTTGCATCCAAAATAATATTAAGAGTTAATGTACTATATTAAGAGTTAGATGATTTTAATATTATACGTTGTTACTTCTCTCTTTGTAGGGAGGAGCTGGATATCAGTTTGGGGTGAGGAATTTATTTAAATTTTTTAATTGTGTATTCAAAATATGTAATGAAAATAAATTAACATCATTTTTATTAGTATTTTTAAACTATAATTTTCAAATATTAGAAGTGAAATTTTGCATATGTACTTTTTAAGGTCAAAATGTAAATCTACCTTTTTATATTACTAAAATATAATGATGATATGACAAAACCTTTTTTTTTTTTTTAAACCTTGTTAATTTCACAGTATTGTTTTAGTTAGTAACACTTTTATAGTATGCACAATGATACATTTTTAGAAATAATCCACTATTATCAATTGTGTGCATTTGGTTTACATTCATACGATCTGATACGAAATAAGTGACATTGCTAAATGGGCCTGAAGAATAAACTATGAACAATTTTAGTTTGGTTAGTGCGGTCACTACAATCAGTTGTTTGATTTGAAGTAGAAAATAGAAAGCTAATTATCATAAGTAAGCTATACGAGGAAAAAGAAGGTTGCAAGAATTAACACCAGGAAGAATATAGATTTGGAGGATTTGAAAGGGATTTTAAAACTATTGAATAAGTGAAATGAAAGACTTGAAGTTTAAACTTGATTAGCTTTTAGTGATAGTACAAATAAATAACTTATTGGAAGATTTGCTTATATAATTCAATGATTGAAGTGTACGATTGTTGACTGAGATAAGTTTCTATCCTCAATCTTTATTACAAGGAAACTTGATTTTAATCAAGATGCTTTTCTTCTTATAGAGTTTTATCAGTAACCACAATCTCGCTATTTAAACACTCACACAAAAAATAGGGTGGCAATGCTCTTTTTGAATACGTTTCACATTAAATCTCTCATTTGAAATAACTTTAAGATAAAAGTTGTATTGAAATAGCTGACAAATTTATTTTTTGGTTTGATATATATAAGTTCAAGTAACAGTATTTTTGGAGGTTTGTGAATTATAAAAAAATACATTGAAACTGGATTTTGTTTGGAAAGATTTGTCCTAGTGACTAAATTGCTTCATTCTTCATTTATAAGATTTTCTTTTTTTTTTTCTCCAAATGTTTTATTTAATACTGAATAAGAAATGGAATATAAACAACGAAAGTTTGTAATGTTGCTTGTTTTTCTATAAAACTGATTACTATTTAGAATAGTTTAGCTTTGAAGAAGAGTTGATTTTATGTAAAACATCTATAAATTAAGAATTGAAAGCAATTAATGTTTAAACACAGATTTTTCACATTTATGTCAAAAGGCATTTTGAACTGAAAATATAGTTGGAAAAAATTCCATCTTGCTGTACAAGAAAGTTTTTTTATACAAGCAACATGAAATCTATGTAATATCAATAATTTTAATTGATTTGCTATCAGCTACTTTCATGAAATCTAAACTAGTATCAACAAGCAAACATTTATGGGTTTACTTTTTAGTTCTTAACATTTTAACGTTCTTTTATGATGGCTCCAAGAATTGGTCGAATTTCCCGGACAAAATAATTTTTTTACCATGTTTGACATGAAACTTCATGAAAAGAGGCAAATGTGTGTGTGTGTGTGTGTCACTTACATTGCAAATATAATATCGAAGAAGATTGTGTCAATGTTATTGTGTTCTATCAATATTATGTATGCTCCTTTTTTAAACAAAAATGGATAGGGAAGTCTTATTAGTGTGATTTTTACTTGCTTAGTTTTCAATTGATAGGGAAAAAAAGGTTTTTAAATGGGGAAAACAACCACAAATATTAATGAGCTGTAAGCATCCTGGATGAATTTAAAATGCTCATAATTACTAAATGAAAAATTATGTACTACTGCCACTCCATCATACAGGTTGAATATCCTAACTAGAATTACCAAAGTAAATTGGAAACAAAAAAATGATAGACATTGTTGTGGAGTGATTTCACAGTGGAAGCTTGTATTTGTACTAAGTCAGTCCTAAAATAGGTTCGACGTACAAAATGTTAGGAACTTGATATAATAGGTATAACGCAGAGTAATCTAGTTGTGGTCGCTGATACTTTAGTACTCGACTAACTGTCGTCCAGCATCGACTGACTGACTGAGCGACTGACACGTTACTCTTACTACTCCTACTTATTATAGGTCGGAGAGTCTATTAACTATAGAATAGGTGTGTTCCACTATAGCATCCCCCCCCACAAAAAAAACTTTACTCCATAGGAGTAAAGTTTACTTTATTTTTTACAGGAAATATGAAGAAAAAACAAAAAACATTTTTTTTAGCAACATCATAGTGTATCTTCTACATTTTGGATCCACTTTTAAATGATCAGTTGCCTTTCTTTTTCTCCTGGATTGGTGTACCTCAGGTAAAATCGTTGCAGGCGTTGTTAGATCAAACGTATTGAAAATCACATTCATCTACGTTTCTTCCGCGGGGCCGCTGTCAACCATGTTTGAAAAACGTCGTCTGATCTGGTTACTGCACATGAATTTTTCGCCTTTCACCAAGTATATCATATTGCCAATCCGCTTTTCTATTTTTTGGTACCTCCATCAGAAACAACCTTCCGCTTTGAGCTTCTTAAGGATGGAGTCACAGTTTCTGTAGGTTCTTCTTGTGGTTCTATTTGTTCCACCTCTAGCTTTCCTTTTGTTGATCTTGTGCTTCTTAACGTTTTCTGTGGTGACTTCAGTTGACTTAAATCATTTAATAATACTGCATGTCCTTGGTTGCGGGTAACTCGTTCCCCAGTTTTTCTCGGTGTCAGCTTCATCTTTACTTTCTGGAGCTTGTTTTTCACATATATCGTCAGTGTTTTCCATTCAACTTTTTTAAATACACCGGTTTTCTCTAATCTGTCCAATTCTTTATCTATCTGTTCGATTGAAGCAAACAGCACATTCCTTTTCTTTTTGAATACCACCTGAGTGTTTTCTTTTTGCTGGAATTTTGCCTCCATCTTGGTACACATTCCCAAACCTGGAGAAAAAAAAGAGTAGGAAATGTTTCCTTAAATTTCTTTACTAATTTTTGGGCTTCAGAGTTTAAACTTTCAACCTTGTAACAGAAAGAATTTATCGGTAGATCCCATAATTGGAATTCTGTTATCCAATTCGTACCAAGTAAGTTTGTGATATTTTCTATGACAAATAGTTTAGCTTTTCACGTTTTTTTATTTAACGTTACGTTTGTAACAAATTCACCAATAAATTGTATTTTTTCTCCCGTCACTGACCTCGCAATTTTATTTATCTTCATTAAAGTTGGTTTCCCCAACTTCTTCCACGTATGCAAATTTATGATAGATAGGTCAGAACCAGTGTCGAGTTGCATTTTTATTTTCTTATTACTTATTTCGACGGTAACAAATTTTCTGGTTATTCCATCGTTCACCTCATTGGACTTTAATTTTTTTATTTTGTCTTTATTTTTTGACCTGCTGTGTGAGCTTTTATGACCCACTCTTTTACAGTGGAAACATTTTTTATTCCTAAAATAGCAATATCTGTACCAGTGTAGTTCAAACAAAACATAGCTTCGGGAGTTTTTGTTTATTTTTTCCTGGTATTTCACTTTTTGTTTGATAATCCGCAATTTTAGAATTCTTTTTGGTAGACTGACTTCTTTGTAGTGTATTTTCCTTACATGCGAAACGCCAGACTGTTCTATCTTTTTGAATCTTTCTTTATGCTAACATATCTTGTGCAGTCTTCTGCCAACTTCTGTATCGTAAGACTTGGATTGCTTTCCAATTTTGTCAGTACTAATTTTCTCAACTCTGCGTCACTGTCTGACACCAGCCCTTGAACAAACACCAAGCATTTAAAATTGTCAGCGCTTTTAACTCTGCCAGCTTGAATTCTTTACAATGCTTATTCACATTGGCTCCATACGTTATATAGTCTTGTTCGTCATCTTTCATCAGATTCAAACATTTCCACCTCTTGTGAAACAGATGTCTTTTTACTAAATAATTCACTTAATATATTTACCGCCTCGGTAAATGTCAACTCGCTAGTTTTTTTTTCGGTGAAATGTAGTTTACCAATTTGTTATGCTCAGCAGTTCCTAATTTGCTTAAAAGAAGCCTAACCTTCTTTCCATCAGACCACGAGTGGCAGTCCTCGTTATACACATCCGTATATTTTTTATAATACTCCTCAAAAGTTATCTCTTCATCTGAACTGTACGTGAATATTTCAATTGAATTCCATATTGTATTCTCTGGGAAAGAATCATTTTGTAGATTTTTCTCTTTCCTCTTCTCAGTTATTTCCAGAATTTTGTTTTGAAACTCACTATGCATCTGTTCCATTTTTTGTTGAAATTGCATTTCTCTATTAAGTTTCCTCCTGTAGTTGTATCTGGAATGTTTTCTGTTGTTCCGACTGGAACTTAAAAAATTCCTGGAATATATTTTTGCATTCCTCCATCTTCGCAAAAATTTACACAATGCCTAAATAATGTAGAGGGGGGGGTCCTACGAATTTGCAATTCATGACCTATTTGAGCAAACTGTCCTATCGAGAAAAAAAAAATTCTTTTCTCAGTTGAGAATGACAGATTTTTTTCATCACTAAGTTGATGTCTTAGCTTTTTTTTTTTTTTTTTTTTTTTTTTTTAAGTGTGAATCCAAGATTTTGTCGCCGAAATTATTGTGATGAGCAAATTTTTTTCTTTGCCCTCAGTATGAGTATGAATTTCACCATCAAATAATGTTGTGACGAGCAAATTTTTTTTCTTCTTCCACCGTATGAATCCAAATCCCTCGTCGCCAAATTATTGTTGTGGAGGCTTGTATTTGTACTAAGTCGGTCCTAAAATAGGTTTGACATACAAAATGTTAGGAACTTGATATAATAGGTATAATGCAGAGTAATCTAGTTATGGGCGCTGTTACTTTAGTACTCAACTGTTGTCCAGCATCGACTGAGCGACTGACACGTTACTCTTACTACTTCTATTTATTATAGGTGGGAGAATCTATTAACTATAGAATAGGTGTGTTCCACTATAACAGACATAAAAATATTAACACAATTTTTTATAAATAAAAGTACCCTATTAAAACTTTATGGGCCATGTATTAAATAGAAATTAATATTGATGGTAGGTTTGTATGTTTGAAAATATATATTTGGGAATGGTATTCATATAATTAAGATAAGATTTATTTAAGGTTGAATTCTGATTTCCACTTTAGTTATTTTTAATGATATGAATGCTTATTAATAATCTGTGTTAAAAATAAATTGATAGTGGGCATATTTATGAAATTGGTGTTTTTATTTATTTTTTGATATATATAAAGTAATATAAACATATGATTTATATAAAGTAAATAAACAGTATGAAAAGACTTCATTTAATTTATATACATAAATTTTTAACAGATTTTATTTATCAGTTTTTAACCAGAGTGTTAGAGTATACTGTGTAAAATTTAAGTTAAGATAGGTACCTCCACGAAATCGCTAAAAAAAAGAGCATAGCTTGATGAAAAAGACGCCAAACTTGCCGAAAACTAAATTTTATTGTCTAAATGCTTATGTTACTATTAAGAGGAAAGACCAAAGTTTTTTTTAATTATTTTTAAAAATTTTTCTTCTTTTAGAACATTCTAAATTTTGATTAAAAAACCTTTTTTCTATTTGTATCAGCGAACTAGTAAATAACATAGACAATTTTTAGCACGTTTTTTGGTATGACACACATTAATTTGAAAAATCGTGCAAAAATAGAAATAATTATCGGATGTTAATGAAACTTTCAGAAACTATTCACAGATGATCGAAATTATTATAAATGTTTTTTTTATGAAAGTCATGGTAGAAATATTTTTTAAAATATTTATTACCCCCCTAACTAATTTTATGAAAACGCTAGAAATTGATCCTGATCGGTTTTAGTGATTACAATAATTAAAAGCACAGGGTTTTGAGGAATGCAAATCATGTTTTTTTTTTGTTTTTTTTTTAATTGGATACGCAGTACCTGAAAATCAGCTCTGAATTGTAACATACAAAACTCAATAAAACAAATATATTATTTAATTTCAAATGCTTTTATTTGCTTTTAGTTGTTTTTATGAATATGGACAATATTTTCTGAAAGCAAAAAATATTTTTCGATGAAAAATGAATTTTTAATACAATTATTTGTTATTTCATTAATTATAATAGATTTTACATTTAAGTTGTTAAAATATTATAAAATTAGTTAAAAGTCAGATCGGCTTTCATAAGTGTCCTTATGAGATAGATCTTTTTTAAGCGCATTGTAAATTGTATCATTTTGACTAATCAGAAGATCCCCAGTAATTAAGAAATGTAATTTTGTGCTTATAATCAAGCTGTAATTATAAAATACGGAAGACCAACCAGAATATAATTAAGTTGTTATTTGAGTTAAGCATTGTTCTCCGCTGTTAAGGCCTTTACTTTTACTTTCTAAACACGTGTGGAGAAGTTAATTTGATTTTTCAATTTCAACTGAGAAGGGTACCTACAAGTATCAGTATCATCTTATGAAATTTATATGATCTTATTTTTATATTAATCTCAGTTACGACATTTTTCCATAAATGAAATATCAAAATTAATAATAAAATGAATGCAAATACAAATAACAGTAGAATGTAATAAATGTACATAAAATTATAGTATTTTATGTACAATTCTGATAAAATTTCATAAGAAAGGTACCTATAAATTAATTAGATACCTTTCTTAAGAAATATGAAATTTAATGTCACTCTTAAGTTTTATTTTAATTTCTTTACAATATATTTCCCATAAAGCATCATAAACGTAAAGGTGAAAGCTAAGTACAAAAAAAAAAAAAAATTAGACCGCTGAAAAGTTTTCAAAAAATAAACTAAATAATTTGTTCACGAAATGTAAATTATTTCACTTTTTCTCCTTCCGTAGAACAAATTAGCCTCATGGAATTCAGAAATATATCATTCATCACATGTCAAGAGACGCGAAAGTTTATGACCTGCTTTGTTTTATTTTCAAATTACATCTTTTTGGCACAAAAGCTAAGTTAAGTTTGGTTCAAAATATTTTAAATAAACATAATTTCTGATTTTCTTAAAATAAGTTTTGAAAAAATGATAATTGATATTTAAAAAAATTTCAAAGTCAGATTTCCAGTTTTTTTTTTTTTTTTTTAATGGAAAAAAATGGTCAATTTTGCTGACTAGATTTTTAACGAAAATTTCAGATGTGCTAGGAACGATTAAAAAATGTAAAAAAAATACCCCAAAAATACTTTGACCTTTCCTCTTAATAATAACAAACATTTAGATGATAAAATTTTGTTTTAGTCAAGTTTGGCGTCTTTTTCATCATGCTATGCTCTTTTTTTAGCGATCTCGTGGAGGTACCTAAGTTAAGATAATTCAAAATAAAGCCATTGTCTTGTCCATCATTTAAAAGAAAAACTTGATCAACTGTACATAAAAAAAATATATATTAAAAATTGATGGGAAATAAGCAACCCATCCATTCTAATTTTACGTGCATACACGTAGAATCTAGAGAGAAAAAAAATGTTGCAATAGTATAACCAGTGGTGAGAATTTCTGATCCAATAAACCTTCTTGATCAATTCTCTATGCAGAATTAACTCTCATGCAAAGCAGTGCTTATCTATTAAATACCAATTATTTTTGTCTTGAAGTATTAATAAAGTATTGTCTTGGCTTAACTAGATTCTTCCCACAACTACCCCATGTAGTTGGTGATCCACTGAAAAGGATAACTAAATACTTGTATAGCTTTTCATCTAAAATTGTATATACACAGCAATTATTTAGGGTGAAGAGTATCCTGCATATGAAAGAATGTGGTCATTGGTGTGGTTTAATTGTTGCTTCAAGTCTCACTGCTGTTTATAGTATTGCTGTTCATCTTGTGTATACTGAGTATGTTTTGTACATTTGTTGTCTGCTTAAATATGCCTTTGTTGACACAATTTTATTGTTGTTTAGAAATTGTTCTTCTTCTGCTAGAAAGCCGCTGGTTACGCGGAAGGTCCAGGCATCCTCTTCTGCAGAGGAGTCTGGTGGCGACTCTAGTGCTGAATTGGATGCTGCTGGAAGTACTAAGGATTCTGAAACTTCCAGAGAGCCAGAACTGAATGCTGCTGACAGTGATGACGGCCCGCCTGACTTGCCTGAAGGTGACTAATATTGTTCCCCTTCTATTTATTTATTTCTATTGCTGATCAGTCCTATCTTTCTATCTATCCATCTGTAATTCTCCCCAGTCAATGTGGTTCTCATTGTTACCTCACAATCATTCAAAACTGGCATTAGTCATTGTTCTTGAGATGATTTTGGTTGGAGAAGCAAGGAATTGTTTTGATTTTAAAAAAAAAAAAAAAAAAAAAAATTGTGCTCTCCAAACTATACTTTGCAAATTGGCTTGAGAATGAAAGGTAGCATTGATTCATCAGGAACAATGTTATTTAAAAACTCGTTGAATGTATAACATTTTATTTACAAAAATGCATGGATTAAATTACAGTAAAACACAAGGAATAGCATTAAGAAATAATTACCCATTCAAAAAATACCCTCTTTTCAAAAATTACTTAGACTGGCTGAATATTAAGTCCAGTGCAATTTTATTGTTGTGAAGGTTGCACTTGATGTTTTCTTCTGTGTGTTTGTGTTATTTTATTATTTTTCAAACAAGCAGCAATCTGTTTTTGATATTTAGATGTTTGTGAAAATTATTTAACCTAGAGTATACTCAGTATTAATTCTAAAGCTATTCTCTTTGCCTATTGTAATCAGAACCCATTTTGTTATTTTTGTGAGGTTATTGTGTTAGATATATTACTTAGTAAAAGATTGAACAATTGCTTTGGTCACAGGTTATGAGATGTTGATTATTCTATGTTTGGTGTGTGTTTTTTTTTTTGGGGGGGGTCTTCTCTCTCTCTCTCTCTCAAGCCTGTTTTGGTTAATAAATTTTGTCCAAGCTTAGCATTTATTTTAGCTAGTATTTCATTTGTGTGAAAGCTTTATAGGAAACTAATTTTTGTTTGCTAGTATCTAGGCTTTGTGCTTGGTAAAATGTTTCTGAAAGGTTTTTCTCTCTTTCATTACTTTTCAGGTACAGTTGTTGTTGAACCACAACCTGTCGCTGAGTCCAAGCTTATCTTTAGAGGTCCTGAATTTCCCAGCAAACGTCGAAGCAATCAGAAAACGTTTGGTAAGTTTGAAAAATCAATTTTTTAAAATTGAAAAAAAAATTTTTTTTTTTTTTTTTTTTTTTTAGTAGAATATTGTTTTGATGAATTGCTCACAATTTAGAAAGAATTACAAATTACATGACTTTTAGTTTAGTATAAAAGAAATTGATAAATATAATAAACCCATTGGCTGCAATGGCTCAAAATTAACTCATTAAAGACTGTTCATTAAATATTTAAGAGTAATCAAATTCGCGTGAAAATATAAAAATCTAATTAACTTATAATTATAACTTATAGTGAAAAGTTCTATACCTGTTCAAGAAAGAATTTGAAAGCAAATTCTGATGTTTGGTCAAATTTTGTGAATTGTCAGGCCCAAAACTTTTCAGCACTTCCTCATATGTTGTTTTTTTACTTAAATAACTCACAAATAGCTATTTATAATCATTCATTTATCCTAGAATAAAATTTTGCCAATATGTGATAAAATATTAATAAAATGTTAGCAGCATCTATTAGTCTTTGAATATCTTGTAAGCATGTATTTAATCTATTAAACTTTTCCTTGTCTTTTTGATAAATTTAACATTTTTGGCGCATTTTTTTAGGTAATATGGTTGAATTTAAAACTTAATAATTACAGCAAAAAGAACAAAGTGTGCATTACCTGTATATAAATAAATAAAGAACTTTGAAAGTTGGGACTTAAAAATGATATAAGCTTAATCTGTAGAATTATTAAAATTGTTTTGAGTATCATTCTTTAATTTTTTTAACCTAAACTTAATATTCTTAATAAATATTTTTTAAAAATATGATCATATTGATTTTTTTCTTTTCTTTTCTTTTTTTTTCTTTTTTTTTTTCTTTTCTTTTTTTTCTCTTCTTTTCTCTTCTTTTTTTTCTCTTTTTTTTTTCTTTTTTTACTTCTTTTTAAGATTGGCAAATGCATAAAACAAAATGGCATTTGGAAATTCTCAAAACGTGCTTTACTGTCAAATGCATGATTATTATTAGTTATTTTTCTGACAGTATTATTTGCTGATAGATTCAAAATATTTTGCAGTATTTAAATTTTATTTTGTAAATCTTTTATTTTTTAGGAAATTCAATAGCTAGTAAAGTAACGTGTACATCATGTGGTAAGCAATTAAATCCCTCCAAAAAAGGGGCAATTAAAAGGCATCCTAAGTTAAAAGTAATTGTTTGCAAGGTAAGTGTCTTTCACTTTTATGGTTAAAATAACAGCCAGTACAAATGTGAATTGCATTGTTATGAAAATCTTCTTTACTCTATTACATTCTTGTTAAAAGTCCAAATATTCTAAAAAAAAAAAAAAATAAATAAATAAATTGGAATATTTTTTAAAAGAAATTATCTCTGGTGATTTATAGTTGATTTTTTTTTTTTTTTTTTTTTTTTTTTTTTTTTATTTTGATTATAGAAAATGGTAAGCTTTTGTTTTGTGACATACTTGTCAGATTTCAATGATTTTTTTTTTTTTTTATCTAATTTTACCTTTAAAATTTATCCTGAGTAATTAGAATAGAAAATATTTTTGTAGAAATTTTGCAAGTACTTTAAAGTATTTTAAAGAATAAGTGTTATAAGGGAACACTGAAAATTCCCACTTTCAAAGATTTTGTCATTAAAATATTAATTTGGAGAAGAGTCAAACAGAACTTTTTAACACTTCATATATTGCATTCAAAATTTTATTGTATGTAGAACATATGTCAAATGACCATTCAAGTCAGAAAAGAATATAGGATTTGGCTAGTAAGATTTGTTAAATTTGTGATATTATGTAATTTTATTCATTCTAGTCTCTTTCAACTATGGCTGAACTGATTCTTGTGTTTGGAACAAATGCAGTAATAATATAAATGCTAAAAACATTCATGTAGATTATTGAACTGTCAGGATTTTCTGTTCTTACCTATAATCAAAAATACCTACCAGTTTTTATTGATTAAAAGAAGCTCTTATTTAAAATCAATGACCTCTACCAAGTGACATACAAGTAAATTTGTTGCTATCAGTATTAGTTTTCATATTTATTTATAATTCTTTGAATTTTCATTTCTCTTTATAGAAGTGTTACAAATACTATTCAAGTGGTGAAATCTCGCAAGATGCAGATGGTCTTGATGAACAGTGTCGATGGTGTGGTGAGGGCGGCCGTCTTCTAGGCTGTGACTTTTGCCACAATGCCTTTTGTAAAGGTTGTATTCTGAGGAATTTAGGTCGATCTGAATTAAGGATTATTACAGATGCAGGTATGTCTTGTAGTCATTTATTTTTATTGAAGTACTGGAAACTTAATATGAGTATCCATAATGAAAATGATAAAGCTTTTTAACTTTTTTTTTTTTTTTTTAATCTTGGAAAATTTTGAAGTCACTTATAGCAAATTGTCTAGGAACAAATGTACTTGTTAAATTTTCAGATATACATTCTTGATTTTCTACTTGTGTACCAATAAAAAGTATCATGAATTTAATAAATGCAATAGCTTTCTTTAAAAAATAAAATGATTTGTATCTTAAAATGTTACAGTAATATTAAATATGTAAACAGAGAACGTGTTCAGCTTTGGATTATATGTATCTTGAATTTAGCATATTCAATTTTGTTTTTCATTTAGAGACTTAAAAATCATCAGTTGACCAGCAAGTATTCATTTTTCATATTTTAGTTTTTAAAAAAATCTATTAACTGAACTTTCATGACATATTGATTGCAATGTCTCAATTATATGAGAGCAAAACTTCATAGTCTGGTGCCCCTTCATTTAGCAAACAGAAGCTTCTTATTTGTGTGGCTTCTTAGACATTTTTTCTTTGCATCTATGATTTGATTAATTTTAAGTCATATGTAAGAATAATAATAATAAACATTCTATCAGTGATAGAATTCCTAAAGAAAAAAATTTGTTGATTGGCAACAAAATATTTTATAGCACACAGCATTGTCTACTTTGGTCATCTCTCTTGTGTTGCATTTACAAGCAATACATACATTTATAATTTTTCACTCTACCTGATAACTTATAATCTTGTATAAAAGTAAAGATAGGATCTGCATGTTATCAAGCTTCAGCAAAAACGGTTTTACATTAAATTCAGACAAAATTTGGTCGAGTCAAGTGTTCCTCTAGTTTCAAACTGCCTAAGGTATTTTACAGGAACAATGAGTGAATTATTTTTGTATTATAATTAGTATGCACCAATAACTGTTAAAAGTACCTGCTCTGTATGTTTTTACTTTACTTTTATAGATGCAACATTTTTTTTAATTTGTTTCTTCTTTAGGTTCAGAAAAGTGGAAATGCTATGTTTGTGACCCTCCAAAATTAAAAGCATTAGTTTCACACTGCAATGAAGTATTCAATCAGTTGGAAGAAGAACGAAACAGAGAGGACTTGATGCAGATCAAACAGGCAAAATCACAAAGGAAGTCATCAGCACCAGGTAAAAAGTTTGATGCTGTGTCCATTATTCCAATCTGTGACGAAAGTATGAATGTCACTCCTAAAACTCTTGGGATTGTTATTGAAAAGCTACTGGCTGCCACCACGTCAATGACTTTTATGCTCAATACCCTACAGACAGATATAAAGGAAGGTGGTTATGGATCAGACCAAGCTGCAATAGCTGAAGGACACTCACCTGCAGAGTTGGGTGTGATACAATTAAAAAAGGGTCTTGTAAAGTATTTTTTAGCTCTGAAAGAAACCTTATTCACATCTGAGGTCAAGGAAGAAAAGTCTCAAAATGATAACTTAAATAAAAAGTCTAGTACAAAAGCCTGTGGCAGTTCAGTGGCATCAGAAAGTAAAAAATTAAAAAATTCCGGTAAAGAAAAAGGAAAAAGTAACAATTCTGAACGGAAATATACCAAGTCTAGAATCTCCTCCAGTGATAGTGATGATGGGGACTTAAAATCACAGAAAGCTGAGCAAAATAAAGGACTAGAAAAGCCTAAGCACAAAGACTCCTCAGCTTCTGGTAAAATGAAAGTAGGAACAAACAGCAATAGCCAAACAAACGAGGTTATCTTTATGTCAGATGATGATGACGATGATGAAGAGGATGATGATGATGATGTAGAATTTTTGGGTGAGAGTAAATTAACAGATGACATGTTTGTTGATGGAGATAAAATTAACAGTCCTATTAAAAATGAATGGTCTCCCAAAGCAAAAGACACTATAAAAAATGAATGTCCTTCTCCACACAGTGATTCATCTGAAGAAAGTCACATGGTATCACATTTAAAAGAACAATCTGCATATAACAATCAAGTTTCAGATAATGAAAGCCAGTCTCACCAGAAAGAGCAGAGCAGGGATAGTGAAAAGGTAAAGAGAACCAGTAGTAATGAAGAAGAGGGAATATCAAAGAAAAAAGATAGAGATGAAGAGAAAAATTCTAGAAAGAAAGATGAGAGAACACCCAGGAAAAGGTCCTTATCTGACAAATTAGAGAAAACACCAAAAAAAAGAGATGAGAAAACAACACCAGTGAAAAATGAAGATAAATCAATTTCTCAACAAGACCAGGAAGATGAAAAATGTTTGGCTAAGGCTGAGCATGATAACAGTAACGATGATAGTGATCTTTCTGTGGATGACATTCCACTGATTATGCGGTCTCAGAAAACTGAGAAGAAGGTAAATGAAGACCGTAAGAAGAAGCCTGTCAAAGAGAAGGCAGAGGGAGACCAGAAAGATTTAGTGAAAGAAAATGAAAAATCCTCTTCTGAAGAGACACTTAATTTAAATACTAAGGAAGAGATCCATAGTCCTATTACTAACCACACTAACAGCTTTTTAAGTAACAAGCCATTGCATGATCCAGAAAATGCAGCAGCTCAACTATCCTTGTTGATGGAAATGGCAAATGAAATTTCCAAGAACCAAGGCAATGATTCGGATAATAGTGCTGACAATCATCTTGATCATGATGCGGATGACATGGATGATGATTTCAATCAGTTCACCAATCATGTCACAGATAATCTCTGTGATAATACTGATGTCTTTGACATGAATGGAAAGGAAAGATCAGAAACGCCCAAACTGATTAATTCTGATGGAGACCATGAAAATTCTCATCCTACTCCAAAGACTGAAAATCTTGACTTTTCAGATAATGTTAATTCAGACAATGATTCTGCAAAAGTTTCAAAACACTCTGACAATGAATCATCTACTAAACTGACACCAAATAAAAGACGTTTCCGTAACAGCAAAATTAGACCCAGACCTCAGAGTGGTATAAGTGATTCTGAAAATGAACCTTGTGATGGTGGTTCTGACAAGAGAAAAAGAGCGTCTAATAAAAATAAATCTTTGTCTTCTGATGGAAGAAAAAAGAACAATGATCCCAGTGATTCTAACAATCAGTCTGATGGTGGTAATCACTCTGATCATGGTGACCAATCTAATAGTAATCAATCAAATGATGGGAAAAAAGATGACAACACGGATTCTGACAAAGATAAAGATAAATCAGATGACAATGACAGTGAAAATGAGAAGAAGACAAAAACTAAGAAGAAGGAAACAAAGAAACAGGAAGATGGTAAAAAATCCAAAGATAACAAAAAAGTCACTACAAAGAATGAAAACAATCCTGATGACTCTGACAAGGAGAGCAAGGTAAAAAGAGAAGAGAACAAAGGAAAAAGTAATTCTTCTGATGCCAGTGATAACAATGGTAACAACTCTGATTCTGATTCTGATTCCTCAGACTCAAGTGATGATAGTGATCTTTATACAAGAAAAAGACGACGAACACGAATGGGCAAGAACAAAAAAGGTTTGTATAGATATATATATATATATAAATGTGTGTATATCTATATATATATAGTGTGTGAGTGTTAGTATATAAATGTGTGTGTGTGTGTTTATAAATGATTTCTATATTTTTGAGTATTCTCTAATCTAGTAGTACTTGGCTTGATATTAAATGCTTTTCTATCAGACATCAAAATTCAAGACACAAAGCTCTGCTTTGTTTTCATCAGTAATTTTTTTTTTTTTTTTTTTTTGTTTAGCAAATCTACACTTAAAAAGCTAATTTTCTGTTTTTCTTTTTTCAGAAAGGAAAAAACAAATCAAATTTTTAACTTGTTCAACAATTTTTTTTTAATACTTATTTTATTTCTAATTATACATTTTTTCAGATTATAACTTAAAAAAACTCACTTATGTTACTTTAGGTTCTATTTTAGTTGCCAAAAATATAAAATCATAAACAAAGTTACTCCTTTTTCTAAATAAGCATTTTTAAGTTTCACCTACTTTCCATTAAGTAAATTTTAATATTTAAAGCAGAAATTTTTTTTTTCTTTTCTTTTTTTAAAAAAAAAAGAACTTTTTTTTTTTTTTTACATACAGAGGCATGTACATATGTAAATATTCTTGCGTGAGATTAAACTAATAGTTCATCAAATAAGTATTCTATCATAGTATTAGATAACAATGTGTTGGGTGGTGAGGCTTTAATCCTACTGAGACTGTAAAAATAGCTGCTAATAAATGAAATATAAATATTTTTCATAACATTTTGCAATAGAAATGATTGAAAGAAAATGTTTCAACTGAATGTTTGGTGCTGTTTAGTAGAATTGTCTTTTATACAAGTACATTGATTGTATTGGAACTTTAACCCCATACTACGATGAAAATGACTTCTTTTTTCAATTTATTTTATGAATTAGGTGTTATCATTTTCTCATTAGATTACATCATTGTCTATGAGGACTTATTTACTCTTGTTCCTAGATGACACTTCAGCCATTTATGCCAAAGGTTGTTCCCCAAAATTTATTGTGGGGTGGGGGTGAGATGTTGAAATTATATTTTCAAATTAAAACAAAATCTATTACTCATTTGTTTTAGGATTCTTGAAGTTCATGATTATCTTTTGATTTTGATTTTTTTTTTTTTTTTTTTTATTGCTGGAAGACACGTAATTGATGATGCTGTGGATTGTCATCTCTGGATAAAAAATATTGTTGTACCCATTGCATCATTAATAAACGTTCTATGGATTTAATTTTTATCCAGTATACAAGATTCAAGAGGTTGCATATTCAGAGATAATTAGTGGGGTGGGGAGCAGAAGTTAAAACAAGTGATGTTTATCCATAGAAATATCTTTTTGTCATAATCATCTTGTAATTGTAGTTTTTTTTTTTTTTTTTTTTTTTTTTTTTTTTAAAAATAAAAGCAAAAAAGAAATGTGGGACATTTTTGGGGGGAAAATATGAAATTTGAAAATACTTTTAGCTACCCACTTGATTACAACCAGATAGATATTGCATTGTCCAATGTTTGGAGTTGATTGGTCAGTCAGGCCTTTGTATCCACCGTGGTTGAAAAAATATTTAAAAAAAAAAAAAAAAAATCCAAGAAGTTCCAAAAGGGAAAACCTGAATTTGCTATATACCAAACACTACATTGAATCTATACGAATGAAGGGGGTTAGTAAGCATCTCCTATTATAGCTTTCTGCCACTTCATAAATCTTTCTCCAGCACTCATTGTTTGAATATTGTTTGTTTTTGATTTCATTTGTTTGCTGTTTGTGTTCACTTTTTCTCTCTAAAAATTTGAAATGAAAACTTTTTAAATTTACCTTTTTTTATTAAATAATGACTGAATATTTTATTCAATAATTATTGAATATTTTATTAAACTTCAATAATTAGTTGTTTTTTGTAGCTTTTTTCAAGATTTTTTGACTAAACATTTTCTAATGCAAATTATGATTTTTGTTTACAGATAAATCTTCACACTATCACTTTTTTTTTTTTTTTTTTTTTTTTAAATATCCAGTTATTTAGAATACACAATTTTGATATCAAAACTTTCTCCCTCATCACAAAAAATTTCAAGTCAATACCCGCCATCCACTCTAGGTGTTAATTTCCTGCTGTAATATTTTCATTATATCAACTATTTACATAGCATTTATATTGTATTATGTATTAAAAATAATCTAGAAATTATTTAAAGTATATGTGGGAAGTGTGTGTAGGTTATGCATAAATATTATGCCCTTTTATATAAAAAAACTGAATTATCAGATTTGGGTATGCACAGGGTGTCCTGGAAACAATTCCATGTAAATACTGAGGGGAAAACTGTATTAGATTTGATTTAGCTTTTAGTATTTCAGGCTGTTTCCTGCCAATATGTTTGTGATTACACTGCATCTGTAATTTATATTTCTAAATTTTTATTTAGACAGTGATGTTCTTAATTAATTTTAAAAATTCAGTTTTACAGCACTTTAAATTTGTTCATATTTTACATTAATGAATTATAAATACTTGCTGGTAAGTACCCTGTTGAACAATTAAGGGTTTTTTTTTTTTTTGTTTTTTGTTTTTTTTAAGCAATGGTTTAATGTATAGTGAGTATCCAATTACTTAGGTTCGTTTTCAATATGCACATAATTTTTTTTTCTAAGGGATAAGAATGCATCATTGTATTATATGTACATTTATAAAATTAAATTGGAGGATTGTTTATTCACTAAATACTGCCTGATAACTACATATTGGCTATTTACAAATGATTGTTATAAATAGTTGATACTTTAAGTATATACAAAATACTTTGATATTTTGTCATAATAAAATTTTAAATATTTAAGCTCCTCATTGAAAAGTTTACACCTCATTATCATAATTATTAGCAATCATTTGGAGAATATATTTTATAACTATTATTAACTATATTATCTTAGAACTAAATTTAAAAATAAAATATTTTCTGATTAACAATAGATTGAAAAAAAATGTACTCATTTAAGTCATATTAAAGATGGTTCCCATGTCTTGAATATTACATGATATAAACATTATTTCTGATGCATTTTATAAGACATAGACAAAAAAAGCCCTAAATGACATAAGCAATAAATTTTATAAGATATAATGAACTCAAATTTGTGCTGAATTATCTGTATGTAACATTCTCAAATAGTATTAATGTCTTGCAAAGAGTATGAAAATTCATGAAATCATTTTAAAATTTTTACCTTAATTGATAAATCACTAAATTTTAATGTAATAAGTGCATTAAAGCTATAAAAAATCATCCTATATAATAGTTTCATATTTAAATTTAGAAATAGCTGTCAAGTGATCCAAATTACTTGTTCTGATGGTATAAAAAAATTTATACTTTAAATTTTCTTATAATTTTATTAAATGCCAAATATTAAATACCTTTATTTTGCAGCATGATGTACATTTATTTTGAGGTGTTATATTTCTCATTTGTTTTTAGTTTTCCTTTTCTTTTTTTTTTTCTTTGTATGTAGATTTATTACTTGTATCTCTTAAATACAATCCTTGTCCTTTTTATTTTTCCTTTCTTTTTACAGAAGAAAGTGCCCAAAAAGAAACGGTGAAAAAAATGCCTCTGAGCAAGAAGGAAGTTGAATCTAAAAGAGAAACCCGGGGTAGAAAACCAAAGAAAGAAAAAACTGAATCTAGTAACGAAGAGGATGCAGAAAAAGAAGAGGTAGCCAGTGAAAAGATAAAAGTCAAAAAGGAAGATAACTCTGAGTCTTCTAACTATGATTCCGAGTTAGAAAAGGAAATAAAAAAGTTATCTCAAAAAGTAGTTATTAAGAAATCTACCAAGCAGAAGAAAAAGGAAAAGTCAGATACAGAAAGCAAAGAAAATGATAAAAAGAAAGGAAAAGGTAAGGTATTTTTTTTATTTAGAGCAACTAAAGTAACTTTTATTCTGTTACTTAAGTTTTAAACAAATTAATTTCAAAAAAATAAAAATCATATAGGTAAGATTATATAGTTTATAAAATTTATTTTTAAACTGTGAATAATAAAATATCAGATTTAAGTTTTTGACTATTTGACACTTATTTTAAATGTTATTGACTGCTTCTCTCTCTCACACACACACACACACACATCGGGAAATTTTTAAAAGTTCTTGGCCCAATATAATTCTCCAAAATCTGACCAAATAACCAAACCTCAGAATTTAAGAATTTATTTCAGAATCCTTTCTTGGCCTTCTCTCTCTTTCTCTCACCTACACACACAAGAAATTGTTGGTTGCTTACTTTTGTAAAGCACCTTGTTCTAAACATTTCTGTTAGTTGAATCCAAAGGAGTTATAAAAAAATGTATACTAAAACAACTTTAGAAGTAGTTAATGTTAAGGCACACAAAATATATACATCTATAACTTGTCTGTGTTTTTAGTTTTCATCTTGTTTATTGAATGTGTGCAAGATTGTTACATTTGTTTTTTTTTTTTTTTGGCTATTCTATAATTGTAAACAGATTATAGACATTGGATTTTTATTCCTTTTATATGCTTGAAGTATATTGTTAAATCTAAGTTGTCCCCCCTTGATAATAGTCTGTTCGTAGTTTTACCTGGTACCAGTTTAATTGTGATGAGTGGTTTATTGATACTTTAATGGTGTTTTCCTACATATCTAGGTAAAGATAATAAAAATACAGATGAAATGTCCTTCTCTGATTCCTCTCATGAATCTGCTGACAGCTCTGATGATGAAGATGATGATAAATCTAGCAAAGAGGTAATTATTTTTATTAATTTATAATTTCGATTAGCTTTGTTGTGTTTCTGTAGTGACAAAGGTAAAATTGACTTGCCCTATTTTGCGTATAAGTCGGTTGTCACTTGGTACAGAGGGAGAACTTCTATGTTGCAGACTAGAAGACATCACAACAATATGGTGTCACCAATAGGACCTGTAACATTGTTGGATGAGCTGGACATTACAGAAACATGGATTCATTGTTTTACAGGCCAAGAAGTTAAAAGACCACAAAATTGCAAGAGGAGAGGACAAGATTACAGATCTCTTTTGGCTTTGGCACAATGTGAGAGAGATCTGTCATGGCACATCTCAGAATTGGAGGATTTGATCTTTTCACAAATTTCGGACATTATAGAGAAATTTGCAACGGAAAAAGAAGTTGGTTATTGCTGAGAATACAGTATTTCTCATGAGCAAACTGCCAAACAAAACAATAATACAGCATGTATTCAAGGTACGAGAGGCTTCCAGATTCTGTGAGTTGGAAAAACTTGGCGCCAGAGAAATGACCATCGAAAATGAGTTGATTAATTGAGGGTATGTGTGATGCTTTGTACAAGCAGGAAATTTTAGAACAGTTACAACTGACTAAAATGTCCTTGCATACAATACACTCAAGATTGAAAAAGCATATTGAATTACCTTGTGTAATGCAAATACTGTGATAAAAAGCATGAACGGGACACAAAAAAAAGTCCTACTTTAGGACAAGTTTGATGAAATTGTGAAAAGAAAAAAAACAATTCTAGTTTGTGTGCAAGTATAAAAAGAAAATAGAGGAAACTGTAAACTCTTGTCAGGAAAATAACAGCTGTATTTGTAAGACAAAGAAAAATGATGCAAGTAGATAATTGGAGTGATCTTCTAATCCCAATAAATTTCTGGGAACAAATGGGTAAACCCAAATTAATGAAAAACTGGTTTAAACTGACATTTTGATGGCTCTTTCATCAAAACGTCTGGGTTTTTTTGTTTTTTTTTAAGGAACTCTTGAGACCTACACACACTTCAAAATTATTCCAATCACTGTAGTGAAATGTGAAAAAAGTTATGTACTCATGGGAATAGATGTTTTGAAAGTGAATGCAACCAAATTAATTAACAGTGTGAAGTTGGAAAGTAATGACACGGGGATGTTAAACGGATACAAAGCAAGCATTCAATTAAAAGGAAATACTCCCCCTCTCCTATTACTTTAAGTCTCACAGATTGTTCATTCACATGCTTCCTTTAGTAGTTGCTAAACTGAAAACAATGGTGGAGCAAGGAATTTTAGAGCATGTTCCCCCTGGTGGTAGTAATTGTCTCACCCATTGTTGTTTTACAAAAACTGAATGGAGATTTAAGGATATGTGGGGATTACAAAATAGGAGTAAACCACAAAATATGTGCTGATTTGTTCCCTATTTCTAACATTGAAACTGTTATTCACAAGTTATCAGGAAGGAAATACTTTGCTGAAATTGACCTCAAATCTGCAGATACAAATTGATGAAAGATTTGAAGAGGTACTAACTAGTGATGTTAAGAATATGATCATCTACCAAGATGACATGTGATGGTGGTAACAGTAGAGAAGAGCTTAAAAAAATACTGATTATGTTTTAAACAAATTTAAAAACTGCTGGGATGGCCACAAACAAGGATAAATTTGTGTTAAATTATGATACAATAACATATCTGGAAAGACAGAATTTTACCAGGCGCAAATTTGATAAAGAAAATAGTTATCTACACTTACAAATTTAAAAAAAAAAATTGGAATCTTTAGTGTTAGCCAATTTTTATAGCAGATTTTTGCAAAAATATTCACTATACTTTGGCAAATATTTGATAGAATCCCCTGTGGAGTTACAAAAAAAAGAACAAATTTAAATGAACTCAATGTTAGAATACGGCTTATGAAAATTTAAAGAATGAACTTGTTTTTGTTTTTGTTTTTTTGTTTTTTAAATAAAAAATACCTCCATTATAAAAAATTTTTGGTCCTTAAAATGAAGTAACTTTAACTCAGGACACAAGTGAGCATGTTGTATCAGTGATTTATGTTGTTGTTTTTTTGTTTTTTTTTTTATCATCAAGGTACCTTTCTTGAAGGTTAACATCAGCCTATGCTAACTATTCAAATATTGAAAAAGAAGCATTAGCTATCATATGGAGCACAGAACTCAATAATTTTTATTAGGCAGGAAATTTCTGCTTAAATCTGACCATAAATCTTTACAGTTTATTTTTAACCCAGGAAGGAGTTACCTAAAGTTACATCTAGAATTTTAAGATGGGCCATAAAGCTCATGTCCTTTGACTTCAACATTGAGTATGTTAAAGGGAACTCTACTCCACATGTAGATGCTCTGTCAAGGCTAAATTTCAACAATGAATCATTAGAAAGATCAGACAATTTAGAAGATAAAATATTGCACTGGACTGAAACAGATGCATTGCCCTTAGATTGTCTTACATTTCAAACTTTACATGATCTGGTATTAAAATGCAAGATTGTATGTAGAATAAATGGAGTGATTGTTCTTGGGCAGAGAGATCCTATAAAGAGATAAGGCACAGGTTAACTATAGAGAAGGCTCTTATGCTTTGAAGATGTTTTAATACCACCAGAGATTAAGAAAAGATGTAATAAAGTGTTCATTGTGGAATAACAGCAACATAGAGACAATTAAAATTGGAAGCATGGTGGCCTGGGTGATGTAGAATGATCATGTGATATAGAAAAATATGTGTAAAAATGCACAAAATGTAGGAAAATAAATAAAATAAAAAAAAACTTTCTCCAAACCAAGATAGATTCATGGCTTAAAGAAAGTAATTGGCCTGTTTTCATATGAATCATGTGCATGTTAAAAACATAGTCCTATTTTTAATTTTGGTTGCCTGGATGGCTTAAGTGGTTAGATTCACAAAACAGACATAATATGGCTATAATAGCAATAAGTAGACAAAATTTATTGGCTTATTCTGATCAAATAAGACTTAGAATTGACAATGGAAATGTCTAGATAGAAGGCAAGGAGGACCTGAAAGAGAGGAAAGCGTGAACACTTCTCATGGAGAAAGTAAACATAGTAGTTCTATCCTACAGAGGATAGTTCATACGAATCTGAAATGTTAGAAAATCAGAATGAAGAGAAGTCTGGACCTAGATCCCCAATAAAAAGAACCAGGTACACCCCTCAACAGAGAGAGAATTACTATAGTTCAGAGAAGTCACGGATCAATGAATGTCATGAAACTTCATTTCTGGCAAGTGTAGTGACATAAGCAAAATGGACTTGCCTTATTTTGCATAGTCAAGCAGCTACTAATAAGTCTGTTGTCACTTGGCACAGAGGGAGAACTTCTACATCACAGACTGGAGGGCTCCACAACAGTTTCATAGCTTTGGTTGAGGTTGTGAGGAACTTGTCTGCTGATGAACAGGAATAAATAAAAAGAGGCAAAAAATGGGGGCCTAGAATAATTTTGAAGGAGAAAGTCAGGTTCTAGGATATGAATGCTTGTTTAATACTGTGTTAAACAAATTGAATTACTTTGTGTTGAGCCAGTGAGTAAGTGCAGTGTATAGGCCAGGCATTATTTTCCAGAAGCATGGAGATTTGTGACCTTTTATTTGTAATGATGTCCAAAACAAATTGCCCTTTTTATAATTGTCAGTGACCATGCTCTGTTTTTATCTTTTGCATGCCCATCAATGCTGAAAAAGGTTGCTTCTGTTTTTCATGCATGCACATATAATCAAACACAGGTTAAGGTATAGCTTTGCTTATTGGGCTATATTTTTAATGATGATACAAATCTTATAAATATTTATAATTACTGCATCAGTAATCTTTGATGCTTTATAACATGAGTAAATACTATTTAAAATTAAAATGGGAGATCACTGTAATCCTGCAGTATTAAGCATGTGGAAATGGAGGAAATTTGTAATATCAATATTTGCCTAATTAAAAAAATATGTAGAGATTTAATCCAAAGTACAGTCTCTGTTTACTTTAGCTTTTTAAATAGATTTTGAACTTTTATTTTCTTTGAAAATTGCTTATGCTTCTTTTTCTCTGAGAACTCAGCACTGATGAAAATTCAATTATAAAACTTTGAATAGACTGGTAATGTCTAATCTATGGTAGCCTCTTTGATCCAATCTATACAATAGGCTAAATTCTTTAGATATAACAAAAATCATATTGATGGGATATAAGGAGACTTGATTGCTAATCATTGATTGTAATGTGATACCATCCTTGTGAGTTTTGGAAAATTTTGTTAATTTATTATTACACTGCATTAGTTGTTCTGTACTCAGTGTTACTACAGGAATGTTTTTAACTCCTATCCTGAACTGTTTTAGATACTGAATTAAGCTCTTTCTATCATAAAATTATGGCATACAACTTGTTTTTGAGTGATGGTAAATTTCACAAACTTACCAATTTATTTAACAATCCTTATTAATTTTTAATTATTTTACTTTGTGTTTTGATTTTGGATTAGGAGTATTTGAAGTTAACTGGTATCAATTGAGGTAACTGATTTCTCCATTTATCTGTTTTGTTTATTTATGCATGATATCTGTATGTACTAAACAAATCTAAAATTATTTACTTGTAGTAAACCTGTTTGAGAATTGTTGAAAAATGTATTTAATCATTAACTGAAGAAATTACAAGAGGAATATTTTGTCCAAATCTTGATGCAGTGATTTGGTTATTTATGACCATAGTTTGTTAACCTGTCATTTTTTTTTCTAAATGAATGTTCAAACCCACCAAGATTTGTTTTAGCTATTGCTTGTTGCTATTTAGTAGATCTTCTCATTTGTTACTTGTGAATATCTGCAGGATGAAGCTAAAATTAAAGAAGAGAAAGAAAATGCTGAAAAATTAGCTTCTATGATTGAAGATGCTGATAAAGAAGCAGAAGAGGAGGAGGAGGAAGAGGAAGAGGAGGAAGATGATGAAAGCTCTGACAGTGACAGCAGTGGATCAGGTAATTTAATTTAAAATTTTCTAGTTGATAATAGCCAAAGCAAATATACTGATGGGAAATAAAATTGCAATGTCCTGAATATGTTTCAATTTACACATGTACAGGTAATGTAGCTGGATTGCTGTAAATGTTCACATATGAGTCAAATCAACAAGGCTTTGACCATTGCTGACACAGATTATTTTCAAAATTTGTTACACTTATAGAATTTCATGATCAAAATTGGATGGTACCTATTTTACATCTCTAGGTCAAACCGCTTCCTGAAATATGACCCTTTGAACCTTGTCACAAAGGTAAATTTTGGAAAATAGTCATAAATTTTAAATATCTATCTTGGTAGTTTTTTTTTCACCTACAAAGGTAAGTTATTTACCATTTTAAAGTACTTGGATAGATCTAAAAGGTGATCTCTTTTTTTTTCTTTTTCTTTTTCTTTTTTTAAAGGTCAAATAAGAATTTGACCTTAACTTTTAATTTCTCAAAAAAAAAAAAAAAAAAATATCTTTTAATTTCTTTAAAAATTTGGCAGATTTATGGCAAGATATGTACAGGATTTTATGGTGGACTTTTGACTGTGGCTGGTGTTACAGGGGTTTTACTGAGTTGGGCCAAATTCAGAATGGCTGATTGTGCATCTGCCACTATTTGCTAATATTTCCATATCTCCCAATAGGTCAAGTTGTATATCTTTAGTAAGCTCTTTCTCAGAACTATGATCATAAGTTCAACAGAATTTGTGTTATTTGTGGTTAAATGTTGACAATTTGGTGGAAAATAAACAACCTTGGTTATGTTTGTGGTTTAGTTAATGTTGAAAAAAATGTATTAATATAATTTAACAAACTGAAAATATTGAAATTTTGAATTTGATGAAAATAGTAAAAAGCTACTATAAACTGAATAGTTTTTTGGTAAGGTTTGATGTCTTTTATAAAATATTTCAGTTAAAAACTTTAGTGGATGAAATACCAAAGAAATTAAACTCTTAAAAAAAAAATGAATTGCACCTTGTAGATTCTTAATCAGTTGGTTTCATATCTCTGCACTTATGACTCTAGGCACACACAAATCAAAAAGATGGTGTGCTGCATTTATTTTATCTAAACCATTGGACTGAACATATCAAAATTTGTATTGCTGAGTGAATGAACTTTACCAACTGAACCCCATTTTAAATCAAGCCTGTTTCATGCATTTTAAAACAGTATAAAGATATAAAAAAATATATATATTCATTGTATATTGTTCAAACTGTCATGCTCAAATCATTTTCACCTCAGCTGTTGCTTTTGTGTCTTCTTGGAAAAGCATAAAATTTATATTATGAAGTAAAAAAAATAAAATAAACTGGATATATTTTACTTTAAATTTTGCATACCCACACTTGTCTGTAAAAATTAAAAAAAAAAGTATCCAGTTTTCCTTTTAATGGTCATTTGATTTCATTTATATTCATGGCTAGTAATGTTCTTCAATTCACCAGATTTGGGGATTTAATTGAAAAATGAACTGGAAAAAAAATTGCAATGTAAATTTCCATCATTTAATCAGTTTTTTTTTTTTTTTTTTTTCTTTAAGCAGGCTGAAGAAGATTCCCCAAATTCCTTGCAATATAATGCATGCTGATAAAGTTAAAAACTGATGAAAGGGATAGACTTTGGATGCTTATAACTTGGTTGCTGATTTAACTATTAAAATAAATTTTTTTTTTTTTTTTTATATAGTTTGTGATACCTATATTTATACATTTTATAACCTGGTTGTAGAATGTAAAATTAACCTGAATACTGCAATGAGTAGCAGGGATTATAAAAACACTAGTTAAAAATTAATGTGAATGCTTCATCGAAGATATTTGTCCAATTTTATTATTGGACAAAGCGTGTAGGGTAGTTAGAGATTGAAATAAAATATTTCAATTTTTTTTTTTTTTTTTTTTTTTTTTTTAAGTTGCTTTTAATCTCACTATATGATTCCTCTTATTAAGTTTTGTACTATTTTGCAGATATTATCACAAACAAGAAAAGGAAGAGAGCGGACAAAAACAGTACCAAAAAAAGTGGAGAAGATTCCACTTCTGATGCGCAGCCTAAGAAAAAAAAGAGCAGTCGTTTATTACAAGCCAAGTTGTCTGACTCAGACAGTGATGAAAAGGGGTAATGAGTTCTGTTTTAATACATACTTTGAAATTCAATTATTCATTTTAATTGCATTAAATTTAAAAAGTAAAGTTTTTGTTTCTTCAGGCTTTGAAGATTTGTGGGTGGAATAGGGACAGTCTACACCTGTAATAATGGGTTCAGTTCGGAATTCTTTGTAAGTTAGATCAACATGCACCTGATGAAGGTCTGAGGCACAACGATTGAAACCTGACAACAAAGAGGACAATAGTCCATATGTAAATGTAGTGAAATGTGGATAGATTGCTAGAGTGCAGTGAATGCATTCAGCAATAAAATTATCCTTTATGCATAATACAATGAATGTAATGAAAACCAACCTTGTATTAGATTTTGATTTTCTTTGTGTTGCCATTATTATTCTTCATATAAGTCTCAAGTAGGCCTGGGTACCCTACTTCTGTAATTTATCCCAAGAATCTTCTTCTCATAATAGGGAGAAGCCGGCTCAATCCGCCCAGGGTGAATGCCGCATCAGTACAGTACGTAAGTCAAGGCTTTAAGAGTGGTTGAATTGATAAAATGTATAGATCTCAAACATAAAAATAATTGTTTATTCTTATTAATTTCTATTTGTTTTGCTGATTATGTTTAAATGCCTAAAGACAAAATGGCATTTCAAATTATCTTTTTTACTTTGACTATAACTTTTCTTTTTTTTTTTTCTCTCTGCTCTTTTTTCATTTTTTTTCTCTGCTCTTTTTTCATAGATAAATCTTAGTTATTTTGATAGATAAATCTTAGTTATTTTGATAGATAAATCTTAGTTATTTTGATAGATAAATCTTAGTTATTTTGATAGATAAATCTTAGTTATTTTGATAGATAAATCTTAGTTATTTTGATAGATAAATCTTAGTTATTTTGATTAAATTTTTATTTTGAGATAAATCTTAGTTATTTTGATAGATAAATCTTAGTTATTTTGATAGATAAATATTATTTTGATAGATAAATCTTAGTTATTTTGATAGATAAATTTTGATAGATAAATCTTAGTTATTTTGATAGATAAATCTTAGTTATTTTGATAGATAAATCTTAGTTATTTTGATAGATAAATCTTAGTTATTTTGATAGATAAATCTTAGTTATTTGTTCTCCAAAAAGAATTTGAAAAACTTAATTTAATCCTCAAGGATAATCAGCTTTTTTATATATCTATTTATAGATTATCTAACAGTTTCATCAGAATGTTTTGTATTATCCTTTATCCAGTTTTCCTAAATAGATTTGGTAAAACTGAATTCTGAAGGTGAGAGACTTTGGTCACTTTTTTTTCTGAAACTGCTAATTTAAGGAACTAGTATTAATATGAACAAGCAATAATTGTTCTATACTATTTCTAAGATATGAAATAATTGGTCTCACTTGAGTTGTAATAAATCTACATATGTAAGAGAAGAGGCTGAACAAACCCAAAGAATGTGTGCATCATAGATTTTTTTTTTTTTTTTTTTTTTGCAATTGCCTTACTAAAGTTGAACCCTCATGAGAAGAATGACATCTGATTAAATATGTGGAAAAGAAAAACCCTTTCAAGTCATTTTAAAAGAATGTGGCTATATCCAGAGAATTAGGAAAATATGGCATGGTAAATGTCTAGAGTGAAAGGCTCATCCTCTCTGGTATGAAGTACAACTATTAGATAGGATATATCACTGAAGAGTGAGAAAATAGGAGGAAGTGGGATATATTGCCAGATGTGTATTAGTCAAGATTTCAACTTGGTGTGGTTTTCTTTGCACAGCACATAGAGAATTGAAGAGCATCTTTATGTATCCGTTTGTTTTGTAGGTACTGGTATGTTCATGTTATATTAGCCAGCATCCTTTTCTTTTTATCAATTTTGTATGCCAAAAGAAGGCTTTAAAATAGATTGGTTGATATATTAGCAACATAAGCTTTTTCAAGAATAGTCTATAACAACTTGGAGAATAGCTTGAATGTTCCAATATAAAAGTTTTGAAGAAGGTACATAAAAAATATAAATATTAAAATGTTCTGCTTGTACTAATTAAGTTTATTTTCCTAGATACACTAGTTGAAAATATATTTTCCTGTTTAAATTTTCTGCTAGTATTCTGAAAATGTTAAAGATTAGTTATTTCCCATAGACCGTTAATAAGTCTTCTAAAATAACAATACTGTATAGCAGGTGTGTCAGACTGGCAGCCTTTTGCATGCATCTTGGCGGCCTTCACAAAGGTTTCTATAGCAGTGGTATATCGAGCATTTTGTCTATGTTGGTAATGCAAATTATTAAAAACAGTGAGATTTTTTTTCAATTGGTATGATTAGATTGTTCTATCCCAATGTTTTTTGTTTTCGAATATCAGCGACTATTTTTAACTTCCAGTTAATCATGTGATCATCCTTGACAATTAAACAAGAACAAATGTAGTGAAAACGTTTGTAATATTTTGCCTTAAAAATGTGGAATTCTACTCCATCTCATAAAAAGAGAAAATTATCTGAAAAAAGGATGTGTTTCAAGAAAAGTAGGAATTACAGTACTTTTGTACCACTCTTAATGGAAAGATAAAAACTGTTTGGTTTACAACCACTGCATTGCAATGTCAAAAGAATATAATGTGAAAAGACATTATGAAACAAACCATCAATCTTATGATAAATATGAAGGAGATATGTATGTTTCAAAAGTGAAGGCATTCAAGGTTAAGTTAACACAGCAACAATTGCTTTACAAAAATTCAGAAAGGCAGCATTAGTTCTGTTACTGCAAGCTTTGAACTCTGCAAAATGATTGCCATCAGTGGAAAATCTTACAGTGAAAGAGATTTCATAAAGCAATGTCTTGTAAAAACAGCTGAAATTGTATATCCAGAGAAGTCACACTTATTTCAAGACATTTCATTAAGCAGGAACACTGTTGCTGAATGGATTGATGAAATGGGAGGTGATTTGAGTTGACTGTTGAAGAGTTTTTCATAAAGTTTTGAACATTTTTCTATTGCTCTGTATGAGACTGTTGATATAGCTGGAATAATACAGCTCGCCATTTTCATCAAGGCTTGCAACAATGAATTTCAAATTTATGAAGAACTAATTGAACTGGTCCCAATGCTTGATACTACAAGCCAGGACATTTTTGAGAAAGTTGAACAGCTTCTTCATGAGTATGGCCTTGATTTGAGTAAACTTGTGTGGTTATCTACTGATGGTGCTGCCAATATGGTTGGGAGACATAATGGTGTTGCTGCCAAATTAGGTACAAAAATAGAAAACATATATTCAGATTCAACATTCAAGCATTTTAACTGTATAATTCATCAACAGAACTTAGATTTTAAAATTAGATCATGTGTTTAGTTTTGTCACAAAAACAGTGAATGATATCAGATCATGCTCTGCATCACCATCAGTTTAGCCAGTTATTAGAAGACATGAATAATCAATTCACAAATGTCCCATTCTATGCATAAGTTCAGTGGCTTTCATGTTAGAAGGTACTGAAAAGAATTTTTTTTATTGCGACACAAAATTGTTTTTGGAGATGAAGGGTCAGCGCACAGATGAATTGAAAGATAAAAGCTGGCTACAAGATCTAGCTTTTTCAGTGGATATTACTTAATTGACCTTAATTTGAAATTATAAGGTAAAAATAAGCTCATCACTCAGTTATATGATGATATCAAGTGTTTTATTACAAAATTAGCTTTATTGAAGTCCCAGTTGTCACATGAAAACTTGATTCATTTTCCTATGGGCAAGGATTGAAAAAAACTGCCAATACTGAGTCTGTATTTATCTTTGCTAAGTATGACAATTACCTGGAATTGCTTTCAAAGGAATTTCAGCGAAGATTTTGTGATTTTTCATCTTGTGAATGAATTACATTAAGTAATTAGGGTAATGTTTAAAAAAAATGGACAGTTATAAATATACATTTTATAATATAAGCCGATAATAAAAATACATATTTGTGTATTTGTCACTAGTAAAAAAAATTTGAATATTTTGATTTGTTTGGTTTGAAGGTGTTTTTTTTTTTTTTTTTTTTTTTTTTTTATTACCGGTCTAATTATATAGAAATTTACATATATTATAAAAATATCAAAATATAAAAGATGTATGCATTTACTATGGAAAGATTATAAATAAATTTTGATGGGGCAATTTCTCAGTACTATCAATTATATGAAGGACAGAATAATACCATGTGGCAAACCACTCGAAATAAGTTTTTCATAAAAAATCAGATTAATAAGTTAATAGGTACCTCCACGAGATCGCTAAAAAAAGAGCATAGCATGATGAAAAAGACACCAAACTTGACGAAAACAAAATTTTATTGTCTAAATGTTTATTATTAAGATGAAAGATCAAAGTATTTTGGGGGTATTTTTTCATTTTTTAATCGTTCCTAGCATGTCCAAAAGCAGGTCATAAACTTTCGTGTCACTTGACAGGTGATGATTGACATATTGACAGAAGGAGAAAAGTGAAATAATTTACATTTAAGTGAACAAATTATTTACCTCGTTATTTTTAAGGAAAACTTTCAGCACTCTAACTTTTTTTTTTGTACTTACCTTTCACCTTTACGATGCTTAATGGAAAATATATTATAAAGAAATTAAAATAAGACTGTTAAGAGTGAGATTAAATTTCATAAATTAATTTATAGGTGCCTTTCTTATGAAATTTTATCAGAAGTGTACATAAAATACTATAATTTTATGTACATTTATTACATTTTACTGTGTTATTTGTATTTCCATTCATTTTATTTTTAATTTTGATATTTATGGAAAAATGTCATAACTGAGATTAATATAAAAATAAGATCATATAAATTTCATAAGATGATACTGATACTTGTAGGTACCCTTCTCAGTTGAAATTGAAAAATCAAATTAACTTCTCCACACGTGTTTCTCAAAGGTAAAGGCCTTAACAGCGGAGAAAAATGCTTAACTCAAATAATGCAACTTAATTGTATTTTGGTTGGTCTTCTGTACTTTATAATTACAGCCCGATTATAAACACAAAATTACATTTAATTACTGTGGATCTTCTGATTAGTCAAAATGATACAATTTGCAATGTGCCAAAAAAAAAAAAAATCTATCTCATAAGGAGACTTAGGAAACCCGATGTGGTTTTTAACTAATTTTATAATATTTTAAAAAAATAAATGTAAAAACATATTATAATTAAGAAATAACAAATAATTGTATTAAAAATTCCTTTTTCATCGAAAAATTTTTTTGCTTTCAGAAGATGTTGTCCATATTCATAAAAACAAGTAAAAGCAAATAAAAGCATTTGAAATTAAATAATATCTTTGTTTTATTGAGTTTTGTATGTTACAATTCAGAGCTGATTTTCAGGTAGAGGGGGTCCAATTAAAAACAAAAAAAAACATGATTGCATTCCTCAAAGCCTTGTGCTTTTAACTATTGTAATCACTAAACCCGATGCAATCTAACTATCCTACTTTAAGAGGAACCCGGATGAGGCTCTGCCGAAGGGCAGTCTCGTTCGGGGTGGTTGATTGCCCCTGAACCCGTTTATGTGGGTTCAAAGAGGGAATATTTTTGGCCGAGCCCACGGGCTTGGAAATCCCACGTTAAACCCGGCCTTGTGCCATATGTAACCCTCGTTGGGGGGAGGGGGGTAGCTAAATATCACTAAACCCGATGCAATCGAATTTCTAGTGTTTTCATAAGATTAGTTGGGGAGGGGTAATAAATATTTTAGAAATATTTCTACCATGAATTTTATTTTAAAAAAAAAAAAAAAAAAAAAAATTCGATCATCTGTGAATAGTTCCTGAAAGTTTCTTTAACATCTGACAATTATTTTTGCAAGATTTTCCAAATTAATGTGTGTCATACCAAAAAAACGTGCTAAAATTTGTCTGTTATTTTACTAGTTCCTGTGATACAAAGAGAAACAAGTTTTTTTTTAATCAAAATTTAGAATATTCTAAAAAGAAGGAAAAAATTTTAAAAATAATAATAAAAAAAAAAAAAACTTTGGTCTTTCCACTTAATAATAACATAAGCATTTAGACGATAAAATTTTGTTTTCGGCAAGGTTGGCGTCTTTTTCATCAAGCTGTGCTCTTTTTTTTTTTTTTTTTTTTTTTTTTTTTTTAGCGATTTCGTGGAGGTACCTAAATAAACATTAATTCATAGAATTTTTATATCTTATATTTTAATTAAAAAGTATGCAAATTAGAAATTAACTGTGAATGTGATTTGTGGTACAGATTACATCATTTCCTGTAAGTTATATTGATGCGTTTTTGATTGGTGCATATCATTTAATGTACACATTAGCCAGACCAATTGAGGGATTCCTGTATTGGCAAATATAGATTTTATAATTTCCATTGATTCTTTTTTTAATGTATTTCTCTTTGGCCAGATTATTAATCCTCACAGTGACTGGTTTTATTAGTCTTATTTTCAACTATAATTTTTGTGGATTATCCAGTAGCATGTCATTTTTATCTTCATCTTGTAGCAAGAAAAAGAAGAAATCTGATGAGAGCAGTGATGATTCTCTATCAGATGCTAGCAGTTCATCGTCTTCAGATTCTGAGTCTGGTTCAGATACAAGCAAGAAGAAGAAGAAGAAAAAAGGCAAAGGTAAAAAAGGAAAGAAAGCAAGGAAGGATTCTGATGACTCTGATGACTCAGATGAAAGTAAGAAGAAAGGAAAGAAAGGTAAACGTCGGAAGCGTATCAAGGCACCAAAAAATTCTTCAGATTCTGGGGTAAGTTGGATCTTATATTTGTCACTCATTTAGTTTCTATTATTTACCTATATCACGCATATCAAAATTTATCTCCAACAAATGGCTTTGACAAATACAATACTATTTGAGAGGGGTATTTTTCAAACAGTATTGAAATCAGATTTTTTTTTTTTTTTCTTGGTGAGTTTCTAGAAATATCTTGTTCTTTCAGTTATTCATCCAAACCTAAAAGTGCCAATCTACCTATGTTCATTTGTTAAAATCATCAACATTACTACTGAATGATAATGCTAAAAGATCTGTATAATTTTAAACCACATTAATTTAGTCATCTCCCTAAAAAAATTACATGTTACTTTAGAAAATCTCATTTTTATCTAGCTAATAATTTCTTAATCATTATGTATGCAGTGTCAGTTAGTTTACTTCTAATTTGCCATCAAAATAAACATACATTTGTGACCAAATTACTAGTATAAGTTTTGCAAGTAAGTGGAAACTACAGTTGATAGCCAGTCAAAATGGGGTTACTTTGCAGCTTTAATGTGAAAAGCCGGGAAGGCCGAGATTGGGGCATTTTGAATTTCGCAAGTACCCCCCCCCCCAATAAACATGCTAAGATCAAAAGAATTTCCTGAAACTTTAAAAAAATTGCATAGTTCAAGATGGAGAAGGCTACAAAAAGCTATCAAGAGGATTTGATGTGAACATCTGTGTGACAAATTATTTATAAATGGAAGGCCTTTGGAATGATATCATCACAATCAAGAAGTGGCTGCGTGTGAAAAATAACTGCAAGAATAAGTAGACATCTAGTTCAGCAAACCCAGCTGAATCCTGCTGTGGCTTTTTCGGTCCACCAAGGCTCCCTAACCAATGTGCATATGCCTACAGTGCAGCGAAATCTGAACAATACTGGTCTTCATTACAGAATGCCTAGAAAAAAGCCACTGCTTATGAAAAAGCACAAACAACCCTAGCTCAACTATGCCAAAGTTCATATTAAAGGCAAAAGGTTTTGTGGGTGGATATGACCAAACTAGAGATTTTTGGGAGGAACAATAGGCGGTATCACTGGCAAGCTCCTAATATGGCTTTTGAAAAAAAAAGAATTTAGTGCTAACAGTTAAACATGGCAGCAGCAGCATTATGATTTATGGGTACTTTTGCTGCAGCTGGAAGAAGCAAAATAGTATACATTGATGGCACAATGGACTCTGCAAGATACCAAGCAATTTTGAATGAAAGTAACCTCAGTTTGAAAGTCTAGTTTAGATCAGGGTTGGATCTTCCAACAAGACAATGATCTGAAGTATCAAAGCAAAATCCACAAAAGAATAGGTTCAAAAAAAGAAATTTCAGACCTTGGAATTGCTTAGTCAAAGCCCTGATCTAAACCCAATTGAAAATCTGTTCAAGGTAAAGAAGGCAGTACATCCAAAAAACCAAAGTAATATCAAGCAAATGTAAGAGTTTTTGTCAAGAAACATGGTCACATGGTCACAAATTGACACTCACTATTGCCAGAAATTTCTTAAAAATTATAGAAGGCTGGTCAATGTTATGGCCTCAAAAGCAGCCACCAAATATTAAAGGTATGGGTTCAATTATTTTTGCATGTCTTAATTTTTTTAAATATTTTTTTATTCCAGCCTGCTAAAAAATTTTGCAAGTGTTTGTAATTTGTTTAAATCATTATTCTTAATGAATATATAGTTTAATTAAGATTTATTGATTATCTGGGAGGGAAGGAGACTAATTTTTTTAAATATTAGGTGTTCACTTAGTTTTGCACAGCACTATAATATATATATATAATATACATACACACACATGGCTCAAGAGCCACTCAAGTTTGAGGGTTACTGAATGAGTAACTTGCTGTTCTAATGCCAGGAAGATATTTTTACACTGTAAAAAAAAAAAAAAGTTAAACATAAAAAAGTTGTAATAATTTATTGCAGGCCAACCATCACACTTTCCTTAGGGAAACCAAAGCACTGCTAAATAAGGAAAGATTAATATTAAAACTTGTGACCCTAATCAAAATAAACAGTTTTTATCCCAGCCTTTGTATGCTGTCTCAAATCTAAATTAAGCATAACACGGGGAGGCTGACTGATGAAAAGAAACCAGGATGTGAAATATGTGTTTTGTAATACATTCCTGCTGTAACTTGATTTTTAAAATGAAGCCAAAAACTAGTTTTATGTCTGTATAACCATTATGAAAAGTTATCTGGTTACTTTATTTGATTTTTTTTTTTTTTTATTTATATATTTAGAGTGATAGTGACAAGAATTCTCCTGGTGGACCAAGCAAGAGAAAGAAAATTAGGAAATTGATTTCTGACAAAAAATTGACTGATAGCACCAAAGCTGCTGCAAAGGCTGAAGAAGAACGCCGTAAGAGAGTTGCTGAGCGACAAAAAAAAGTGATTCTTTTGAAATTTTTAACTTGTTATTGATATTTATGTTCATGCTAAAAAGTTTAAAATCTGCATGTTTTATATACTCATCAATGATTTCAAAAATATTTTGAATAATGATTTATTTAATATTCTATTACTTTGAATCATTTCTATAAATATTAAAATCAATCATTTTTAAGCTGATTGATCTGATTTTAATTTTTGAATAAACTTAGAAATAAACAGGCATAGATAGTATATATCTGAAAAGCAAAATTTAAATAGGTGAAAATGAACCTTGTATTAAAACTGTGAAAGCACAAAGCAAATTTTGAGCATATGACTGCCATCATAAATGAGTGGACAGAGATGCAAAGCATAATACAATTTTTGCATAACAAAGACCAAAATCCAAACTTTATATCCCAAAGCAATTTAGTGAAAGAATACAAGTTCCAATGCATGTTCATTTCTTTCTGATTTTCACGTGTTCATAAATTATAAAACCTGGATGCATCACATTACCTTGGAGATAAAGGCTAATTCAATGACCTTGAAGCATTCATTGTCAACCCCCACCCCTCTAAAATGTCAAAGTTCAACAGGCAGTGAAGAAATTAAGAGCAACTGTACAGCCAAAAAATGCTTATGTACAGCATGGCCAGACAGTTAATGCAGTCAGATACTGTGAAACACTAGAACAGACTGAGTGGGTGGGGACTCTTTATCAGAAGAGACCAGGACATTCATTTATAAGTGCTGACTGACAAGAGTAGCTCCAGTAATATTGTTGAGAGATTTTACTGCATCCACCATATAGTCCTGATTTCTTGTGCATTAATCTTTATGTAGAAAAGTAGCATAATAGTGTTGGTAACTTAGTGTTTCATTTCTATAGTAATAAGCATATTAATAAAAGTTACTTTTGAACATCTTGTATGATTTAAAACCAATTGAAGTATTTGAAATACTTATGCAAGCATTTTTTACATTTCAGCATTAATACTACTTGAAAGCAATATTTTTTGTCATTATTATTATTATAGCTGACTTGCATTTAACCTCTTTTCTTTTTTTTTCTTTTTCTAAAACCATATATTTTAGAAAGCAGCTATTGCAGTTGATGAAATGTTTGCAAAGTATTTTTCAATGGCTAGGAATATATTAATTGTAATATTAATGTATTAGTAACAATTCTATGGTTTGATCAGAAATATTGGTAAATTGCTTCATTTGTCAAAAGTATTCCTCTTGACAAATCATCATATAAGATATATAATAGTCATGCAGTTTGTTTCATATTTTATTTTTGATTTATTTCTAAATTTCTATATAAAAAATCACAAAATAGTACTTAAACCGTTTGTTCTATAGTTTATTCTAAAACACATTTTACTTGAAAAATCAAAATGTGAATTAATCAAATATTTGTTTATTACAGTTTAATCGAGTATTTGTTGATGAAGCAGTAGTAGCCCCTACTAAATGCCCGGTGACTAAAAAATTGGTTCTAGCTTTTGATAAAGAGGAAAAGCCACTATTGGAAGTTGACAAAAATCTTGTCATTAAATTAAAACCTCATCAAGTTGAAGGTAATTTTTTTTAAATATTTAATGGTGTATGAATATAAGGGAAAATACCCCAGGAAAATTCTACATTGTATCTTGTTAATAAAGTTTGCTTGAAAGTTTTACCCAAACTGAACTAATGTATTTAGGCTTTTGTCATTATGTCATGTAATTTAATTAGTCTATACTTTGTTAGAATCAAATTTATTATTCAATAATTAAACTTATTTTTCCTTGTTTTTCTCTATAGCTGTTCAATTTATGTTTGATTGTTGTGTGGAAACTTTATCTCAACTAAAGAAAGAGGAAGGTGGAGGTTGTATCCTTGCCCATTGCATGGGTCTTGGTAAAACTTTATCAGTAAGTATGTCTGCACCAATTTCAAAATTTGCTTTGTAATTTCATTTGAGATCAGATTTTATTTCTAATATCCTTTTCATAAGTTATTTTAAGTAGCTGTCTACAAGAGTCATTAAACAAAATTGTAAAAAGCCTTTTTGCTTGTATACAAATTCACAAAAATTATGTTAAATGATAAAAAAATAAATTTTTCCCACTACCTGATCTCCTTAGAAATTACTAACGTCATCTTCCAAAGTTTTAAATTATTTTGCCATTTTACATATGCCAAACTCAGTTTTAAGCTATTTCTATAAATTAATTTTGTTACTTTTTACAGTTAATTACATTTGTTCACACTCTTTTGGTAAATTCAAAGAGAACAAAATTAAAAAGTTGTTTGGTTGTCTGCCCTCTGAACACCGTGTTGAACTGGAAGGATGAATGGGAAAAATGGGATTCAAACGAAGATATAAATGTAAGTCATCAGTAAATTCACTTTTTTATGAATTTTATGTTAACAACCGATCATTGATAACTGAATACAAATGTGTTGATATTCACAAATAAATCCTGGATATTTGATATTAAGAGAAAATTTTGAAATGATTGAAAAAAAACAATTACACAAATTACAATTTTTGCAATAATTCCAAGATATGAAGCTTAGATTTTTATTTAAAACAGTAATGTCTTTTGTTGACATGGGCTAAAATTTTTTCCCCCATTTCATAAAAAGCTTTGTCAAAAAAAAAAAAAAATTGCTTTTTTTTTTTTTTTTTTATTAACACTTTAGAATATTCTAAAAAGAATATAGGATAATTAAAAAAGGTATTCTTATTGCACGTTTTATAGAGCCAGATATATATTTCTCTAGTAAAAAAATTTTATATGTATATTCACAAAAGTTATTAAAAAAATCTGTCAGATTTAATAATTATTTTATAAACTCTTCCTGAATTATTAAAATTAATTAGGGATATTTTCTGTTTGAAAATTTGTATTTAAAAACAAAAATTATTTGGTTCATTTTATTGCATGACTGTAAAATCAAAGTTTCTGAGTTAGTAAACTTAGTCTAATAGTTATTTGTCTAGAGTAAAAATTGATCAGTCTCTGCTTTTATTGAAATATTTCCTTGCAATGTGCTCTACAATCTATAGATTTTTTTATAAAAAAAATAACCATGTCTGAATCATTAGAAAATGTATATTTTATGATTATTATGGTAAAGCTGATGATGTTTTGTATGCATCTTATGGCTAGATAGACTGCTGGATCTGATGACTGAAACTTAGTTTATAGGATTGACTTAAAGACGAACATGGGATATGTGATACTGATTTCCAAAGTCAAACTATTTCCAACTAAACAGCAAAAAGGAGCATCTTATGTGGCATTGCATAAATCAGAAGTGTGCTAAGTGTGGACATATTTATGTAAACATTTAAAAAAAAAAAAAAAAAATACCAATAGAGGTGATTGGCTGATCAGTTGGAATTGACAAGCAAAGTTAAACTATGAGAGAAATGTCTGCAGAGGAATATGAATAGGAAGAAAGGATGCAATGACATGGGAGGGAAAAGAATTCACATAAAATAATGATTTTCAACATGTACAGGATGAGTATACACATGAAACAAATTTTGAAAATTTGATAATTACAAAATAATCTAAATTGGATGTAAAATGTAGTTGATTTTTTTGATTTTTTTTTTTTTTTTTCCAAAGTTCACTTATTACACCTTCTAGTTTTTTTCTTTCTTAAATGTTTTTGTAGTATCTGACTTTTAATTTTTTAAACTCTTATGAAAAAGAATGTATTCACAATTTATTTATTTTTAAACAAAAAAAAAAAAAAATTGTCCCGACCAAAATTTTTCCGTGAATGCAATATATAAACAATGTGGCAATAAATGCCTGTTGATTGTTTATTCTGTTAATGGACTGGGTTCAATGATTTTGTTATGCAGGTTTATGAAATGACAAATGTCAAAAATAACTGGCACCGAGCAGACACCCTCAAGTCTTGGTTAGAAGATGGAGGAATCATGATAATTGGTTATGAGATGTACAGAAATCTCAGTCAAGGACACCATGTCAAAAACAAAAAGCAACGTAAAATCTTTGAAGAGTGTCTTGTGAATCCAGGTAAGTTATTTATCTCTGTTTGAAATGTTTTATGAGTTTATCTGGTTGAAACAAATGTTCATAGTGTTTTTCAATGGGTGGCTTTTGAACAAGTAATTTCATTTCATGCATGATTGTATTTCTATATATCTTGTCTATACTGGATAGTGAATTTTAAATGTTTTAGCTAAGTGGGAATAGAGGAAAATGACTTATTTTCATAATTTCATGCACTTTTTATTTTGCAAAAGCAAAAATGATGTACCAATAGCTAAAAAGATATGTGCTGTTTATGGAGATGGTACCATAGCTGAGATTTTGTAAGTGATTCAGAAGTGGAAATTTTGATCTGGAAGATGAAACATACTGACAAGCCTGATACTGATTAAAAAATGATCCAAGTCACATAAAACAAATACTCTAAACATCTCATAGGAATGTTGTGGGACATTTGAAAATATTTGCATATTTGAATCACTATAATGTTTGAGTGCCTCATAATTTAACAAAAAAATTGAATGATTTACATTTCCAGCTGTAATTATCTACTTGGATGCAACAAAAACAACCCATTTTTTAAAAGAACAGTCACAGCCAATGAAAACTGGTTTGTTTACAACAATTTGGAAGGTAAAAGGTCCTGGGGGAAAATGAGATGAACCACTATTAACCACTCCCAAAGCTGATCTGCATCCCAAGGAGATGCTGTATATCTGGTGGGTATGGAAGAGCATTGTGTATTACAAGCTCCTTCTGCAAAATCAGATGTTGAATTCAGACAAGTCAATTCCCAATTAGACTGATTAAAGTAGCAATCAATGAAAAAACCTCCAGAATTGTCCCGTTAAAACGGCGTTCTCTTCCCATCAGGACAATGTCATCTCTTTGCAAACTCTTCAGATATTTGTACAGCTTGGTTGGGATGTCCTACTACACCCACTGATCTTGCAATTTTAGATTACCATTTATTTTGATCCGTACAAAATTGTCTTAATGGGAAGAGCTTCAATTCTTTCAGTTTATAAATTCACTTAGACCAGTTCATTACCAAAAAGATGCCAAGTTCTGGGAGAATGGAATGATGAAGCTGTTTCAAAGATGGTAAAATGTAGTGGAACAAAATAGTGCATATATATGTTGAATAAATTTGTGTGCAAATGTCTAAATATTATTTTTGAAATTCATTTACAAAAATGCTACAAACATTTATGACTAAATCTTCTATATAAATGCGAATGTCTGTGTGTTACACTTTTTCAACTTTGCTCGTAGAGCCCATAGTCCAACACAGTGCTTTTCAACCTTTTTGCTGGAGTGGAACCCCATGGAAACATTCCACTGGCTCGAGGAACCCCTGTGCAATAATTTGGTTGTCTTATGCAAAAAACAGCATTTAATTAATTATACAAAAAAAATGCAATTTGTAATAAAATGAAAATATTCATGTTCAGAGTATTGTAAATGAAATGAAAACAAAAGTGTACATGTTTGAATAGATTACATTTATTCTTATGAAAAAAGTCAATGGGAAACTTGAGCCTGGTGTTTCTTGCACAACTCTTTAAGATTGGCTCGTGTTTTTGACAGACACACACGAAGTTCATCTTCCACAGACTGCAATTGAGCTCGTTTCTTGTGCTTGATGGTTGTCAGAGCTGAAAATCCAAATTCACACAAGTAGGAGGTTGAAAATTGCACAAGAAGTCGTAGCGCTTTCTGGGCAATTGCAGGATATTCCTTTTCAACCAGCAACCAAAATGCGTTCAGGTTAAGTTCAGAATGCTTCAGCTTTAATGTCCTGTCATTTAGAACACTGGCAAGTTCTTCTTCTTCTGTTAATGTGAACTGTTCTTCAGGCGGCTCAAATTCTACAAATGGGTTTCTAATCCAGTCATACTGCTCAACAGATATTGATGGAAAATATTTGTCAAGATTTGTTAACAAAGTGTCCAAATGGTTCAAAATCAGTAGCCTAATTTCTTGACAATTCCTTTTAAAAACACATGGAAACATTTCCAAATTTCCTGCAGCTATGCATTTCTTCCATATTGTCAATTTCTTCTGAAAAGCATTTATTTTGTCAGTAGAAGACAAGATATTTTCGTTCCTGCTCTGCATGCTATTGTTCAAGAGGTTTAGTTCATGAAATATATCGGCAAGATATGCTAACTTCGAACACCAATGGCCATTACTTAAACATTCTACAAAGTCTTTCAGGTTTTCTTGCAAACAAAAGGTCAATAACTCTTCTCTTAATTCGTAAAAAACGAGACAATACTTTCCCCTTGACAACCATCGTATTTCTGTGTGCTGGATTAATGTGGAATGTTCTGCTTCCATACCCACACAAAGTTTCTCAAACTGTCAACATTTAAGTGGCCTCATCTTGATGTAATTAACTATTTTAACTACCATATCCAATGCAGATTTTAGTTCAGATCCAAGAGTTTTAGCTACTAGTGCTTCTCTATGAATGAAACAATGAGTATGGATAATATTTGGATTTTGTTTTTTGTGCGATTGAGACAAAGCCTTTAAGACATCCTGTCATTGCAGGGGCACCATCTGTACAAATACCAGCACAGTTTTTCAAGTTTAATCCACAATACTCTAAATATGAATTCAAAACATCAAATACATCTTGTCCTTTCGTTGTCCCTGGCAATTCTTTTGACACAGGAAGTCTTCTACAATAGCTTCATCATCAATAAATCGAACAAATACAAGGAGTTGTGCTTTACCACTAATGTCCGTACTCTCATCAACTTGAAGTGCAAAAAGTTATGTTTCAGTATTTCTGATTTAAGATTGCATTCAATGTCTCCTGACATGTCTTGAATGCGCCTACTTATTGTTGTGTTGTCAGAAAGTGGAATTTCATTTACTTGATACAGCATCCTCTGCAAACATTATCCTCACTATTTCTTGGCATGCAGGTAAAATTACAGTTTCAGCGATGGTATGAGATTTCATTTTTCTTGCAACTATCTCCGCCACAGCATAACTTGCTTCTTGTGCTTTGTCACTCAACTTGAACTTTTGGCAAACATAGAAACCTGCCTTTTATTACATTTCATTTGTCGTTGAAAATATTGTTCATCTTTTTGCTCGACAACTCTGGATGTTTAGTTACTAAATGTCGTTTCAGTTTGGCTGGTGCCATAGCACTGTTAGCCAGCTTCTCCCCACAAATAATACACAAAGGTGAAGGGCACTCTGGGTTTCCAGTCCAAGTAAATCCCAGAGCTATGTAGTTTTCACAATATTGACGAACTTTTAGTTGTAGGTTAATTCCACCATTTCTTGATTTCGATGAGGCAGCATTGCTGGTAGTAGTTTCGCTTCAAAAGAGTGCCTCAGATCCTGTGTCTCTTCATCCGCATCTGTCTTATGCTTTTTCACAAATCTATCCATGGTTGTAAAATCTGTAAAAGAGTTTCATGATTTGAAATTGAAAAAATAACAACAGTTAATCGGCCGCCTGACAGTTTGTGGTTAATAAAATAGATTTTCGAATTTGAATTTAACATGTTGTTTATTTGTTCGTGTTCTAATTTAGAAATTGCGGAACCCCTGGACTGTACTGGCGGAACCCTAAGGTTCCGCGGAACCCTGGTTGAAAACCACTGGTCCAACATATCATACTATCAGGCCATCTCTGTGAACAGATTGACAACATTCTGTACTGGATCTGGACCTACAATCCAGAAATTTTGGCAATTTAAATTTTTTTTCTTGTACGATAACAATTTTTGAAATTAATTGTGAAATCCAGTGGAAGTCACCCATGAAATTAAAATAACTGTTTGTATGGAAAGTAAGAACCTACGTACATCAAATTAAGTGGCAGCAGGAGAATTATCGTTGAACTTATAAAAGGTAAGCTTAAATATTAATGCAATACTTAAATGCAGTGATCAATTTTGAGTTCTTCTGTAGTTTATTGTTGCCTATCATATACTGCAGCATTATGCCTTGCAAAAAGAAATCTCCACCAACAATCAAAAGAGCCAAGGCTCCAGCAAGGAAAAGAAAGTCATGTGCAAATAAAAATGCAGATCAAACGGCAGTCAGGAGAGCTTCCAATGCTGAGAATATGCAAAGACTTAGGGACTCTTAAACTCCTGAACAAGCCAAAGGCTAAATCAAGAGCTAGCTTGATTGCCACCCGAAAGGACAACTTTTAAGCTAGTATAAATTTAAATCTAAAGACTTATTTGCTAAACATTTATCCATTTGGTTGGGATAAAAACAGGTTTGTTCTGCACTTACATAAGCAAATTGCATGTATTTGTCTGGTATTTTGAAGTCTCAATAGCCATGTTGTGGATTGAAGTTTTAAAATGGTTTATAAGTCTGATTTGACAGCGAAATAGCTTCAAAACAGTGGAAATTGCCAAAATGAACAACAAGTGCCACTGAACTATGACCTTCCAGGACTACTCCAATGTAGATCTGATAAAATATCAGGTTTCTCTTTCAGTATCTTTTCTAAGTGCATTTACAATTGGACATACAAGTCTATTTCTACCCCCAAGTACGCAAAAAGAAAAATAGTTGATTCTGGAAATATTTTTGTCAAATTTGTTTTCCAATTGGAGGCAAAAATTGAAAATAGAATTAATAATTTTAACTGAATTTTTTTTTTATATATTGTCTGTTTTGTAGGACCTGATTTAGTGGTGTGTGATGAAGGGCATGTTCTTAAAAATGATTCTTCTGGAGTTTCGAAAGCTATGAATAAAATTCATACCAAGCGCCGAATTGTTCTCACTGGTACACCATTACAGAATAATTTAATTGAATGTAAGTAATAAACAAATTGTAAATATTAGAAGTTATTGAAAAATGGATAGAAAATATAGTAATATATATTGTAAATATAGAAAATTGAAAAATGGATAGAAAATTCCAAGATATATAAATTTTTCTAAACATTTTTTTTTCCATAATACTTTTCTGATTGAATTGGAAGTGGCAAGCATGAAGATGAAAGGGTACTCATTCTTCCTTAAAAACATAAATGATGAATTATTCAAAACTTTATTGTACAATTTAGAATTAAATATTATAAATTGAGATAAATTCACACTTTCCAGTTATTTTCCACTATGAATACAGATGATTCATTATTTTTAAAATTTATATGCAGCTATTAATAAATTGAAATTAACATCATCACAGGTTAAAGCATTAATTATTGTTATTTGATTATTTCAGATCATTGTATGGTTAGTTTTGTAAAACCAAATTTGCTTGGAACACGTAAAGAATTTTGCAACAGATTTGTAAATCCTATTACCAATGGCCAGTGTTCCGATTCCACATCAGCAGATGTGAAGATAATGAAGAGACGTGCTCATATTCTCCATGATCTCCTTGATGGCTGTGTACAGGTACACACCTATTTTGCTTTTAAACTCTAACTTTATAGTAGGTACCTCCATAAACCATGATAGCTAAGGTTTTAAATGAAAAATCTTTCTTGAAGCTGGTATTTTTGTTTTAATTTCAAGCTAATAGATTAAATTAAAGTTTCTGATAAGCAGAATATTTTGCTATATCTCAAAAATTAATTTAAATTCACTGGAAGATGTTTCATTTTTTTTTTTTTTTGTCTTTCAAAAATAAAATCTTCTGAAACTTTATTTGTGGAATATTAGCTGTTTTAAAGTATGATTAATCTGATTTAGAATAAATGTTATTTACTTTAAAATATTGCAGAAATACATTTTTTTTAACCAGACAGTAGCAGCCTGATGAAAGATCTAATGTTCTATACAGACCTTATTTGTAAAACATTCAGGGAAATGACATAACCAATTTTTTATATAATTTTTAAGTACTCAGTAATCTTAAACATTTAGCAAAATATTTTCCGTAATCTAATATTTTATTGAATTTTAGCAATGTTGATTAGACTATTTTTTTAAATTTATTGCAATCCTGTGAATGAATTAAAGATTGTATTTGCTTTCAAAGACCTTTTAGATAAGTAAAGAAAGTTATAGATGTATGATTCAGTTTAAAGGGTATCATTTTTAATTTTTTTTTTTTTTTTTTTTTTTATAGCAATAACTTAAATTTTTATACTTTCAGCATTGAAATTTATTTTTTATTTATTGTAGCGAAAGGACTACAATGTTTTAACAGATTTTTTGCCTCCTAAACTTGAATATGTGATCTTAGTACGACTATCTGAGGTCCAAATTGAACTGTATCAGAGATATTTGGATCAGTATTCCCACATTGCTGCTAGCAATACAGAGAAACGGCAATCAGTGGGTCTCTTTGCTGACTATCAGAATCTCATGAAAATTTGGAGTCATCCTTGGGTGCTAAAACTCGATGAAATAAGACAAGAAAGTAAGGTAAGCTTAATGTTTTCCCAATTCTTTCTTATTGCATTCACATTTGATTGTAATTTAAATTGTTCTAAATATTGTAACACACAGTTGTTTGTTTTTTTTTGTTTTTTTTTTAAAGAGATATAAAGAGAAATAATGAAATGTTTACCTAAAACATAAATTTGACAAATATAAATGAATCGGGATAAAAATTACTGTTTTTAGTGGAATGGGCCTGCTACAGGGTGACAGAGCAAAAATTTCTGTGCTCTTCAAAATTGTGCAATACAAGAAGGATGTTAGTTACATTGCTTACACTCAGATTGTCTTCATCTTTGTTGTTATCAGAGTGTTTTGGTTGTGCCTTACAGCCTTTATCAGGTGCTTGTGATCTAGGTAACCTCCAGGGAATTTTGAACTGAAGCCTTTATTTAATCTACAGGAATAAATTGTTATCATTTTGCTGTTCATGTCTTGGGGTATCTTGTCTGGTTATTATTTAATACTGCTCAGTTATTGCTTATTCTGTTTCCACTTGAGTCAGGGATTGAACTAACAATTACTAAATTAATGTGCAAACCAACTAGTGGAATAATCCTGAGTTTAGAACTTGGAGCCTGAAACTTAATCTGCTTTCTGACATTGCTGTTGCTGTTAGAGCCTTGCTGTCATTTCTCCTTTTTTAACAGCTCTGATGTCATATTTATTTCTATGTTGGGCTTACATGTGGCCTAACATGTGGGAATTCCACAGAAGTTGGTAACTACCCATTTTCTTTCCATACATGATTAACTGTGCCTGATTTCATTGTCTTGTCCCTAATTGTGACTTTTCAATGTTCCTCCTGCTTTACATTTAGGAGGTATCTTTTGGTATTCTTTGCCACAAATGCAAGAAATGGAATACATACAGTTCTCCTCTTTGTTAGGCAAAGATTTTTTTTTTTTCAGTAAAGATTTTACTATAGAGTCAAGCTGCCTCTGAACATTATCTTGTTGTATGAACCACAGATTTTTTGAATCTTTGCTTTTCTTGACATAAGGGAGACAGAATGTGGCAATTCCCAAATCCTCCTCATCATCATCCTTTCTGTTTCTGCCTGCAAAATCTGATATGTTTGCAGGGTAGTTATTATTCTGAAGGATACATTTGATATTAATCATCTGTTAGTATGTGTCTGGGTCTCAATTTGCTGTACAAATGGTGAGAATTGAAGTTATGGTATTATCTAGTGATGGTTTCTTGTAATATATGGATGTCTTGAACCCATTTACTGTGCAAGTTATTAGTACATCCAGGAAGGTCAGCGGATTTTTTTTTCTTCCAGTGTGAACTGGATCAAAGGTTTAAGTTTACATGGTGGTCCAGCAGTATTTGTATATCTTTTTGGTTAGGCCATAGTATAAAGATGTTATTTACATATCTCAGCCATACTGCTGACTTTAGCTGTGTAAAAAGCCATTTCCTCAAAATCTTCCATTATTCCATATACATGTTTGGTTTGCCATCACTAGTAACAATGGCAAGCCCATAGCTAAGCCTTCCTGTTACTATATGTCCAACCTACATCTGTACATAAAATTTCAGCATTTCCATCAGGAATGCTGAAATGGAAATGTTGCCCTTCTCTTGAGATGCTAGTATGTTTTCCAAGGTAGGGGTCTGATTCCAATCAGTTTCAAATCACTGATACTCATTTTTAAGAACTCTAAACAGGTTCTCCACATTCAAGCTTACCATACAATTGTCAGAAATGACTCTTGGTCAATTCTACAAAGGGTTCTGTTTTCTTAATGAGGACTTCACTGTTAGTAGGTTGACTATATCGAGAAAGAATCTGCCTTTCAGTTGGCTATAGGTCTCAAACTTTGTGAATCTTGGAGAGTGTATATATGTATCAACTTGGTGTAATGTTGAGTCGGCTGTCTATATTTACATTGTGAAGTAGTTCTTATTTAAGATCTGTAACAGTGTCCTCTTGGATTTTAGAAGTGGATCCTTTTTCATTTTACTATCCCTAACTATGCTTACCAATTTCTTGAAGTATTCCAACCTGTCCATTACTACTGTAGCATTACTTTTGTTAGCTGGCAGTATGATGATGATAGTGTCACTCTAGAAGATCTTCTTCCAATGTGATGTTTAATTTGGGCAACTTGGCCTTTTCTAGCACTTGAATTTGGTGATATAGTAATTATGAATTGGGATGAGTTGTGCAGACTTAGACTCAGTAGCAACAGGGTCAAGCAATAATTGGGCAGTACCAAATAAGAATTAGAGGAGATATGTCAAGATATGAGAACAATCTACTGCAGATTAAATAAAGGGTTCAGTTCGGAATTCCCTGATGGAGGCCAGAGGGTGCAAGAGACAAGACATTGTGATATCATAATTGTGATGGATAATAATAATCAGTGTAAATAATAATTCTTCATCCCACAAATTCATGCAAAATGGGTATTAAAACTTATAATTTATTCAATGTAGCTTCCCGGTGGCATAATCCTCTGGGTTCAAGTTTGGGCTGGAGGAGAGCCAGAAGTCCACTGGCTACAAATTAGCAAAGTTAACTTTACAGAACTTCTGCACCTGGCTAAGAATATTGCAGCACCTACTTTTTTTTTTTTTTTTTTTCTAAGTATGCAATCATTTTGCTATCCTGTCAGAGGCCCCAACACCTAAGACTGACCTGGGTTGAATGTTTGGTCCTGAATCTGCTTTCAATTGACACCATCTGTTGATTCCACGTTTCTCATCAAACAACATTTGGACTCTTGATTCTTGAGTTACTTGAGCATGTTTTCTTTTTTTTTTTTTTTTTTTTCACCTTTCCAACATCTAGGCATTTATGTAAGTAGGGCTTGATGTCTTGGTCTGTGGTTGTTATTCTTGGCTGTCCACTTTTAGTTCAGCAGACAATTTATATATAATTGTTATACTTCACATTGTAGAAAATAACTGCAAATTTTGCTTTCCCACTCTGTACATATCATTGACGGAACATTGAAAAAGTTCTATGTACGGTAAACTACTGGTAAAAAACATGCTTCTACCTGGTGAGTAAAAAGTTTACTAAAAGTTTGGATCTTTCAGCAAGGTAACTATCCTCTGCAGTGAAAATGAAAATCATTCCAAGCAAAGAAAATAAGGGTTTTACAGTGTCCACATTTCGAGATATTATAAGGTGATTTATCAACAGGATTGGCATAGAATTGTTGATTTCTGCAAGAAGCTTACCTCAAATTATTTCAAACACCTAACGGCCATCATACCAAATAATGGATAAGCCATTAAATATTGAACACTGTTTATTAATGTATATCCAAAACTTTGTGTTGTGACACCCACCGGTGGTATGGTCGCAGCGCCAATATGTGACGTCCTCTGGTCGCAACGTCAATATATGACACCGCGCTGTTGGCTCCCAGTTGCAGCGCAAAGCTGTAAGGTTTCTTCCACCAGTGTTTTGGGGTTGACTCTTTGTCACTGCCACCAGCCTGTGTCCTGGTCGTTCCCGGTTTGATACCAGCTTCGTCGTTTCCAACTCACTTCCACCGTCTGGTTATCGAAGTAACAATTTTGATCTCAAGTCTAACCTACCCACGTTGTGACTTTGATCTTAGGTAGATGAAATCAATCAGGTGTCAGGCAGTAGTGCGAGCTGAATCCGGGGTAAAGGTGATATCGCACAAGCGTAAGTAAAAGAAGCAATAAAACAAACTCAAGAGGTTCAAATATATTGAGAAATAACAAATTATCTTTATCCGTCTCTTATATACAGGAGTGTGTTTCTCTCCCAGCCTGTTTCTATGGATTTGTGACACTTTTTTGCGTTTCTTAAGCGAGTTTTGGTATCTTAAGTTGTTCGTCAATATAACTTGCTTTTGGTAGGAAGTCAAAAAGGACATGGAAATCTCTTGGTTGGCCTCTGCGAGGCAACGGTCTGACTGCAACTGCGAATCAACTGCTGGAACTCCTGCGAAACTACTGCTGCCCCGAGACGTTTGTTTATATGGATACCGACCAAAACCCAGTGTGGGGCCTGATGTGGCTTGGGTTCCCAATAATTATCGATTCCCAGCAAGAATTTTCTTTGTTCTTAGGCCAGGAAAATTAATTTTTGGAAGACTAATCACTTTCCATTTCAGTGGTTTCTCCCTCGTCCGTGAGGGTAGGTCGGAGGAGAGTTATCCTCCTAGACTCTTCCTCTCACATGTGGGTGTTAACAACCTCCTCTTCCTTCTCGTACATTCACCTCCACCTATCACCCATGCTACTACTTGACCAATGATCTCTTGGCAGTGTGGGTGTGGCTAGACTGGCCCTCCTTAAAATTATTATCCAGAATTTTGTTTACAAAATCTTTTTTTTTTTCCTTCGGCAAAACCATTTTTTTTTTACAAACCCCAGATTGCCAAATAATTCTTATCACATCTTTCTTTTGGGGACACCCAAAATTCACTTAGGTCTCTCTACCGACTCATCAATCACTGTCAAAACCCGACACCTGATTTCTTCTGCTAAGTCAACTTTTAGCTGGGAGGTCCGTATTTTACCTGAGAATCAAATTCTTTATTTTTCTCATGCCTTAAAATCATCTTATCACCAGATGCCCATTTTCAACGACATTGTGTCTGACGTCAACTGTTTGAATAAGCAATAATAATAATTTCCTTTACGATTTTCTTTCTTGTGACAGAATTCTAACACAGACCAGACGATTTTCCTTCGTTGGACACGAATTAAAATTAAATGATATCTCTGAAAGATAACTAATATCGATTCTCTCTGCTTGTACCGCGGTGGTCTCAAGCCAAAATTTTTTATGACTGCCATGTGTTGGTTGGCTTTGTTTTTCTTTCTGAATTCTGTTTCTCTTGGTGCATCACTCCCTTAACATGACATTAATCAGTTTTGACAGAATCTCATATCTCGCTTTTTCTTATGGATTTTCTGTCTCGTGCAAAAATTATCTTTCTTCGTAAATAAAATCTTCTTTTTAATGTCGCTCAGTCTATCTTTCAATATAGCTCTTTCTCGCCTTAAATCTTTCCTGTTTTTAATTTCTATGGTTAATTAGTTAGCCAATTACCATAGCTAAATAGTGTCACAGTGTGTTTGCAAACATTTCTTTATTTCTCTTTATACAGAGTATATCTTAATTATTAATATTTAGATGAAGTTTTAGGTTAGTAGCAATAATAGATTATTTTCTTAAATAGTTTTGCATCCTATCTAAAAAAAAAAAAAAAAAATTTTAAATTGATAGGCAGAAGTGTGTTCAAAATTTAAAGTGTGTGGTTTGGTTAGAATGTTAGTGTTCTGACAATGAGTTCCAGATTTGAAAGAAGATTCTAATAACATTACCATTAGGAAATGCCTGCAATCCATACAGCAGATTGACCCAAGACTTGTGAATGAAATTAGTTAAAAAGAACTGTCCATAGTTGTGTTAGTACAAATTCACAACTCCTTGTGATTGAGGCTTTCAGTGTACTGGCCTTATTCAAGCATTCTAACTGTAACTAGGATTGGCTCAGCATAGTTGCAGTGGGTGTTGAAGAAACATGTGCCTGAACAGACACCTACAACAGGTATTAACTAAGCACTCTAGTAGACAGGCATCTTCAGAAATGAGCAGCCAGCCAGTACATTACATATATATGCTTACAGAAATAAATTGTTTTGATAAGTATGGAAAATAAGAAAAAAATTTGACATGATGACCAGAAATCTTTTTAATTGTGTAGTTTTTCACGCCTTTAAATAATTACAAGCTTTATTTACATTAAGGAAATCATCTAGAAAAAAAATATCTACTGTATTTCTTACTGTTATTTGTACATGTAATGACTATCAACAACTTTTCTAATTTCTAGTATCAAAAAATTTAACTACTTTTGATAAAAACTTTTCAAATCATAGAATTTATATTATTCTCTTTTGCATATTTTACTTATTTATTGCTAATGATACAATTATGTATCCTAAACATTCTGAACTAAACTTTGTTGCAAATATCGACTGTGGGCGGGTAAAGGAAACTGTTTCCATTTCCATAAAACAAAACCCAAAAAACTAGAAATTAAAAATTTAATAAAGAATTTAATCCTCTTTAATGAAAATATTTTCGCAAATTCTACCAGCTATGAATGTTTTTTATAATCCAGTTTTATTTTTTATTGACTTTGGTTTCATTTTCAGAAACGTTATGACTCTGACATGGATTCATTTATTGATGATGAAACTGAAGAATCATTTAGTGAGTCTTCTTCCAATAGTAGCGGTTTGGTAGAGCTATCTGATGACGATGATGATGCTGCTCAAGCTACCACTGTCAGTAAGCCTTCCACAAGTACTCGTGCTACACGGGCATCCAGACGTAGGGGGTAAGTTTACAAAAGACACTTTGTTGTCTAGTTTTAATAGGTATTCCAAACTGCCCCAGTTTACAGTGTGAATATGTCTATCAAAATAGTGAAATTTCCTTACATTTCAACTGCTGATATTGCATTTATTTTCAAGACTATTTTGATAATAAACTTTTTATCTTTTCTCCCACTGTTAGAATTCTTTCTCGTGTGATGATTCGTTTTTATTCCACATCTCTTTAAATTGTCACTTTTCCAATGATGGACAGTATTTTCAAAGTTGCAATTTCATAGTAGTATTTATCAAGTTAGTTGCATTCTGAAAATCCCATCTAAAAGAAAGAAAAAAAAGATGCTCATCAATTTGGTGAGCGAACCACAAGGTTTGAAATTGTTTTTCACAAACAGTTTCTAAGTTGAAAAATTCAGTGGATGAAATACCTGAGAAAGTCAACATCTTGTAGAGCAATGTCTCATCTTTTAATAATCAGAATTAAAAAGAGTAAAATCGTTAGGATCAAACTCATCAAAATTTGTGTTGCTGACAGACCAGCTGAATCTAATTTTAAATTAGACTTGTTTCATTGATGGATATTACATAGTTCAAATCTTTTTCTTATATTTTCTTAATGCATTTTAAAACTGTATAAAGTACTTATTTATTGCTAAAATAAATTTTAGCTGACAGTTTTATTTTGTCCAAACTGTCAGATACATCTATTACAAAAAATGTTGATATTACAGTTAAATGAGCTGTTTTGTTGAATTCCTCAAGTTTCAGGCATGTACCTCCAATGGATTTTTTTTCTGTGTGTGGCATATTCAGTATGGCACTAGAAATACCGTGAAAATTTTAGTTGTCCTATTTTAATTTTCTGATGAATTTTAATTGTTAAGTTAATGATTGAATAAGCACATGGCAAATTCTACAACAATAAAATATCTGTAGAAATTCCCTTATCACTTTGTTAAATATTTAAGCTTAACAACTTTAATAAAATATTGCTATAACAATCATAAATATTAATGCTGGTCATTATTTAAAAAAAGAATACTAATGAAAAGATTTAAATTTGATAACTTTTTTCATTTCACTGAAACAGATGTTAAACACGAGTGTTTTCCTCCTTCCCTTTCTTTCCTTCGTTTTCTCACTGAAACCAAGTAGCATCTCTGACATCTTTTTCATCTTTCCATGTAAACAAAACAGAATAGTCCATTTATGAGGTATTGGTATTGGCATGACATACATACATGCTAAGGAACTAAAGGAAGAACCGGCAGAACTATAAGATACTTTTGACCTTTTTTTTTTTTTTTTTTTCTCTCTCTCTCTCTCTACTGTCAAATGTCACTTCTAACTATTTTTATGTGGCATAATTATAGGGGTTTTGTAGCAGTACTACTAAAAAATAAATTAGCTTCGTTTCTGTTGTGATATGAAGAATAGAAAGAAGTTGCAAGGTATTAACTATTGGAAATTAAACTTATGATTGGTCAAATTTGCTTATACATGTCATTTTTAAGATTTTATTCTTGAGGATGAAATTTTTAATTTAGATGTTTAGGCTGATCTGATTTAATAGTTATTGATTCCATTAGCATTTATCTTTCCTCATGACTACCTATATGACATTACATTTATAATGATTTTTAGCTTGTTTGAAGCCTGTGTTATACGCTGGTAAAATTAGCTTTTTATCCAATAGCACATGAAATGAAAAACTTTGGTCATAACACATTTTTTTTAGATATATTGAAAATAAAATTTTAGTTTGGGATACCTAGTTTAGCTTTGAAACCATTTTAATGGCATGTTATAAGTATTTTTTTTTAAAAAAAAAAAAGTGCTTTAAATGTTTTATGTTAAAAGAAAAAAATAATGCTGCTATTAAGGAATCATACCTGATTATTGGTAAAATTTGTTTTGAACAATCTTTTTAAATGCTCAATCAGTAAAATATATTCTCCCCTTTGTATTTTCTGTAAGTAATCTTTCTCTTATTAGGTCTGATGATGAAAAGATGGAGGTTGTAAAAGAATGGAAGACCAGATCTCGAGGAGGAGGTGGTGGTGGTGATGATGGTGAGTATATTTTATCTTTTATTTTATTATTTTTTTTACCTCTATCCATTTAACAAACTGGACAATTATTTTCTAAATATATTGAATTTAAATCTTGTTATAAGGTAGGTTTATTACCCATTAATAGATTTCTATCATTATCTATTTGTCTGTGGAATGCATGTTGATTTCTGTGTATTTCTGGAATTATAATGCATTTGATATAAATAACCTATTAACAAATATAATCATTAAGTGTCTGAGAAAGTGGCATTTTCTGTTTTTTTTTTTTTTTTTTTTTATTTTAGAACCCTCTCTTGAGGTAGAAAAAGAAAAAGAAAAAGATCAACCCCTAAGTACAGAGTGGTGGTCAGAATACCTTAAGGACTCTGACTGTCATAACCTGGAATTAAGTGGGAAACTAAAACTCACCTTTGAGATCCTGAGAATGTGTGAAGACATTGGGGACAAAGTGTATGTAATTTTTTTTTTTTTTTTTTTATAGCAAATTTATTAGCAAAAAAAATAAATTTATTCGTTTTTGAAATTGGATCACTCATGTTTTATTAAAATTCTAAAAAAAAAAAAATTAAAAACTATTTTGAAAACCTATACCAAAATTAATATTGAGTTTTGTAAATCTAAAAATGAGAATTATTTTAACATTTGTCATGTATTTCTTGCTATATTTATTGATGCTTTTTAAAAATGTTTTTTTGACATATTTTTTTTTCATTTTTTAAACGAGCTTATAAATAGTGACAGAATTAATTTGAGCATAAGAAACAAGTGGAATTTAGAATTAATATCCTATAGTTTTATTGATCTTACAGAAACATGATTGATATTGGCATGTTTTGGTAACCATTAAGATTATGCTGATATATTCCATCCTATATATATATATATATATATATATATATATATATATATCTTGATTAACAATTCTTTTTTTTTTTTCTTTTTCTTTTCTTTTTTTTTTTTTTTTTTTTTTTTTAAGACTAGGATTTTATTGTTGAATATGAAAATAAATTTGTTGGTAAAGAATGTCTTTTATTCCTCCTATTTTCATGCTTTTCTAAATATCACTAAAAAAAAAATTATATTTAATATTTCAGATTGATCTTCAGCCAAAGTTTGCTATCATTAGATTTGTTAGAAGACTTTTTGGAATACATTGACTCTGGTGCTGCAGAAGAAAATAAAAAGAAAGAAAATGAAAACAAAGTAAGTTAGAATTACCTATTCTAAATCTAATGTACTTGTTTTGTTTTTTTGTTTTTAGCTTGGTATTGCATAATTGATACATTTTTTCATATACCATATACATGTAAACTTCTTTACTAAATAATAACACAACTTGTGCTGTTACTGCAAACAAAGTTATACACTCAAATGCATTGTTTTGTTAAATCACAAAAATGTCTCGGGTAGTAGCTTCAACAAGTGTTGCAACAAAAAGTTGGTATTTAGTCATTTTATATCTCTGCTTTTCATAAAAAAGGAAATTGAAGAGAAAAGTATCTTAGTTTAAAAATGCCAAGCAATGAACTAAAGAGATGTATCAAAATGAAATTTTCTTTCTCATGTGTGATGATTAGTTTTTACTCCACATCTCTTTAAATAAATTAGGACACTATTTCAATGACTGGCACTTCTTTCCCACATTTTAAAGTGATTTTATAGTAGTTTTTTTTTCAAACCTTGATGCACTTGGAATTGTGTGTTCCTACACATACTAAAGAAAAAAGGATGCTCATCAATTTGCTGGACTTAAGATTACGTTTGAAGTCTTTCACAAAAGATTCCTATACCAGAGAAGTTAAACACTTAAAAAAAAAAAAAAAAAAAAAAAATAGTACACCTTGTAGGTCAATTTCTCATCTTTAATCAGTTTGTTTCATATCTCTGCACCTATCCAACTCTAAGTGTACATAAACCAAAAAGAGTCTAAATTGTCCATTTTGTGCCATACTGTTAGGTCCAATATTTTAATTAATAACAGTAAACAAACATCGCCAACTGAACCTCATTTTAAATCCAATCTGTTTCATCGATGGATAATTCAGTTTAAATCTTTTTATACTTTTCTTTAATGTTTTTAAATTGTATTCAATGGATTTTGTTCAAACTCACATTTCACCTCAGCTGTTGTTTTCATGCATTTTATTAAAGTATTAAACTCAATTCATTTGATAACAAATGTATGAATAAATAAATAAACTGGATATATCTTTACTTTAAATATAGCACTCACAATTATTCATAAAAGAATTAAAATAATTTCTTCTTTAAAAAGTACCTTTTTCCTTTTAATGAGCGTTTACTTCTGTGTCTGGCAATATTTTCCCTGATTTTTGAAATTTGGAAATTAAATTGAAAATTTATTTACATTTTCTTCTTTAAAAAAAAAATATAAAACTACATTTTTATAAAATAAAATTTAAAATAATGAACTGGGTATAGAATTTTGGTGCATGGGTCCATAAAAAATTGAAATGTAATTAGGCAATTTTCAAAATGTAATCGGCCTCCCCATCCCTTCCACTTTTTCTTTCAAATCGTTTACTAATTCTGGTGATTCGACCCTATTTTGGAGATTGAAATGTAATTGTAACATTTTCTATATAGAAAAAATAAAAATGTATGCATTTTATAGTTCAACTTTTGCAAATATGTTGTATTGAACAGATATCCACTTAAAAAAAAAAAAAGTAGTTACACTTATTATCTTCCATACCTTGTAAATGTCTACTTTTTATGGCCAGTATCAAAATGTCAAAACATACATTTATGTCTTTTTTTTAAAAATAAGGTTAATAAATTCTGAATACTGTTCAGAATTTCTATATTTTTAAAGTCTGACTTTTTTTTTCTTCAGGAAAAATAAATTATTGCATAAAAAAGTTCTACAAAACACTACCTATTCCTAGACCTTGTTTTGTAAATCAGAAAAGTTGCATTTCATTTAGTATTAGAGACCTTAAAATAAATAGTAGTTTACATTTAGATTTCTTTATAATCCATTTTGTATTTGCAATCTATAACCTCTATAGTACATTAGTCTATATTTAAATAATTTTTTCTTTTACTGTAAATATACATATTATTACTTAAACAAGGAAAATAACAAAGACAAAGACAAGGAGAATGACAAAGAAAAAGACAAGGAAAAAGACAAGGAGAAAGACAAGGAGAAGAAGGACGACAAAGACAAGGATAAAAGCAAAGAAAAGAAAAAGGGTAAAGACAAAAAGGAAGTAAATGACTTTGGGAATTCTTGGACCAAAGGTGCTGATTATTTTAGACTTGATGGATCTACACCTGCTCACTACAGAAAGAAGTGGGCTGAGTCCTTTAATGATCCTGAAAATTACAGGTAGGTTCTAAAGTATTTGATTTGTTTAAATTGTTCATGTCTTCTTTTTTTTTTTTTTTTTTTTTTTTTGGGGGGTATTTGTTTTAACTATATTTTTTTCTTTAACTTTTGCATACTTGCAAAAACTTTGTTACTCAGTACATAACACTTATATTTTAGTAATATCAATGCTCTCTTTTTGTTTTTCTCTCTTGGTACTTTCTCCTCATTCCCAGCCAACACTAAGAAACAGTTTTTCTGAAACTTTTTTTGTTTTTTGTTCTTAATATTTATGCATCAAATAACTTTAAATATAATTTTTCTAATTAGAGAAATGGATTTTAACTTTTTTTTTTTTTTTTTTTTTTTTTTCCCCTCCCACCTTTTCCTTTTGTTTAAATGATTTTTTTTTTGATTTTTTTTTTTTTTCAATTCATATATAGGTCACGTCTCTTCCTGATTTCTACAAAGGCAGGATCTCTGGGCATCAATCTTGTCTCAGCCAATAGAGTAATAATCTTCGATGCATCATGGAATCCCTCTCATGATATACAGTCCATTTTCAGAGTATATAGATTTGGACAGAACAAGCCCGTTTATGTGTACAGACTTGTTGCACAGGTGAATGTCATTTTCATTATCATTACTATTTTTTTTTTTTTTTTTTTATAGAATATTTGATAGCATGTACAATCTCTGATAAAATTTTTATCAAGAAAGTAAGCTATTATCAGGGTTCCCACATGTCCTAGAAAATAAAAAGTAAATTTTCCAGGACTGAAAACCCTGGGAAAATGGGTGCTTTTTTATGCTAGAAAATGTTTGTATTTTGTCTTGGAAAATTTTAATTATCTGAGAACCTCTCTCTCAAATCACAAAATTAATGTTATTCTTACAGTTAACAAATATACTCTGGATTATCTTAAATATAACTTGGGTTTGATATTTTACATTCAAAAATGAATGTTTTTTAAATGTATTTAAATATAAACGTATTTCAAATTTCTGGTTGAATATAAAAGATTATTTCCCTTGGATTTCAGTTTCATTTTTTTCATAGTAACCAATACCCATGTAATAAGAATATGAATACAAATTATTGTTCACTTACTATTTTTCATTTACAAAACGACTTTTGACTGAAAATATTATCAAGTGAATTTACTTTTTTTTTTTTTTTTTTTCAACTTATCTCATATTTGTTTAAAATACTAAAGATATTTCTGCTAAAAATATTTCTTAAAACAAACAGAAAAGTTGAAAAACAGAAAGCTCACCAAAATAATTTAATAACACACATTATAAATTTTGTATTTAAATTGCTTAATTATCAGTGTTTGCCAGTGTTTTTTTTTTTTTTTTTTTTTTTTTCCCTTTCTTGACATAAAATTTCTAATTTCATTTTTAATGAATAACATTTTTTTTCTGATACATCAAAAAATAAATGGTTGAAAGACAAACATGGATAAGAGCTTGTTGACATTACTTTTAGGGGAATTACTTATTTGAAGCTAATTGAATGCTGGGCATTAGCTTAAACTGTTTTTTGTTTTTTACTTAAATAATTTTTTTTAGGTTGAAAAATAGTACCTGATGAAGTATCTTAGGTTCAGTTAAAGACAATCTGATTTAATGGATAGAATAATAATGGGTTTGTTACAAGCATCTCTATAGCTACATTGACATAAATGAACTGAAATCAAGATTTCAAGTTAAATTTGCTTATGTCAAATAACCAGAGACTTAAAAAAAAAAAAAAAACCCACTAAAAATTTGACTTGGATTTACTGAAAATAAAGTGCTACACATGAAGCTCTAGCAAGATTCTGAGGTTAGTCTAATTATAACTTTTAATTCAAACAAAGTAGTATCTAGAATGGTCACTTTAATTTTTTGCAATGCTTTTGTAGGCATTGGATTTTGCAAGCAGTGTAAAGTTTGTTTTTTCTCAGTCTTCTCTGCTATTGCATCTGCCTCTTGCTGCAATGCTTTGATGCTGACCATTATTCTTTGTCTCTTTGTGGTCACTTTTGTGATTACAGAGCTGAGGTCTTTCCTTTTAATGTCATTTGCAGATTCTTTTCCTCCTCTAAATAACTAACATACATCATTCTTGAAGCTTTGTAATGCTGTATTTGGGTATTAGTTTTAATGGGCCATCCCACAATGAATCTTGTAGAATCTTTCTTAGAGAAATAAGTGTCTTCTTTTTCAGGTTTCCTACCAAAATGTCCTTGTTTACAGAGTATCCTCTTTCAACTACTGCTTGCCCATGTGACAGTGTGAAAAGGTTTTTCAGTAACTTCCACAGATTGATGTATTCTACTTTTCCTCTTAAAAAAATTCCTAGAAATGTCTCTACAGTAGCTACTTTTGTAGTTAAACTCTAGGAACGCTTGTTTATTTTCTTGTGCTATCTCAGTGAGTAATCTTATATTCAGCAAGAATTTGGTCACATTGTTGTGCAGTATGCCATTTGGCATTCAGGAGCAGCTGGAGAAGCTTTTCAAATTTTAATATGGCACTCCTCTGTCCTCTAATCATGATCAAAGGATCAAGAGATACTAAATTTCTTACTGCCTTACTTCAGTGAACATTTTTCCAGCAGATTCTTTGCTCTTGTAGAGAGGAAGGTTAGAAATTCTTTCCTGAACTGTATGCCCAGCAGTTGGTTGCCAGGAAGATTCTCAGGATTTGATAACATGTTTGGTGCCAAAGTCAATGCAACCTCTTTTAATGCTACATGAAGCTCTTTGTTCAGCACATTAATTTTGAGCAATTATAAGGATGTACTGTTGGCCTCTCTTCATGAAGCATGAAAGCAGACTAACCAAGAAAGATTTAAGTTCTTTTGTCAAAAAAAAAAAAAAAAACACCATTGGGGCATCCTTTTGAAAACTTTCCAGGAAGGGTCTAAGCACCCTTGTAGATGAAAAATTGTAGCTTGGCTTCAAAAAGGGGGTCACAAACAGCCCTTTTACATTGAGATAGGAAACTAATGTTGGTTCCACCTTGCAGAATATTTTGTAGTTGTTCATAAATTTCTGTACAGATGGCCATATGTCAATGGCCCTCTCTGCCACTGGCAAATCTATCCACCTGTGAGTACAAAATTTGAGGGGGTATTTTGAGATTTTTGTGTTTTCACTGAAATCATCCTGCTTATTTTAGAGTATCATAAAAAATCTACCAAAGGGCTCTTAGGCTTTCATCAGTTTTCCATCATGTATCCTTCTTGCCCTATTGGAAACTCTCATGAACTGTATGGAGACCACAGCTCCTAAGGGTTACTAACCTTCGAGCATTCAGGTCCTCCTTGCTTCTGCCCTCCTCAAATAATCACATCTATCTATAGATATTTGTAGGAGCTTGTTTGAATAAGTGGAGATAGAGAATTCTTCATTCTCTCAACAAGCACCTCTTCTTTCAGAAGTTGATGGTTGGACTTCTCTATGACTCTGTCATTGTTGTCTGCTTGGCAGCTTCAGAATTCTGGGTGGAAGGTTGATTGAAGAAATCAGTCATTTGCAGTTCACTGCCTTGACCTACTATAGCCTTATGTCCCTGTCTTTTAACAGCAGATAAGCCCATGTTGCTAATATCAAATAATTTTTACCATTTACAATATACAGGTTGAACATCACCAACCACATATCTTATCCAAGTCTTGAATTCAGGATTGTCATTCCATTCCTCCTTAAACTTTGTTGACATTTCTGCCCTGACTACTATTTCTGTAAATTAAGTTGACACAACTGTTTGAGGGTTCTAATAGCCCCACTAAACTTAGTCAATTCAGTTTTGCAATGGTAAAAATTTCAAGGAAATTTTGACCTGAACTCCATGAAACTAAGTATTTTCTGAAAGCAAACAATGTTCTTTCATTTAAAAGTAAAATTGACTGGTGTAAATGACTCAAAAAAATTTTCAGGGGGTAAAATGTGAAAAAATAGTGAAAATTTTGCATTTCACCAATAATGGGAAATTAACCTTTTTTGAAAATCAGAAAGCCTAACCATAATCAAACTATTTCAGGCATAAAATCGAGTTTGAAGGAAAACAAAATTCATAGGGGGTCAAAATGGGACAAAGTCCATTGGTAATTTTCAATTATATGGCCACCAGGGGTTAAAAAAAATTGACACCCGGCCATGGAAATCTTTAGTAAAAGGTGAAAGATTTAAACCAGAAACCAGGAGTTTTGTTTTGTTTTGTTTTTTTTTTTTTTTTTTTTTTTAATAGCAGCGACAAGGAAAATTAAGTCAAATCCAGCCAGTGGATAAATGTTAGAACAAGCTGTCATCAGTTTGTAATAAATCCCACCACTTTCAAAATAAGAGCAAAGAGTGAAAAACATTGGTAAAAAGGGATTGAGATGGATTTTTTTTTTTTTTTTTTTTTTTTTTGTTCCAAACCTATGTTTGAACAATGACTTGATGTGTTTTTTGTTTAACATCTCATGACCCGGATTATGACAACAACACTTAGCAGATGACATTGTTTTTTTTTTTGCCACATGTCTTTCATATTTCCCATCATCTAGTCATATAGCAGTTCCTTTTGACTTCTAGTAATTTTTTATGATTTGAACTAATTAGACTGCAATTTTAATATTTAAAAAACAATTATTTTACAGTATTCACTTTCACATTTTAATTCAATGTAGAATGATTAACTACCCATTTCCAGAACAGTGTTGGAAAGGACAACTAATCAGAAAGGAACTTCCTTTTTCTTTTCTTTTTTACTTCTGGAAGTGGGGGGGTATATACTTGTCAGTAATGAATCCAAAATATTTCATCATTAACCCTACATCATAATAAAGGTAAGAATAAAAATAGTTAAATGTGTCTATATTAGATGTAATGGTAAATTATGAAACCTCCATGAATAAGTGCTATCTTGGAAAATTTAGAAAATGTTCTGGAAAATGATTTCCTAAAAAGAGTGGAAAATCTAATTTAATAGCAACTTAAATGCAAAGTTTTCAGGCATGACAAAAAAAAATCTGATTCTCCCTGCACTCCCAAGTTGTTCTTTCTGCAAATTTTTCAGCTTTAAAAATGATCAATAAAACCTTTTCTGCTGAACAAGAGAGAAAAAACTTACTATTATTGCTTTTATTATTCATTTATAAATGTTTGATGAATGCTTGAATAGTTAAACAACACTAATTATTGTAAGTAGAATAAGTCTTTCTACCAAAGAGACAAACTTCAGTCTAGGTTACTTAAGAAAAATTATATTCTGTATATTTAATGACTATTGAGCACTTTTTGGAAAAAATTCTGCTAGCCTTAAAATGCATTAATTTCTAGCAAATTTTATGTATTTTAATAAGTATGTATGTGTGTGTGTGTGTTACTTTATAAAATATTTTCTCTGGATAAGAAAATAGTACTAATCATGATGAAATAACTTGCATGCTACAATCTAATATTTGTATGTTTTTCTAAAACTTGATTAATAAAGCATTATAAGTTTTTGTATTTTGTTAGTCTTTGAAACAAATATGCAATGATTTTTATTTATTTTGTTTTAACCAACATTCATTTATAGGGCACAATGGAGGAGAAAATTTATGACAGACAGGTTACCAAACAATCTTTGTCTCAACGAGTTATTGATGAGCACCAAATAGAGCGTCATTTCACACAAGCTGATTTACAGGAACTTTATGTATTCAAGCCAGAAAAATTAGATGATCCTAATGCTCCAGAGCGACCCACACCAATCTTGCCCAAGGTGAGAAACCATATTTACTTTATAAATTTTATTAATTTGATCTCCTTACTTTTCTCCAAATTTAAACTAATTTTTATCTAATGAGCAAAGCAGAAATAGTCTAAATTGAAAAACTACCAAATTTTGTTATATTATTGGTACTATTTAAACTGTCATGGAAACAAGTTTTAAAAAAGAGGAATTTGTTATGCATGATATTTTGTTTTTTAAATATCCAAAAATTAAATTCTCTTGTCACCATTTGTTACTAATTGTCATTGCTTTTTTTTATATAGGATCGCATGTTAGCTGAAATGCTTCAGGAACAAAAGCACTGGATTGTGGCATACCATGAACATGATTCTTTGCTTGAGGATCAACAAGAAGAGAAATTGAGTGAAGAGGAACGAAAGGCAGCATGGGAAGAATTTGAAAATGAAAAGAAAGGAATTATACGAAGAGGTAAGTGTTGACAAGTATCAAAACTGCTGCATTAATTTCTAATAAATTTAATAGCCCTGTTCTCAGTAACAGTCACAAAAACCTTTCTATCGTAGAGGTATGCCTCTGAAGTTAATATTTTTCATGATTTTCTTTTTTCATATATCAGAAAATAGATATGAATTCCTTAAATCAGAACAAATGATGAAACCTCAGAATTTTTTTTTCTTTCTGAGAATTTACATTGCCTTCATACAGTACTTTTAGCTCAGATAAAAATTTAGGATTTAATAAATAGATATAAAAAGTGTATTGACTATTTTCTGAAATCATTTTCATGAAAAAATGCTGAAAGGATAGAGAAACAAAGGTATGTTGTACAATTAACAATTTTAAATATAATGCTGTTTAATGTCTTTTTATTTTTACATGCGTGTTAAGTGCTTTGGTCTATACTGTTTTCTTTTAGGTCCAATGCCCATGCAATATATGCCAGGTATGAACTATGCAATGAATCAGCCTTTCATGAACCAGCAGATGAATATGAACATGATGCAAAATATGTACCTGATGCAGCAACAGATGCAGAATAATCCGGTCATAAGTCTACGCTCTCCAGATATTCATAATATCGTTCAGAGGGTGAAGGCTTTAGTAAGTTGAGCTTTTATTCCACAGAATTTTACAATTTTTCATTCGATGGGCTTACATTTTTATCAAATTATCTAAGACTTTTTAAAATTTGGCTTAATTTTATATTATTAAACTTTATGATGTTACTCTTAAATATGTAAAATAGATGAAATGTCTGGATATTTTCCTTCAGTTTTTTTTTTTTCTTTGAGCTTTGAGAGCTTGTATATTTGATTTATGCTTAGATTCATAATAAAATTCTTTTTTATTTTTCACAATCTATTCAAATTTCATCTTTATTATATCATTCATTTGAGATTATTTAGCTCATGAAATAAACTTTTACTGATGACAATTTTTAATTAATAATTTTCTCCATGAAAGGTGGTTTATTGGTCATATACAACTTAGTATTTTGTCTTGTTAATTTTTTAAATTTTACAACTTTCCATGTAACCTTACTTTATTTGTATTCAACTTGTTCATGTTCCGTTCTTTCTTCCATATCCAGTTTCCCCACTGATTTATCATATTTTCATTAATGGAAATCACTTGTTTCTTCATAGTACCCGAATCTGCCTCCTGACCAATTCCAGCTCAAGGTACATGAAGTGATGCGAGCTCAAATAAATCAACAAATAGACATGCAACAAAGGCAGGTGAGTGAAGAATAAAGTTACTGAACCGTACACTCAAAACAGTAGTGGTATGAAAATGATTCCTCATAATAATGAACAGTAGTGATCTGAAAAAAATTTTCAACAGGTTTGCTCCCTTTTTTCTCTTTTTATAAGACATAATTGATATAAAAACATTTCACATAAAATTTCCTATTTCTGCTTTTAACTAGGCACAAACTTTAAAAAAAAAAAAAAAAAAATTAGCTGATTTTTTTTTTTTTTTTGTGACACTCTTTATTTTTTAAATGTGTATGAAATCTAGCCTACATCAGAAAGGCCCACTTGATGTTGCTAGGTTTCTGTAACAGTGTTCTAGCCATTATTTTTTTTAATGATTACACACTCTTATTTGTATATTTTTCTTTTTTTTTTTTTTTTTTTTTTTTTTTTTATAGGTTCAGGAACAATTAAAGAGAGAGATGGCCAGAAGTCAACAAATGAAAGCCCAAATAGCTCGTCAGTTTGACCACCTACAATCCCAGCAACAAAGAATGGTTGGCCCCCCAATGGCTCATGGTGCTGCTAACATGATGGGTCCACAGGGAGGTTCATTAGCAAATCCTGGTAGACCCATGCCCAATTCAGCAGCTACCAGCCAACAATTAATGGGCCTTCTCCAACATGGCGGCATGCCTGGAACACAGTAGGGAAAATAGTCAACCACAGTGGATAATGTAAAATTACCAATTACAGCTACAAAAAATTCCCCCCCACCTCACTCTTATAAAATAACATCAAGGAATATTAAAAAGATAAAATTAAAGGAAAATGTAATCCATAAACCCTTTATAATCAAACTAATCTGAGGATTGGTTTCATATGAACACCATTTTTATTTTTCCTTTTTTTTACTACCCATTCACTCGGTCTATAGAGGACAGTAAAACGTTCCTGCCTCTTTTGGCTGGCTACAAATTGTCCATCATTTTTGCCTCGACCCCCAGTGTAATAATTATATTGTCTGTCCTCAAAATTCTCTCTAATTTTTTAGGGTGGTTACAGTATAAGGAACACTTGTCAAATATAAAAATAACACAAACTAGCAGATAGGCATATTCTTCAGCCAATATTGTTTGCCTGCTTGTGTTATAACCAAATGACTCTTACTGAAAAAAATGCAAATGTACAAAGGGAAAAACATTAGTAGCTGTCCTCTTACTATGTGTGTTTGTCTCCTGCTGTGTAGATCCTTGACTCTAAATTCTCATGACATTCGGTAGCATTATATTAGCATTTAATTTACACATTGAAAATTAGAAGCTGATGACACTATCATTTTCTTTTGTCTTTAATCAAACCAGTTACAAGTAAATGTCATTTAACTTCATTTTAAAATTAAAAAAAAAAATGCTCTTAATATTTTTTCTTTTTAGTACAAGATTTATAATTTTATAATTTTCTCAATAAAATTTGAAAGTAGTTTTTTTTTTTTTTTTTTTTTTTTTTCTATTGGTGCTTCTTTCCAGAACTTTCTTAAACATTGTTATACTTCAACTCTGATAATTTTGACCAGACATTTTGTATTCAAACATTTTCAAGAAATTTATCCCAAAATGTCCTCGTCTTCTTCAAAGTAAATGTGTGTTAATCTTTTGCTACCGTTACTGTCAGACAATATTGCTGGCCTTTTCATAACTTTCTCTATAATCTGTACAGCTCTTATTGATCTCTGTAAAAAAAAAAAAAAAAAGAGATGAAAACTAGCTGCCCTGCAAAACAAACGTCCCTTTGGGGCATGACTGTTAAGTCTTATGGACAAATTGAATTGTTTTGATACTGCAATCATCATGATCTGGTTACGGGTTATGGTGGCTAATCATCCACATAACGCCCAACTAATATTTCACCACTCCCCCTCCTTTGTCCCCCCGTACCATCCATACTGCCCCTTCCAGCTCAGTTTCACCCAGCATCTCTCCCTCTCACCCAATGATCATCATGAAGAAACATTGCTACATCATATGTTTAACAAAGACACCACCCAATGCAGCTACACAAGGCTGTGTAGCTGTTTTTGACAAACTTAGTAACAAACACAAGAGAACATCACCACTACATTTCCAAATGCTGAGCAGAATTCCTAGAAGCTGAAAAGAAAGACAAATAAAAGAATCAAGTAAATCATGTTTGCATTATCAGTTTGGAACATTTTCAAGCTAATTTTATGTATAAATATTCTTTATTATTATATACATGTAATACATACATATATGCACACACATACACACATGCTCATTTGTTCATACATACATTTCATGTAGATGTATGTATATAGTGTGGAGCCTCTGTGTGAATATTTGTTCATAATTTTGGGGGGTTATGTCAATGAAAAACATTTCCCGTGACAAAAAGATTTCTCTTTTCTTTTTTCTACTTTCTGTTTTGAATTCATTTTCTGTCAATTGTTTGCGATTTGACAAGTGCATTGCCTGATTGAAAGGTTAAGTAATTAGTTTTCACATTCTTTTGTCTTATTATTTTGAGCAACATCATCAAGTGGCTAATCTTCCCTCAGTTGAAAGCCTTTTTGATTGCATTTGCACTGTATACATATCAAAAAGCTGTTTTGCTGAACTCTATTTACAGACACAGTGGAACGTGTCATCAGACAGATGCAAATTCCCTTCCCGTCCTTACATAGCATAGATTTCTGTGTTTAAAAACACAAATGCTGTATCCTTCCCCAAACAAACAAACTCGTTAATATTCTCGCCTGAAATCTTTATCTGGTTTCCAGTTTCTCTTATTTAATGCAGCTCACTTTCTCTCTCGACACATGTCTGAAATTTGATTTTACATAAGAAATATGATTGCAGGAATTTCCTTGTTCAATCTGCATTCCTATTTCAGATTACACTCTGAGATTGGTCCCTTAGACAAGTCTTTCACATCCTCATATCCAACACAGTTCATTCATATATACTTGTAAAATTCACATAAAGATTTACTTTCATATTTCAGTACATGATAGACATGACTGTGGGTTGGTAATGTGGTTCTTGTGATAAAACTGTTACACCTATAAGCAATCATGTTAGCTTGGGCTTGAGCCTAGGACTGCTCTTTCACACCTAAAGCTGATTTCAGTTGTAAAATCAGAATATACAAGAGAAGAAAGATTTTTTTTTTTTTTTTTTTTTTTGCCATTTAAGGAGGATTTTGAATTTTTTTTTTCTTTTGCATTTCTATTCCTTTCAGTATTCTTTAAAATCTAACAATTAAAATGTTTTATTTTAAATTCAATTAGACTTTAACAGTTACTTCTGATTGTAGCCCCCCCCCCACATGCATTAGCATCAATTTCAAACCACTTGGTTTATTTTTTTTGTCTCTGTTAATCAAACTATAATGGAGATCTCAATGTTTTGTCCCGATTTTATCTTTTTTTTTTCTTTTCTTGCTTCTCATTATTGCTTGTAAATAATCCAAGCCTGTTTTAATTTCCTCAATTAGGAAATTTTTTTTTTTTTTTTTTTGCATAAGATTAATGTGATGGTTAACTCCTTAAATATATTGAGTCTTTAATCTGCTGTCATTTTTGTTTTAGTTGTTTGTAAAATTTCAAGACTGGCAGTTGCCAATTCCTCTCCTTGGGACAAATGATTTCTCTCCAACAATTCATCTGTTTAGAGAAAAATTAAAACTCCAGTTTTTCTCATCTTCCTATGGTTGCCAAGTGAAGAATTTATGGAAATAGTGTGGGTGGGTTTTCTTTGTCATTATCAGCAAGTCCTTATTTGGACTATACATTTATTCTTGGAGCCTATTGGCAAATCTCCATTTATTCATGCACTCTTCTATACATACGCTTAACATGTAACTTTCATTTCTTATCCTATCTTTTGGATTCACTAATTATCAAGCTACTTTCAAAGATCATCTGACAGTATCCCATGCATTCACACAACAATAACCGTGTTAGAGTGGGGGGAGTTCCTTCAGTCATTTGATGCTTCCCAAACTTTCATATTCAAGATGTACATGGGATGTATTTCAATATTGATCTAGTTGAATGTTCACCCCACCCCAAGCATCTGAAGTCAGTGTTTGAGCCCAGATAAAAAAAACAAAAAAAAACAATGAATTTAAATACTGTTTTTTCAAGACTGGCATAAACATAATCACTTGGAAGATATCTTTCTGTTTGGCCTTGTGCCAGATTAAGCTAATTTCCATACCATTTATTCATCTCCATGACATTTTCAAGCACAAAAAAGATTAATTTCTAACTTTTAACTAGCAAAGCATCCAATAGAACTTGTAGAATAATAGAATTCCATTCCTATTAAAAGCTCCACATTGTTAATGAATCAACTATTTTTAAGTTTACTTTGCTTTGTAGACTTTATAAGCATACATAATTGTATGCATTTTAGTTATTTTTGGAGATCTAGTTCAAGTCTGCCCAATTCTTTAAGTGATAAAAATGTATTTCTAGGATAAAGGAAGCAAATTTAAATCTGGTCCTGAATTCAAATATAAAGAAACAAAAGGAAACTTGTGGTGACTCAAAATCAACAAACCAGGCCACATGTATTTCCTCTTATACACCATGGGGTGTACCAACTAGCAGGTATTGTTTTAATATATTAGTTACTCATGTTGTTTGTTTTTACATAAACTCATTTAGAGTTTTAAGACTTTTAGGCTTTATTTTGGTAAATAAAATGAAACCTATTATAAAAAAAAGAAAATAATAGTGGTACTGGTATGATGCCTTGTGACATTTGTGTATTATGGTTAATTTTTTACTAAAACAATTGGTTAAAAGAAGAAAAAAAAAATGTTGCTCTGGGTAATCTAGTAATAAAGTTCCCCTTTTCAAATAATAAAAAAAAAAGTAAATACATACTCTGCTCCATTCAACAAAACTGATACAACAGCATGAAAGACTAAATGTCCATTGCCTTAAATGAAATGAATGCACATATTGTGTGGCAATAAGTGGATTAACTTAAAACGTGACTTGTAAGATTCACTAAGTTTTCTTTATTTTTCTAACGTGCACCAAACATTTAACACCATTCTGTACAAAAATGTTCATTTCTATGCTCTCCAACTAAAAAAAAATGTGGGATTTGCCAATTGAAATCATGAACTTTTTGCTTCACTTAAGATTACTGTACCCCCCACCCCTTTCTCTTAATGCCAAAGGATTTTTTTTTTTATTAATGGTGTGTCCAGTCTTAGCAAATGAGAGGGAAAGAAAGAAAGAGGCTGTATGTGTTGTGGGTGTCAGTGTTTTGGCCAAATTTATAATAAAAATGAATAAATATTGGACTGTTGTCCTTTTTCTTTTTGGCCCATCATTGCTTCCTCCCAATTTTCTAGAGGGAATCAAAACCAAATATCATAGTTGTAGTATTAATAGCCATTTTCATTGAGGCCTCAGTTCTTTGTACTTGTGTTAATCAGCATTAAAGTTTAAAACCAACCGATTTCTATCCTATTTGTCCATTTCTTTGGTGCCTTCAGCTTTGTGTCCAGCAATAAATATTCTGGCCTCATGTTATTTATGTGCATTACTTTTCAGACTCACCATCTGCACTTATCAAGTGACAACAATAAGTATAGAAATATAATTTTGCATATTTGGACATTGTAATATTTTACAAATCTCAATGGAGCAGCTAGTGGCAGTCATTAATGAGCTTAGTTCTTTTTGCATCAAAATGATGGGGGGGGGGGTACTCTCTTGTCAGGTGGTCCCGTGCTGCTACAAATAACTTGTATAAATCCCATTAAAGTCTGGTATGAGAAAGTATTTTTCATTTTTTTTAAAGAAAACAATTTATTAGTCTTTATGTCCTGCATCCTATTCACAAAACATCTTTAATATATTCATTGTTAAACAATGAGACCCCCCCCCCAATATTTTTTTGGCTCTGAAACAGGGGGAGGAGGGTACGGTTTCATTTAAGAAGCTTGAAAGGCAAAGCTGAAATCTTAACACGAAATTTTGCCCAAATACTGCAATGGGCTACAACATTAACCTAGCCACCATGCAAGAAGATTAAATGAAAAACATACCTGAACTTCAAAATCTGAGATGCCATTGAGCAGTGGTTAGCAAAAAAAAAAAAAAAAAAAAGCCAAGCAGTCATAACCCAAAATAGTTTATCCAAAGTTCAGTTGTAGGCACTTTAATAGTGCAGGCAAGAAGCCTAGAAATTTGAATTCTCAACAGACCCTTCAGATCAGTTGCAGCTAAGTGAACCAATATTTTAAACTGACTGATACATTGCATTTTATTAAATTCATTTTATATTTAACAGAAATTTAGATGTTGCAATCTTACAGGATTTTTTTTTTTTTCTTTTAATGTAATTAGCCACATGGCAATACAATAAAGAACTTAATTAATAGATCAAAATTTTATAAACACTTTAAACCTTGTCCCATTTTAGATGGTTAAAGATAAAATTACCTTCATCCCATTGCTAAGCAGTAAACGTTAAAATACTCATTTTGCCTGTAAAGCAAAAGTTAGCTTACAATTAAATCCTTAAAAAAAAAAAAAAAAAAAAAAGTTGAGTCATTCATCAAGCTTAAAAAGCTTGAGCTGTTGTGCTCAATTGAGCAAGTGTATGACTTGAAATTAAAATAAATTTCTTTTAAACTTCTAAAGTGAGGAGAGGGGAAAGAGCCTCAATTAAACCCAGTCTTTCTGTTCATTGTCAGAAGCACATTTTTAATCACCAACAGGCACCAGAATGAAAGAAAAACAAGGCACACAAGTTATGGGTCTATTTTTTTTTTTATTTTTTTACCGGAAAATTACATCTTGCATCTGAAAAAGAAAAAATTTAACTTAAAATTAGTAATGCAATAATTTTTTTTTTTTTACAGTTGATTGATTGCACAATATTAAAAAGAAAAGTAATTTAACATTTAAATATATCCAAGATAACTTTAATATATTAAAAGCAACAAAGATTCATAATTAAAACAGTAAAATCGAAAATATATTTAATATATTTGTGATACTGTGTGTAAATAGCAAAGAAACCAGAAAAAAAAAAAAAAAGTGAGGATGGAGACTTACTTTATTGTGGTACTGGAGCAGCTTCTGCTGCAGGCTTGGCACCTTTGTGTTCACTGTAAGGAGTTTGTACGATAACTTCCTCTTTAGGTTCCACAATACTGACATGATCAGGCAAAGGACGCTTGGGGCCAATTTTACCATTGGGATCAAATGGTAACATAATTTTAACCTTTATACCCAGTACACCTGAAAACAGTATAAAGCACAATATTTAAATTTTGTATAGATAAATGGGAGCTGATTATAATTTTCTTTTATAAATCAAAAACAATGCTATATATATATATATATATATATATATATATATATATATATATATATATATATATATACATATACACACACACACACACACACACACACGTGTGTGTGTGCACATTTGGTCCTTTAGGACTTCTTCTATTTATTTGTATAGATAAATGAAAATCTTCCAAATCCTTTATGGAAGGGAATTTATATTATGGGGGGAAAAATAATCAATAATCTAAACAAGTCATCTGAAATACAGGACATCATGAATTAGAGGGGAGAAAAAAAAAAAAAAGCTTTACCTTGACGAAGCAACACATGCCTGACAGCAGTGTCAATATAATCATTGACAGGATCACCACTGTGGATCATCAAACCATCCACAAACTTCATTGATTTGGCTCTCTGACCTCTCAGTTTACCAGACACAACAATTTCACATCCCTTGGCACCAGATTCCATGATGAAACGAAGCACACCATAGCAGGCTCTAGAGAAAAAAAAAGTAGTGGAAAATGTTTATAATAAACACTACAAAATAAGAGAGTAAATCTAAAATTATGCACATTTTTGGTATAACATCACTATCACACTGCCTTCTGCTCGTGAATTCTCATAGTTAGTACTATTGTAGTCTCATGACCAAATCGAGCTTATTGCATCAATTTTCTTGCTGCTATTACAAGGTAACATAGCTGCTCCACTAACAGTGTGCACCAAGGAGGAACAAAGAGCAGTGATCACATTTTTTAGCTGAAATCTATCGGAGACTAACAATATGGCAACAGTGCACTACCACGTAGAAGTGTGCTCGAGTGGTTCAAAAAGTTTAAAAGTGTGGATAATTTTTTTTTTTTTTTTTTTTTTAACTTTCTACCTTAGAGTGCTCCACTAATATTTCAACAAGTTTGATAGGTTCCAAGTGGATAATATTTTTAAGTTTTCTGAGATATCACTAAACTTATTCTAAAAGTTATTGAGAAGAGATTCTAACCCCCATGACAAAAGGAAAAGTTGAAGTTAGAATGTAGTGTGCAGGTGTATATGCATATAGACATAAAAAAAAAAAAGTTATACATACCTTCTTACTGGCAACTGACCTATCAATTTATACCTCAGAGATTCACACTGGGCTATGGCACACAAACCGCGAGTAGCAACTTTCTCAGCATAAAGCTTTAAGAAAAAGAAAAAGAAAATATACATTATCCATAGCTTCTCATATTTGGTATCTTTTCTTAAACAGTGAAATAAATAACCAACCTAGATAAGTCGTACTAAAGAAAGATTGTATTTCCAACAGAAACTTAACCTGTATCCATTTTTCCAAAACCACTTCCACAGCCAAAGTGTGCCTTTATCAATTTGGCCACAGATGCCATGGTGATAGAGCATGGTTTGAATTAACCATCTCTCACGACCATTACAAATAAATAGCTGCTGGCTTCAGTTCTGTACCAGAAATATAGCAATTTTTTTTAATCGATTTCTTTTGTGCTTAATGACAATAGGAGCTTCTAAGGCACTTTTATAGCTAAAACTTTAATAACCTGTGATAAAGCCAAATTCTATAAAATTACCAGTAATTATGAGGGGGAAAAAAAAAAAAAAAAAAAAAATGGGGGGGCTTACAGTGCCACACCAATTTCCAATGTCAAGCAGCCACAAATGACAAAGTCCAAACCAATAACTACTACAATGAAAAAGTTGTTTCAATTTCAATATATATTATAGTATATATACTATATTATGGTAGAACAGGTATATTGACCTTGACTTGTATAAAAATATGTACACTGTTAACACACTGAATGATTTTAAATCCTAAGTCAAAATCCTTTGGCAAAACGTTGCCAAACCCTGTCAAAGTATCTGACAAACATTTTTAATTTGCATGACAATTTCTTGTAATTGTTAGAAATTCTCATACTGCGACAAATTTCACACAATATTGATTTTTCAGGTGCATTGTATTTGATTATGACAAAGTTGAAACAGAACAGAATTTTGTTCATAATATCAAAAGATCTAACAAATTGAACCTTTTATTGATTATTTTGGGTACTACTGGAAACTGTCCAAGAATTAAAATATGGTAAATATTTTGGGCATTGAAGACTGCAGAAAATTAATATTCAACTACATAAGTGTTTGAGGTCCCAGTATAAAAGTTTAAAAAAAAAAAAAAATAAAAAAAAATCAACTTAAAACAGCATCTTGGAACATAAGAACTCTTCAGGATAATAAGAAAAAAAACCCTGAATGCAGAACAGCAATTATTGCACAACATCAGTATTGATGCTCTATCAGAAACCAGACTTCCAAACAGAGGGCAACTCCAAGAAGTGCAAGGTGGCTACACCTTCTTCTGGGTAGGACAACCTGATTTGGTTTGGTTTGTTTTACAGCAATGGGTTATTTATCGCTCGTAATATATTTTTCTTCAAAAATCTATTTCTGAGAATATTTTTCCTTGAAGAAATCTATAGCTGGTCATATGTCCCCCCCCAGAATGTATAACTCTTTGTATTGCTGGTATATATATATATATATATATATATATATATATATATATATATATATATATATATATATATATATTTTTTTTTTTTAAAGTATTGCTAATAATTTTTTTTATTACAAAGTATTTCTGGTACTAAAACTTATTTTTACACAAGTTTGGGTGTTAACTATTTGCCCATAGCTGGGAACCCTAACAGGTGCTACCACCTCGGGTCAGGGTGGACCTGGAAACACCAGCAATTAAAAGGTGGTTTCACGCTCCTCAAAACCTGATCAGAGGCCTTGCTGCTGGACGTAGTTTATCGTCATACCCAGGATAAGGACGAGGACAACTCGAATCAGCAAAAGAGAATCTAGGATAGGATTTGCTATCAGAAACAATCTTGTGTCAATGGTGGAAACACTTCCAATTGGTATTTCTGACAGGCTAATATAGTCTGCTTAACTATCGGTAAGAATAAGCATGCCACTTTACTCAGTTGACTACATTGTTCATGTTGTGATTGCCACAACAAACCTTATGCAATCACTAGCAATCAGCCAATATTGGCCAGATCACAAAATTGTTCACATATATTTGAAGAAGCCCGTTAGAAGCAATTGAGCAAAACCGCCAAAGAAGGTAGACATGACAAGGGTAACATCAGACTCTTTCCAAACATGGCATGACTTGAAATTTTCATCTCTTGATGTAGGTATGAAGTTAAATCAGCATGGTCTGCCTTACAAAACATACTGTATGGCTTGGCAAAAGAAACACTCAGGTATGTTCAGTAAAAAGACATCAAGACTGGTTTGATCCAAACAATCCTGACATTAAATCTCCTTGAAAACATGCATAAATTTTATCAGGTCTGGATGGGAGACAAAGAAAGCCTATCAAATAAATGGGCCCTTAAATCAGCCAAGGGAAAGTCTCAAGCAAAATTGAAGGAAATGAAGGCCTGGCAGACAGCAAAGGCTTAAACTTTGCAGGAGGCTGCTGACAGATGTGATTCCAAATTACATTTTTCAGAATTTAAAAGTAATTATCTCCACTAATCTGCCGAGAGAGGAAAAAGAGAAAGAGAGATCCTTTTTACCATGTTTGAAATTTGGTTAAAGATACTGTTTTTCTTGTGCCATTGGGTTAGGGTTAGAAATTAGCATAGCAAATGTTAGCTACCTTCAGTTAAAAAATAAATTTTTTAATGAAACTTTCAGTACTCGATCACAAATGTGCAATTAGTTTCCTCCTGCTTCAGAAAAACTTGGCAAAAATTTAATCTCACATGTTACACCACACTTAACGTGATAATTATTGAAACTAATCTAGATTGATTAGAAAGAGTTTGTTCTGAAATTTCTGAAACACTTTTAGCCTGCCATTTTAATGACAAAAAAAAAAACAACCTTTCCTGAAGATTTCATTTTTAGCTCTAATTGAAAACTAAAAGGTTAAATCTATTATTTCCAGTAAGTAAAAATATTCTGGTGTATTTCAAATAAAAATTTGATAGACTGGAATGTCAAATTTCAACTTCTTAAAATTTCCTTAAAAGCAGCCATTTTAAGAAATTCGTAAACAAAACAAATTTGATTTTAAAACTCTTCCAAAATATATATTGAGTAAAAATTAGAAAATTTAAAGTTAAATTAACCTGATTTTAAATATTACTTATAGCACAAAAAAAAAAAAAAAAAAAAAAAAAAATACAATCATTTATTAATTGGCCCTATTTATTTGAAGCAATGTTTGAGGGATGATTGAGTGACTAAGCAATGACAGTATGGCTGGCTAGAATCGATATAAAATTTACAAAATTTAAATGAACACATTTTTTGGTTTTTAAGTGCGTAGTAATTTTTACAAATGAATATATTTTCTGCAATTATCTAATAATTTGACTTTTAGCTCTTGAAGATGATTTATGCAAAAATAAAAAAAATTTAAAATACTATAAAATTTTAAATTTCTCTGTAGAGACAAAACGTGACATTTTCAGGTCACATTTAGCCTTACATAGATGAAGAAAAAAAAAAAAAAAAAACGTTGGTCTTTCATCTTAATAACGAACATTTTGATAAAAATTAATTTTCATTAAGTTTGTGGCCCTTTTCATTATGCTATGCTGTTTTCCGCAAAAAAGGAGGTACCTAGTATAATGTAGGAATGCCCAAATATTTGCTAAAAAAACAGCATATCCTGATGAAAAAAATTTTGTATTGTCTAAATGTTTATGTCATTAAGAGGAAAGACCAAAGTAATTTTAAGTATTGTTTGAATCCTTTCTAGGTCCGAAACTAGCTAAAAATCTTTTGAGTCATCAAAATTGACATCAATCATTGTCTTCCATTATTGACAGTTTTATAAACAAAAGTCAAAATTCCCATTTAAAAATCTTGTAAAAATTCAAATTTTTTCAAGTTATTTCAAGAAAATTAGAAAATTTAAAGTACATTTAATGTAATTTGAAAGAAACATTGCTTTAGTAGAAAATCATTTTAAGAGAAACGTATCGACAACTGATAAATTCTCCTGTAGCAACAGGAGAATTTATCAGATGGTAGGACAGAAGTGACAAAATTTGTGCTAATTTTAAGTGAAATGCAATCATAAATAACTAGAGCACATGTAAATTTTTTTTTTTCAGAAATGTGCAAGCAGTTTTGTTGGAGACGATTTTAATAGATTTTTTTTTTTTTTTTTGCAGAATAAATTTTAAAAATAGTTGTACTTAATAAATTTTAATAAGCTTTCCTAATTTATATATATATAAAAAAAAAAAAAAAAAATTTTTTTTTTTAATAAGAGTATTTCCATTTACTGTTTTAAATTAAATTTCAAAACAATCAATTTATCACCTTTTTTTCATTTATAGCTGAATGAAAAAAAAAAAAAAAAAATCTTGTAAAAATTCATTTTTCAACTGAAAAAAAAAAAGTTTAGACAAAAAAAGGTCATTCATAAAAGCCAGTAAAAAAATTTTCAAAAATTTCAAACACTAAAAAGGATAAAAAAATAAAATATTTTTAAAAAAAATACTTGAAAATTTTGCATTTTTTCTAGTTCTAAACAAATTTCAATAATTTTTTTGAAAATCAGAAAACCTAAATCAAACTATTTCAGTCTTAAAATTGAGAGTTTGAAGGAAAACAACATTACTAGGCGGGTCAAAATGCGACAAAGCCCATTGGTAATTTTCAATTATATAGCTGCCTGGGGTTAAAAAAATTGACACCCGGACACAGAAATCTTTAGTAAAAGGCGAAAGATTTATCTACAATTCTTGACCACCGGGTACAAGGAGTTTTGTTATCGTTTTTTAAAATAGCAGCGATAAGGAAAATTAAACCAAATATTTTGACATATCTGAGTTGAAATTCTAGAAAAATATAAAATTTGTTGGGTTTGCAAGATTTTCTAATGGCCATTTTAGTGTAGAAGTTACCGGGTTGGGGGGGTCATTAATTTGGAAATTCTTGAAAGAAAAAAAAAAAAAAAAAAAAAAAATAATTGTCTGATTTTAATGAAACTTTTAGGACTTATTCAAAAATGAATGAATTTATTTTTTTTAAATTTTTCTTTAAGAAAATCTTAGTAAAAAAATTTTTCTTAAAAAATACATTTTACAAGAATTGTTTTAATTTTTTTTCTTCATTTTTCTTTAATTTTAAAATTCTTCCAAGCAGAGTGTGGGGTAGGTTTTAAGTGAAGACTACATTTACTAAGCGAAAATTAAAAGCTTAATACAAATAATTCTACCAAAACTTTACCACAATTAAAAATATTTTTTTTGTACATCAAAATGTTTTTTTTTTAGTATATCCCATAAGTGGCATCATGGTTTTTTAAAAGGTCACATGTTTCAAGGCTTGTCTCCTCCTCGGGGAAAGCCTCTTGACATGTAAAGGTCTTATCTCACTGTTATCAAATTAAAAATTAAATGGAGATAAGATTATCTCATTTATCAATTTAAACAATAATTCAGTGTGATATTTTGATTATTAATATAATAATAATTTTATTAGTAATTACATAAAAAATGTAATAACTTTATGTAATATCAAAACTATTTATTATTTTAGCTATTAAATGAAAGAGAGATCTCAATAATGTAAGAAATTTTTATAGTTAAAAAAAGAAAAAAAAAAAAAAAAAAAGGCAATTTTGATGCACCTTAATAGGCCTGTCAACACATTCAGCCATCAAATTATCAATGGAGATGTGAAAATAAGACCCCGAGATCAAGAAATGTTAGTCTAGAAAATTTTATGCTATAAGCAATAATTGTTTCAAAACAGATTAAATTTGTATATTTTGTGAAAGTAACGTTTCACAAATGTATATCTTATTTTAGCGGGATTTTCAAAACTAAAAAATAAGTTTGTTTACATTTCTCTAAAAAAAAAAAAAAAATTGGTTTCTCGGAAGCATCAACTAAAATCATTCAAATTTCTATTTGAAATACTCCACAGTATTTTTTTCAATTGAAGCGGTTGGAAAGCTTCAAAAAAGGAATTTTTTCTTTACGTTTAAACCTATAGTACCTAAGGTATATGAATTTTTGGGAGGTACCTAATTTTAGCTGAAATACTTCAGAGGCTTATAAAAAGGGGGAAACAAACTAGGACTCACTTCAACTGAACCCTCTGGAAAATGGAATCTTTTCTGTACAACCGAAGTCAGTTCTCTGATACGACGGCCTTTTTCTCCAAGTACATTTTGTGTTCGGGTGGCCAAAATAATGATCTCAGTTCTGGTGGGTGTCACACGCACCTCAACACCACTGTAACCATCTTCAGACAACTCCTTCATGAGGAAATTGTTAAGTTCTGCACGGAAAACTCCATCTGCAACAAACTGAAAATAGAAAGACGAAAAACATTTTGAAGTCTCCAAAAGATTAAATAGGACGATCATGTTAATACCTTAATTTTATTTATTCTTAATAAGTAAAAACCATTGACATGAACACACTTATTACTAAATGTTTTTGTCAGATGGAGAAATTTTAGAGAGAAAGAGAAAAAAAAAGGTATAGATTAAAAATTCTTGCCCGTTTAGGTACCTTCATGAGATCGCTAAAAACAAAGCATAGCATGATAAAGAAGAAAAAAAAAAAAGACGCCAAACTTGACGAAAACAAAATTTTAGCACCTAAATGTTTGTTATTAAAAGGAAAGAAATTATTTTTTAATTATTTTTAAAAGTTTTTCCCTCTTTTTAGAACATTCTAAATTTTGATTTAAAAACCATCTTTATCTTTTAGTGTCCAGTGGAACTAGTAAGTAACAAAATTTTAGCATGTTTTTTTTTTTCTGCTTGACAATCATTTTCATAGTCTTGCAAAAATAAAAATAAGGCCAGAGCATACAACTGCCAAAATGTTGTAATAAATATGGCAACAAAGATGAGGACAATAGTCAGAATAATGTAAATAATGTACATAATACTTCATCTCCACAATATAGACACACAAAAATAATTGTCGGATTTTAATGACACTTTCAGAAACTATTCACAAATAATGGAACTTCTTGTTCCCCTTTTTTTAAATTCATGACAAAGATTTTCATATGCACATCCGAAATTTAAGTCTTTTTTTAAACAAATCAGCAAACTGCCCCCCATTCTATTTAAAAAAAAAAAAAAAAAAAAAAAAAAAACAAAAAAAACTGGAAATCTCACTTTGAAATTCTTTGAAATATCAATTATTATTTTTTCAAAACTTATTTTAAGAAAATCAGAAATTATGTTTATTTAAAATATTTTGAACCAAGCTTAACTTAGCTTCTGTGCTGAAAAGATGTAATTTGAAAATAAAACAAAGCAGGTCAAACTTTCGCTTGACAGGTGATGAATGACATTGACGGATTCCATGAGGATAATTTGTTCGATGGAAGGAGAAAAGTGAAATAATTTACATTTAAGTGAACAAATCATTTTCCTTGTTATTTTTAAGGAAAACTTTCAGTGCGTTAATTTTTTTTTTGTACTTAGCTTTCACCTTTACGATGCTTAATGGAAAACATATTATAAAGAAATTAAAATAAGACTAGGCACCTCCACTTTTTCGCGGGAAACGGCATAGCGCATCAAAAATGCCACAAACAACGTAAATCAAGTTTTATCGTAAAAATGCTTATTTTATTATTAAGATGAAAGACCAAATTATTTTTTAATTAATTTTTGAAATTTTTTATTATTTTCTAACACATTCGAAATTTTGGTTAAAATCTTCTTTTGTTTACGTCATCATGAAAAGCTGTTAAAATAACATTGTTTTTTTTTAAACTTTTTCTGTTGAAAATACATTGATTCGGAAATTCTTGTAAAAATCAAGTAATTGTCCGATTTTAATGAAATTTTCAGGACTTATTCACAAATGAATGAAATTATTTTTGAAATATTTCTTTCTAGAAAATTTTGGTAAAAAATATTTTTTTTAAATATGTTACACCCCACTTACTTATTTTCCTGAAATTTCGTTCAAAACTTTTATTTCCTGACAATTTTTTTTTTTTAAAGTAAGAGTCATTAGAGATGGTAAATCACCTACTTTTTTTTTTTTTCAATTTAAGCTAATTAACTAAAAATCTGCTCTGAATTGAAAAATAATGAATCAATAAATCTATGATATTACTTAATTATAAAAGCTTTTAATTGCTTTTGTAAATAAGTAATATTACGGTCATTATTGCCTGAAGAAATAAATTTTTTCTGATGAATAATTAAATTTTACAAGAATCTTTTCATTTGTTTTACATTTTAATTATAATAATTTATAATAGTTTAAAAATCGTGCAAAATTCTGTATTAGCCTATTTCCTTGTGATAATTAGTAATTAAGTAAAAAAAAAAATTTACGAGTTCAAAATTGCAAAGTATAATAAACTTAGTGGTGCTAATTTTTTTCATATAATTTTTTATGTTGTATTTTTTTAACTTAATACGTTCCGTTATTTCCATGTACAGTAGACTGAAATTGCCATTATTATAAAAAGAGTTTTGTCCCTTTCACCAAAGCTAAAAAAAAAAAAAAAAAGCGTTTACTGAAATTTCTAATAATTTTCATTTATGGTCATCCGTAGTAGCTGTCATCACTCGTCAATCAACACGTAGATCAACACGTAGATCAAGTATTGGAAAAATAACAGTACCAATCGTTAATAATTGGTTGTATATTTTTTATGCTAGAAGTAAGTAATATTTCTTTTAAATCAGATTAATTTAACATTAAATTTTCTAATTTTACTAAAATAACGTGTCAGAAACTTTTTTAAATATTTTTAAAATCGATAAATTTGTGTTTGTTTACAAATTTCTTAAAATTAAGAAAATGGCAGGAATTACGAAAATTTAAAATTCCAAAATTAAATTTGACATTCCAATGTATATAGTTTCTATCTGAAATACACCAGAATTGTTTAGTTTACTTAATGGAAATAATAAATTTAATGATTAAACTTTCAATTAAAGCTAAAATGAAATCTTCAAGCATGTTTTTTCATTTTTAAAAATTTATTTTAAAGTTAGGTATCGGAAATTTTGCCGAAAAAAGTGGAGGTCCCTAAATAAGACTTTAAGAGTGAGATTAAATTTCATAAGAAAAGTATCTATTTAGGTACCTTTCTTATGAAATTTTATCAGAAGTGTACATAAAATACTATAATTTTATATACATTTATTACATTTTACCGCGTTATTTGTATTTGCATTCATTTTATTATTAATTTTGATATTTCATTTATGGAAAAATGTCATAACTGAGATTAATATAAAAATAAGATCATATAAATTTTATATGACACTGATACTTCTAGGTACGCTTCTCAGTTGAAATTGAAAAATCAAATTAACTTCTCCACACGTGTTTAAAGGCCTTAACAGCGGAGAACAATGCTTAACTCAAATAATGCAACTTAATTGTATTCTGGTTAGTCTTCCGTACTTTATAATTACAGCCCGATTATAAACACAAAATTACATTTACTTACTGCTGATATCCTGATCCGTCAAAATGATCAATTTACAACGCGCTATAAAAAAAAAACAAAAAAAAACACCTATCTCGTAAGGAGACTTAGGAAACCCGATGCGGCTTTTAACTAATTTTATATTTTTTAATTAATAACTTAAATTTAAAACTTATAATTAAGAAATAAATAATCGTATTAAAAATTCATTTTTTGCTTTCAGAAAATGTTGTCCATATTCATAAAAGCAAATAAAAGCATTTGAAATGAAATAATATCTGTTTTATTGAGTTTTGTATGTTACTATTCAGAGCTGATTTTTCAGGTGGGGGGGGGTCCAATTAAAAACAAAACAAAAAACATGATTTGCATTCCTCAAAGTCTTGTGTTTTTTTTTTAACTATTGTAATCACTAAACCCGATGCGATCGAATTTCTAGCATTTTCATAAATATCCGACAATAACTTATTTTTGCAAGATTTTCCAAATTAACGTGTCATACAAAAAAAAAAAAAAAAAAAAAAAAAAGAAGATTTTTAACGAAAATTTTGGACGTGCTAAGAACGATTAAAAAAGCCAAAAATACTTTGATCTTTCCTCTTAATAACAAACATTTAGACGATAAAATTTTGTTTTCGTAGAGTTTGGCGTCTTTTTCATCATGCTATGCTCTTTTTAGCCATCTCATGAAGGTAACTACGTAAGCACATGCCAGACTTTCATTAAAAAAAAATAAAAAAAAGTTTTTTTTCGTTTTTAAATAGAAACTTGTTTTATAAGTTAGATTTTGTATTGGCATATTGACAAAAAAAAAAAAAAAAAAAAAAACAGTGGAAAGGTTTTAAAAGTAGTTCACTTTACAAAAAAATGCCAATTGAAAGGAGCACCCATTCAAATTAAAGTTCGAATAAAAAATCGAATATAAACCTGGATCCTGAGTTTGTTCCCGTTGACTGTGAAAGGTACAAGTCAATTGGACAATATAGACATAAAAAAAACACTACAAAATAGAAGAAAAACCGATAGATATTTATAATTTAAAAGCTTGTTTTTTGCGAATGGCGCAAAAAAAGAAAAATGCACTTTTTGACAACCATATTCGCGAAAACGAACGTGTCCAGCTTTACACGCGTAAATCGAGAAATAAAATAAAATTCGGTGGCCAACAAGTGAAAAATTTAATGTCATATTCAAACAAAGGAAAGCAAAATATAGGAGAAAATACATTTTTCCACAAAATTCAGTAAATAAATGAATTACTTTTCGATTATCGTTCCATTTATCGGAAAATCGGTTCGATCAAAGATATATAAAAGAAAAGGTAGCTAAAATCTTTATTCAAACAAAAGAGTAAAAGAAAAATATATAAGTAACAGTTTACTTTTACGCAAAATCAAAGATAGAAATTTGAAAATAAAAACGAAAATAGAAATCTGTAATTTTTACTGTTGTATTTAATTTAATATAAATCCTAACACAAGTGTAACTTTCTTTCACAGTAGGCGCCATGTTGATTAGCGGACTGTCGTTAGTTTTTCTTAGCCTATGTTGTTTCGCTGTAATGTTTTTTGGGTTTTTTCACCTATGAAGGAAACAATGATAAAGAACCAAGTTGAACAACCATAATCCTATTGAAAAATAAAAATAATAAAAATCAAACTTTAAATAAAATTTACTGAAACTATGTAGCCATGTGCTTTAAGAATTATCATCCGCACGCATCCTAAATACAGAATTGATATTCACTATAAAAAACATGTAGAAAAAATGAAAAATAACTACTTTATTTACATCTTTACAATATTTTCCACAAATCATATATATTAAATAAGTAAAAACTTTCAAACCTTTCTCTTCTTTGAAATTGTCGTGGCTGCCATCTTCCTTGATTAGAAGTAAAAGAACGATAACTTTGGTTTCACGTCCGAGGTAAAATAATTTACACGTGACCGGATGTGAGAAAACTATTTATTTATAATAGATAATAATAATTTTAGAAGACATAAATAAATAGAATCCTATTTTCAAAAAAATAATATAGAAAATATGTTAATAAATACGATGCAATTTGTTGCGTATCCTCAAAGGTTATTTCCGATAATGGTAAAAGGTTACATATCAAAGGTCAATGTCACAGATCACATGTCAGTGTCACATTTAGTAGCAGCCACCACTGGATAAAAGCATTAGATTTAAAAAATAATGACTGGTATGGGTAAGTGTTTGAGATCAGTCGCCACAGAAGCACGTGAAGTTTTCACACACATTTACACTACAGTTCGATTAATATCGTATGTACATACCATATTAAATCGAACCAAATTACCGTGATGTTTTGTTCTGATAGTTTTTTTTTTTTTCGGTATCAACACGGACTTTTTATTTAAAACAAAGCGAAAAACGCATAAATAATTTATTTTAAATGCATTCTTTGAACTTAAATTTCGGTTCTATTTGAAAGATAAATGTCCTAGGCTAAAAAAAAACAATATCGAATTAAGGGAAAAGTTAATTTCCGTATATAAATAAACTTTTCAGGCATTAAATGGTAAAGAAAGAACAAAAATTATTACCAAAGAAAGCTGTATTGCATCTAAAAACGATGGGCTTTGGACGGTATTGACACACTAAAAATCAATGTTTTTCTTTATTCATTGCAGACAGAAGCAAATAAAATGAACAATGGGTGTTATTTTTTTATCTTTTTTTTAATTTAAAAGATACGGAACACCAACAGTGCAATAATCACTTGTATTTATAGTATATGTTTTAAAATAAATTAACCTTTAACTAACAGTTTAAGAGTATAATTTTTTATTCTATCCAATTTTATGAAACTTAGTAGAATGAATAATTTTATTTTTTATACTACATTAGAATAGATATTCCAAGCTGAATTTTTATTTTCAATATATCTGAAACTAGAGATTTTAATAAACCATAAAAATGGTACCAAATTTGTCTTGGTAGTTCAATTAGCAAATGTATTATGACAATTCAAAGTACTGTGTGAGATAAAAAATTTCTTATGTGACTGATTAATTTTTCATCAAGTATGCTCATTTGTGTGTGTGTATACATACATACATACATACATACATACATACATACATATATATATATATATATATATAGTTGGTAATTCCCCAACAAAGATTTTTTAACAAAAATAAGATCAAGGTAAGCTATAGCTGTACAAAAAACATAATTATATATCACAACATAAAAATAATGTATTAAGCAAGCACACAAACAAAACACTAAATAATAATCTTACTAAAAGTCAATACAACTGCTATAAAAACGTAATCTGGCAAGTGCATGATTGAAGAGCGAAGATCAATTCAGTCAATGTTAAATATTACTTTGGATCCACTGAGAACAGCTGGAAATCGCATTTTTACCACCACAAATTGACACTGAGCAATATCAAATTTCAATTTTTGTTTGGCGATTAACACATCACTATCAGAACCCAATCATTAGCTAGGAGATAATCGCGAAAGCTAAACTATACAATGGAAAGGGAGACAGATGTAACTTATGTTTGTTGGAGAAGCTTATATTAAAATACTTAAATAAATAATAATACTTAAATAAATAATAACTCTAACTTGCTGAACATGAGAACAAAATTGATGTCTATATGTATCCATAAATCCAAGTATCTGCTCAAACATATTGATTCCAATTAAAATAGATTTTACAAATATTAATATAATATCAACAACTATTAATATTTTTAGAACCCATTATTAATAACATTTCTTTTATATCTATACACACATATAACCCCATATTACCATACTCAATTAATTTATAACGTGTATATAGAATTTCCCTCTTTGGAGGCTTGGTTCCAAACACATTAAACATATAGTCCCAACCTATTATTATATTTACACAGTGAGTACTACTTTATTCCATTAGACAGTACTTTAATTGTTATGACTATGTATTTATGCATTAATGAGAGTTATCCCCCTTGGTATGTGAATCAAATTTTTTATTTTATTTTTTTTTTAATTCTTTGTCTCCTGAACTTAAGAATTTGAATGATATAAATTATAAATAATTAATTATAATATTTTAAACAATAATAGTTAAATAAACACATCTTAACACAATTTTAAATCATCACCATGAGAATGTAAATCTCATAACGGTCAGAATATACTCAGCACCTGAAGATTGCAAGCTCACATGAAATTCCAAATCATGCTGTCAACATTGGATATTATGTATATTCACTAATATATCCTTAATAGCTCTATTACATAACACTGAGCATTGTATTTCTAATACTTGACAAAGAAATATATTTATATGTATGTGCAAGTATATGTGCATATACTTTTGTATATGTGTGTATACTTTTTATCATACCCATATATATATATATATATATATATATATATATATATAAATTTTATATAATCTAGCCGAATTCATTTAGATTATTTTTCTTTTTGTTTCCATCACTTTTGTTAGTAGATATCTCACATTTGTGATAATAGAAGATCTACCAGGAATGGTGAGATGTTGTAAGAGTCAGGGTGTAAATTTACTATGGATGACCTTGCAATCAAGGCACTCTTTAAACATTTTCATTGTAGTAAATTGCTTTCTCCTTTGATCAAAGTAGCATTTTTTATGTCAAAATTGTGGTCAGTCCTGTTACAGTAAAATCCCAGCATCCCTCATTCGTGCACCTGTGTGACACCCAGCGGTCAGCCAATGGTCAACTCCTAGTTGCGGCGCAAAGCTGTAATGTTTCTTCTACCGATATTTTGGGGTTGACTCTTTGTCGCTGTCACCAGCCTCTGTCCTGGTCGATCGGTGGTCATCGCTACTTGGCGAAATCCCCTGGTCAGGATACCAATATGGGACACTGGCCTGTCCAGGGTCGAATTCTGGTTCTCGATGTTAACGGCTTCACCAGCTGTACTGGTTCAATACCAGCTCTATCGTTCCCAGCTCACTTGCAACATCTGGTTACTGGAGTAACTGCTTTGATCTCAAGTCTAATCTACCAATGTTGTGACTTTGATCTTAGGTAGACAAGATCAATCAGGTGTTGGGCTGTAGTGCAAACTGAGTTCAGACTGAAGGTGGTATTGCACAAGCGCAAAGAAAAAAAATAAATAAAAGAAAAACCCAAGAGGTTCAAGTATGTTAAGAAATAACAAATTAACTTTATCCTTCTATTTATATACAGGAGTGTGTTTTTCTCCCAGCCCATTTTCTACGAAATGTGACACTTCTATTTTTCAAGCAAGTTGGTATCTTAAGTCAACTGATTTAGTTCTTAGGTGTTGGCTTGGCTTCGTTTATCAGTATAACTTGCTATTGGTAGGATAGGCGGAGGTCGTAGAATCTCTCGGTCAGCTTCTGCAAGGCAACACTCTGGTTAAGCTCTGTCTCGACTCAGAACTCCAACTGAGAAATCCAACTCACTAACTGCCCGAGGATGTTTGTTTATATGGGTGTGGGGCCAGACGCAGCCTGAGGTTCTTGGTAAATCTCGATTTCTAACAAGAAATCTCTTTGTTGTCAGGCCAGGAAAATTGATTACTTTCCATTTTTGGAAAATTATTTACTTTCCATTTTGGTGGGGTCTCCATCATCTGTGCGGTAAGGTCAGAGGAGAGCTATTCTCCTAGACTCTTTCTCTCTCACATTGACATCTCATACCAATCCCTTCAGTGGGCGTAAATAACTTGTCTTTCTCATTCATTCACCTCCACCTATCACCATTGCTACCACTCAACCAATGGCATCCCGGCCATGCAGGTGTGGCTAAGCTGGCATCCTTAAAATTATAATCTAGAATTTTTGTTTACAAAATTCTCCTTTTTCCCATCGGCCAAAATTTTTATGAATTCCATAAGCCAATTAAATTTCTATCATATCCTTTGGCCACCCAGAATTCACTTAGCCAACACTCTACCGACTCCATCAATCACTGTCAAAGTTTGCCATCTGGTCCCTTCGTGAAGTTAGCTTTATAATGGAATCCTTGGCTTGTTGAGAAATTAAATTCTTTTATCACGCCAAATCTCAATTCTCCACTTTATTTTCTGTCTCATGCCAAAATTTTACAAACGCCATATTGCTATTCAACGTCTCAGCATCTGAAGCGACACATTGATAAGGTAAATAATAACAATCCTCTCACCCATGTCAAGACAAATGCCAAAATTTTATAATTGTCATATTGCTTTTCCTCTTTGGACAAGAAAAACAATAAACAATACCTTGGAAAGATAATTAACATTGATTCTCCCTGCCTGTATTGGCGATCATCTCAAGCCGAAATTGTGATGACTGTCATGGTCTGGCCAATATCTAAATATTTGCTTTTCCTCCTATCTCCCTTGACAAGACCTCACACATTGCTTTTTCCATGGTTTTACTGTCTTTTGTGAAAAGTATCTTTGTTGTAAATAGAATAAAATCTTTTTTTAACATCAATCAGTCTATCTTTTGGGATAGCTCTTTTTTGCCTTAAGTATCTCCTGTTTTAATTTCTATGGTTAATTAGTTAGCCAATTACCATAGCTAAATAGTGTCACACCTGTATAGTTACACCAACATAACAAATTTATTCCATGTCACACAAAAAACTTATTCCACTTTGTCATACATTTTCCCTCCAATATTGTTCCTGATATATAAAAATTTATATATCATTATCTTATTTATATATATATATATATATATATGTGTGTGTGTGTGTGTGTGTGTATATAAAAGTGGGCACTGAGATCAACACCAAGTGGCCACCATCTGTTTCCTGCTTGAACACAATTTTCAGGCCATGTGTACTGTTTTGGCTCAACTGTATATATATATGCTGGTTAATTGTGCATTATGGATA